TAGTAACCCTAGCAACCTAACTAGTGGATTACTCAGACATGATCAACGAAATAACACATAAATATGAAGAAAACATGATTGCAATAAAACTCAAAGTATGAAATTGAATACAAGGGCGGCTCTCTTTCACAAGAGGCTAAAAATCCATATATATAGTGCTAGGTCTTTCTAGAGGCGGCTAGGGTTAAGCCGGGCTTGAAAACATAAGTTTGGGCTTCAAAAAGGGCTTCGGGTCGACCGCGGCGTTGGGACGGTCGTGCGGGACGATCGGCCGGACAGTCGGGTCGTGGCGAGTCGGAACGGTCGGGGTCGGATGGATTCACGGTCGGCCGGCGTGGTCGAGCGGATGAGATTTGGCCGATGGTTTCTCGGCCGGACGTGGGACGTTCTTTCCCGGCTCGGACGGATGCATCGGCCGTGGTACGCGAACGGGTTGCGCGGCCGCGAGGCCTTGTTTCCCCGGCTCGCGCGCGGTCGTGCGCGTGGAGCGTTGAAGCTTGGCCGACCGCGGGACAATGTTTCCCGGGTCGTGTTGCGTGATCGGCCGGTCGGTTTGGAACTTTGGCCGAGACTTCAGTCGGACGGATGTGATTTGGCCGAGCGCGGAACATAGTTTCTCGGCCAGCCGGACTGCGCGGTTGGGCGCTGATTCTCGATAGAGCCGTCTGGACAGTCTTCACTCTTTTGGTTATAACTCCTTTTCTACTCATCCAAATTAGGCCATTCCATTGCGTTGGAAAGTTAACTCAATCAGAGCACGCAGGGAACTGGTCTTGATGAAATCCATTGAGTAGATCTTTTTCTGGGCCCTCTTAAAGTTGGTGCTTGTGCATGGAGCTGCTTGAAGTGCAAATCCTATGGTTTTGCTCCAAAATGCATCATTTCACCTGTTTAGACTCTAGACACTATAAACACAGTAAAACTACCTTTTTAGATAGAAAACCTGCCAAAAACCATTAGAAAACAATGCTAAAACAGTATAAAAAGTGGGTAAATTAGAGGTATATCAACTCCCCCAGACTTAGATCTTTGCTTGTCCTCAAGCAAAAAGAATCTAAATCCGTGAAAGAGGTTTGAAAACGTGGAAGCTCCCTTGCTCTTTTGAATATCCTGTGAAAGGTTCCTTTCCTGTATTCCACTATGAACATAGACAACATAAGGTTAGCTTCACATACACCCTGCAAGTTTAGCGAACAATACCAACCCAACTAGTCTCATCCAGCAATCCAAACTCTCTATTGCTAACCTCTTGCATAAATTTAAAGCGTGAATTCTTTATCAAGGGGACATCGATCAATTGAACTTGTTCTTACCCACTTGATCCTCTCCAAGATTGCCTCTTTAAGTGCAATGAGTTCTTTTCCTCTCTCTTTCTCACATCAGAACTTTGAAAGGTCAATTTCTCCCTACTTTTCTAGGGTATCATTTTATTTTTTCTATTGACCCTTCTTTCAACCACAGGATAAGTCTTTAGCTTGTTCCTTGTTTGACTAAGGTATTCCATAAGACATGAAGGTACAGACATATGCATTCCTCATGCTTACTTGTTTTCCTTGTGCTCTTTGAGCTTTTTCTCATAACATTACTTACCATTTGGGATGGGAGAGAGAGGAGAACTCTTTAAAGATTAGACAAATCTTATTGAAAATCAAGCAAGGAACTGTCGACATGTATGCCAACCCCCTTGACAAGAGTAATTAAGATTGATTAAGGTGAGGTTAACTCTAGATTGCTTGGTTACCTTAGAAATTTTGCTGAGCTAGCATGTCGATCCACTGTAAGAGCTTCTGTTAGGCTTGTGCCTTTAGCTGGTTTCTGCTCTAGGGTCATGGATTGTTAGCACAACACTCTCAATTCTCAAAGCAAGTTCATAACTTCCGGACTGGTTTTTGACTCAATAAAACTTTTTGAAAAACATGAAACAAATGAATAAAACATAAGAAAAGAAAGAAAAATGCATTAGTAACACAATAAAACTCCCCCCAGACTTAACTTGCACCGTCCCGGTGAAAGCAAATCACATTAAGGTGAGAGGTAATATTCAAAAAAAAAAAATAAAGAAAGAAAATGAAAAGAAATGACCTTCAATGGGTTGCCTCCCATTCAGCGCTTTGTTTAAAGTCATTAGCTTGACTGTATGGCACTTCCTTAAGGATCTGGTGGATCGCCAAGAGCAGTGTGGTCTCCTGTGGTATGGTGGTGGAGGCTAGGTAAGGTTTTAACCTTTGTCCATTGACTGTAAAGTCTCCTCCCATTGGATCCCATAGTACCACTGCTCCATAGGGGCGAACTTCTTTAATCCTGAATGGTCCTGACCATCTTGAGCGAAGCTTTCCTGGAAAGAGTTTCAACCTTGAGTTGAATAGTAGAACTTGGTCGTTTGGCGCAAAGTTCTTTGGGATGATCTTGCGGTCATGGAAAGCTTTGGTTCTCTCCTTATAGATCTTTGAATTCTCATAAGCCAGATGCCTAATCTCATCAAGCTCATTCAGCTGAATCAATCTTCTTTCTCCTGCTGTCTTTAGGTTGAAGTTCAACTCCTTAATAGCCCAAGCTGCTTTGTACTCCAGCTCCACAGGTAAATGACATGCTTTACCATAAACAAGATGAAAGGGGGTGGTACCAAGTGGTGTTTTGAAGGCAGTGCGGTATGCCCATAGAGCATCATCTAGTTTGGCACTCCAATCCTTTCTTGTCTTGCCTGTTGTCTTCTGAAGTATGCTCTTGAGTTCTCTGTTTGAGATCTCAACTTGTCCACTAGTTTGGGGGTGGTAAGGAGAGGCAACTTTGTGAGTGACTCCATGCTTCTTCAAAAGGTTGGCAAAGATTCTGTTGATGAAATGTGAACCTCCATCACTTATGACTATCCTAGGCACTCCAAACCTTGGAAAAATGATGGATTTAAACATCTTGATGACCACTTGTGCATCATTAGTAGGGCTGGCAATGGCTTCCACCCATTTGGAGACATAATCAACTGCCACTAGAATGTATTGGTCACCAAAAGAGGTTGGGAAAGGTCCCATAAAGTCAATGCCCCAAACATCAAAAACTTCAACTTCTAGTATAAAGTTCTGTGGCATCTCATTCCTCTTGCTTATATTTCCCATTCTTTGGCAAGCATCACATCTTGATATGAATGCATGAGCATCCTTAAACATTGTTGGCCACCAAAATCCAGCTTGTAGGACCTTGGATACTGTCTTGTAAGTGGCAAAGTGCCTGCATAGCTAGAACTATGACAAGCAAACAATATTCCTTCTACCTCTTCCTCTGGTATGCATCTTCTAAACATTCCATCTGAACATTTCTTGTATAAGTAAGGTTCATCCCAGTAGTACCTTCTTACATCACGCAGAAACTTCTTCTTTCTGTAGCCAAAGAAGTTTGGTGGTGGGTATTCAGCTGCAAGGAAGTTTGCTATGTGGCGAAACCATGGTGTGTTTGATGATGAGATCTTTGTTCCTGGCCTGTGATGGCCTAGTTGTCCATGCTTATTGCTAGCTTCAGCTGCATAAACTGATTCTTCAGGTAGCCTATCATCAAGGGGTAGATTTTCTTCAACTCTCATCCTTGAAAGGTGATCAGCTACTCCATTATCTGCTCCTCTTCTATCCTTGATCTCAAGATCAAATTCTTGCAGTAGTAGTATCCATCTCAACAATCTTGGCTTGGCATCTTTCTTAGATAAAAGATACCTTAATGCTGCATGATCAGAGTGAACTATAACTTTTGATCCCACCAAGTATGATCGAAATTTCTCAAATGCAAAGACAATAGCAAGAAGCTCCTTTTCTGTTGTGGCATACTTGCATTGTGCCTCATCAAGTGTTCTGCTGGCATAGTAGATCACATGTAGCTTCTTGTCTTTTCTTTGTCCAAGCACTGCTCCTACTGCATAATCACTTGCATCACACATTATCTCAAAAGGTAGTTCCCAGTTTGGAGGTTGAACCACTGGCGCACTGACCAATGCCTCTTTGATCTTAGTGAAAGCCTTGTGACACTCCTCTGTGAACTCAAAGTTAATATCCTTGCATAATAGGCGTGTTAGCGGCCTTGCTATCTGTGAGAAATCTTTAATGAACCTCCTGTAGAACCCAGCATGTCCTAGGAAGCTTCTGATATCTTTGACTGTCTTGGGCGGCTGAAGGTTTGTCATTACTTCAATCTTGGCCTTGTCAACTTCTATGCCTCTCTCTGAGATTCTATGTCCAAGCACTATTCCATCTCTAACCATAAATGGCACTTCTCCCAATTTAGAACTAGGTGCTTGTCTTCACATCTCTGTAGCACTCTTCCAAGATTTCCCCAAACATGATTCAAAGGAAGAACCATATACTGAGAAATCATCCATGAAAACCTCCATAATCTCTTCTATGAGATCTGTGAATATGGACATCATACACCTTTGGAATGTAGCTGGAGCATTGCACAATCCAAAAGGCATCTCCTATAAGCATATGTGCCATAGGGACAAGTGAATGTAGTCTTCTCCTGATCATCTGGGTGGATTGGAATTTGGAAAAATCCTGAGTATCCATCCAAGAAACAGTAGTATTGATGATTGGCAAGGCGCTCAAGCATCTGGTCTATGAATGGCAAGGGGTAGTGGTCCTTGCGCGTGGAGGAGTTCAGCTTCCTGTAGTCGACACACATTCTGTGTCCAGTGATTGTCCTTGTTGGAATGAGCTCATCATGTTCATTCTTGATGACTGTGATCCCTCCTTTCTTTGGCACGACATGTACAGGGCTGACCCATGCACTATCTGATATTGGATAAATCACTCCAGCTTTCAATAGCTTCATTATCTCCTTCTTGACAACTTCCTTTAGGTTTGGGTTTAGCCTCCTTTGGTGTTCAATTGAAGAACTAGACTCATCCTCCAGGATGATGCGATGTGTGCATAGTTCAGGTGAGATTCCTGTTAAATCATCCAAAGAATAACCAAGAGCCTTTCTATGCTTTCTCAGTTCGCGAACAAGTAAAGCGGTCTCTTCTTTTGTTAGTGCAGCATTAACAATAACAGGATATGTTTCATTAGGACCAAGATATTCATACCTTAGACCAACTGGGAGTTGTTTGAGCTCGGCTTTTGGAGCTCTAAGTGGGCACCATGGGTCGAACTTAACTTTGGTTTGTGATATTTCCTGACCTTGTCAATGTCTGGCTCTTCCTCTTCTCTCTCTAAGTCCATATAAGCTATCAGCTCTTTATAAGCTTCCTTGAATCCATGAACTTGACTAAGCATTGAGCTTCTCTTTCCATGTATCCATACTCATTCTCAGCCTTTGTCAAAGCTAGCTCCAAGGGATCAATAAGAAGGAGTTCATCCAGCACTTCTTCTCTTGTCTCTGCGAGCTCTCCAATCCAAAAAGCTTGACCATCTACAGTTGGCTTCTCCATAGACTTGTTTACTTCGAAATTCATCACTATATCTCCAAGATGCAAGTCAATCTTTCCATTCTTGACATCTATTATAGCTCCTGCAGTAGCTAGGAATGGCCTTCCCAAGATAAGAGGGTCTTTAGGTTGGTGTTCCAGCTCAAGAACTACAAAATCAGCAGGGATGTAGCAATCTCCAACCATGATTGGAACATCCATAATAACACCAACAGGGCGGCGAACAGATCTGTCTGCAAAGACTAGAGAGATCTTTGTAGGTTTGAAGTCAGTGATGCCCAATAGCTTGGCCACTGAGTAAGGCATTAGGTTCACACTAGAACCCAAATCACAAAGTGCTCTATGGAAGTGTGTAGAACCGATCTTGCAAGACAAAACAAAACTCCTGGGTCGTTCAGCTTCTCTGGCATGCGATTCTGAAGTATGGCACTACACTCCTTTGTAATCATCATTGCTCCTTCTTCAAGACTCACATTGCTTGTGAGTATGGCCTTCATATACTTCCTGAGAGATGGAATTATTTGGCAAGCATCAATGAAAGGTAACCTTACTGAAAGTTGGCTAACAAGATCCTTGAGCTTTGCTTGCTCCTTCTCCTTCTTGGGTTGAGAAAGAACATTTCTGTATGGGATCTTTGGCTCATACACTCTTGGTTCTTCAGGTGGCTTCTCCACTTCCTCCTGAGTTCCTGGTTCTATTCTGACATGGACTTCTTTAGGTGGTTCAGTCCCATCTCCAATAATGACATACTCCATTGGTTTCTTCTTGTTGGCGGCTTTGCTTCCTCTTGATCTGGGTATGCTGGTGGTTCATACCCTTTTCCATTCCTAAGAGTGATAGCTGCTACAGCTGCTCTCCTTGGATTGATTTCCACTTTTCCTGGTAGCACACCTTCTTCTCTCTTAATAGAGCTGGCTATGTTGGCAACTCTAAGATCCAAGTCTCTTGTGAAAGAAGAAATGAATCCAACTTCTCATTCAATCTCGTGAAGGCTGACTCCAATCTCTCATCAATCAAGGCTGTGTGCTCTCTATGAGAACTCTTGATGAAAGTTATCAAATCTTCAAAATTGCTCCTTGGCTCCATTCTTCTCTTGTGAGGTGGTTGCTGATAATTTCTTCCTCCATGAACATCCCTCTTCTCATTGGGTGATTCTTGAGTAAAAACATCATGCTCTCCTTTCCAAGCTTCTTCTTATGTGCTGATCCATCTATTCCAACAAAGTTTACTTCTTCTTGGAAACTTGGAATCAAATCTCCAAAGTAATCTTGAATTATTGTGGATTCAACTCTATAAGCTTCTCTTTGTCTCTCCACTTCTCTTCCTTGGTTTTCAGTATCTCAGCCATCATGGCTTTGATCTCGCTGTATCCATCTCTGTATGGATCAGAATTTATGGCCCTCTCTCTCTCCACTGCTCTCTCATGACCAATGAAGTTGTCACTTCTCGCTTTGTCACTGGCTAGGCTAGATTTTCAATCAAAATCTTTGCTTCAGTAACTGTCTTGGTCATGAAATTTCCATTGCTGGCTGTATCAAGAGAAAATCTACACTTCCCACTTATTCCTCTGTAGAAAATGTTCCATAGACTGCCCTCAGATAGTCCATGGTTAGGACACTCTCTTGTATAGTCCTTGAAGCGCTCCAATGCTTCATGAAAAGGCTCCACCGGCCCTTGTTGGAAACTAGAGATCTTCTCTTCAACAAGTTTGCTCTCTGCTTTGTGAAAAAGTGACCTAGGAATGCCACCTTGTACTCCTTCCATGTGGTTATGGATTGAGCTGGAAGAGACTTAACCCAGCGCAAAGCCTTCCCTGTCAAAGTGAAAGAGAATAGTTTGCACTTTAAGTACTCTTTGGGTGCACCTCCTGCACTGATGGTGCCACAGATTTCTTCAAAAGCATCAATATGTTCCAAAGGATTCTCCTGGGGTTTCCCTTGGAACTGATTTTGTTTCACCAAACCAATAATCTCCGGCGAAATCTCATAGCTTCTTCCTTCAGGAAGTGGCGGCTGGATGGGATTCCGATCTATTAGCAGTGTTGGATTGGAATCGAAGTCCCCATGACTTCTTCATTATGTCGCGCTCCATCATTGGCGCGATTGTGCGCGGCGTTCGGATCCGGCGGATCTTCGTGCTGCTCGGCCAGCGCGACTCGCTCGCGGCCAAGTTCTCTCTATCCTCTTGTTCGTTGATCACTCATGTTAGAGTCCTTCTTTCAAGCCTAGTACCTGAAAGGATAGAGGCAAGATTCTTTAAATAGAAAACAGTAAAAAGGAAAAACAAAAGTTGAAAATTTGCAAAAACAAAAAGGAAAAACGAAATTCTAGGCTAGACTATAGTTGGGAACTCGAAGGTAGCTGTATTGCTCCCCGGCAACGGCGCCAAAAACTTGATGCGGGATCAGGTCTTCCCTTTTCCTATCCCTGATTCTGCAAGTGCACAGATCAAAGTAGTAAACGGGTATCGAACACAAGGAGCAGATAAGTACACTTCGAGATTGCAAGTCTAAATAGCTAGAAAACAAGTATGATTTAGGGTTTATTGTGAACAAGTAAATCAAACAGCAGATTAAACGGTTTATGAAAATCAATAGAGGGAAACGCTAGGCAATGAGAAACTCGCAGAGATTCAAGGTTAACAAGATATTAGAAGGGATTTAGGGTTTGCGCTATCTAGAACTCAGGTCACGATTGTATGATCTTTCCACTGTCGAGGCTCCGGCTCCTTTGTTAATCTACCTAGTCGCTAAACTTTTGGTATGTCCCTAGGTGATTAAATCAAGCATTAGAATTCGTTCAACAGTTCACTAGATATAGATAGATCAACTTTCGCAGTCTAAGAAACCTAGCTTGTCAAAGAATATGTCCGGCGAATGATACAAGCACTGTCGAGGCTCAAATCAACCTAAGATCGGATTACTAGATGCGAAAGCAATCAGCATTAGTTAAGTGCACAAGACGAGACAAAGACTCTAATATAATCCCTAGCTAATCATTGAAATATCAAACATGCAAGCTCATTGAATAGTAACCCTAGCAACCTAACTAGTGGATTACTCAGACATGATCAAAGCAAACACACATAGAGATGAAGAAAACATGATTGCAATAAAACTTAGAGTAGGAAATCGAAATACAAGGGCGGCTCTCTTTCTCAAGAGGCTAAAAATCCATATATATAGTGCTAGGTCTTTCTAGAGGCGGCTTAGGGTTAAGCCGGGCTTGAAAACATAAGTTTGGGCTTCAAAAAGGGCTTCGGGTCGACCGCGGCGTTGGGACGGTCGTGCGGGACGATCGGCCGGACAATCGGGTCGTGGGCGAGTCGGAACGGTCGGGGTCGGACGGATTCGCGGTCGGCCGGCGTGGTCGAGCGGATGAGATTGGCCGATGAAATTCTCGGCCGGACGTGGGACGTTCTTCCCGGCTCGGACGGATGCATCGGCCGTGGTACGCGAAGGTTGCGCGGCCGCGAGGCTTGTTTCCCGGCTCGCGCGTTTGGTCGTGCGCGGTGGGCGTTGAGCTTGGCCGACCGCGGGACAATGTTTCCCGGGTCGTGATGCGTGATCGGCCGGTGGTTTGGAACTTTGGCCGAGACTTCAGACGGACGGATGTGATTTGGCCGAGCGCGGAACATTCGTTTCTCGGCCAGCCGGACTGCGCGGTTGGGCGCTGATTCTCGATAGAGCCGTCTGGACAGTCTTCACTCTTTTGGTTGTAACTCCTTTTCTACTCATCCAAATTAGGCCATTCCAGTTGCGTTGGAAAGTTAACTCAATCAGAGCACGCAGGGAACTGGTCTTGATGAAATCCATTGAGTAGATCTTTTTCTGGGCCCTCTTAAAGTTGGTGCTTGTGCATGGAGCTGCTTGAAGTGCAAATCCTATGGTTTTGCTCCAAAATGCATCATTTCACCTGTTTAGACTCTAGACACTATAAACACAGTAAAACTACCTTTTTAGATAGAAAACCTGCCAAAAACCATTAGAAAACAATGCTAAAACAGTATAAAAAGTGGGTAAATTAGAGGTATATCAACTCCCCCAGACTTAGATCTTTGCTTGTCCTCAAGCAAAAAGAATCTAAATCCGTGAAAGAGGTTTGAAAACGTGGAAGCTCCCTTGCTCTTTTGAATATCCTGTGAAAGGTTCCTTTCCTGTATTCCACTATGAACATAGACAACATAAGGTTAGCTTCACATACACCCTGCAAGTTTAGCGAACAATACCAACCCAACTAGTCTCATCCAGCAATCCAAACTCTCTATTGCTAACCTCTTGCATAAATTTAAAGCGTGAATTCTTTATCAAGGGGACATCGATCAATTGAACTTGTTCTTACCCACTTGATCCTCTCCAAGATTGCCTCTTTAAGTGCAATGAGTTCTTTTCCTCTCTCTTTCTCACATCAGAACTTTGAAAGGTCAATTTCTCCCTACTTTTCTAGGGTATCATTTTATTTTTTCTATTGACCCTTCTTTCAACCACAGGATAAGTCTTTAGCTTGTTCCTTGTTTGACTAAGGTATTCCATAAGACATGAAGGTACAGACATATGCATTCCTCATGCTTACTTGTTGTCCTTGTGCTCTTTGAGCTTTTTCTCATAACATTACTTACCATTTGGGATGGGAGAGAGAGGAGAACTCTTTAAAGATTAGACAAATCTTATTGAAAATCAAGCAAGGAACTGTCGACATGTATGCCAACCCCCTTGACAAGAGTAATTAAGATTGATTAAGTGTGAGGTTAACTCTAGATTGCTTGGTTACCTTAGAAATTTTGCTGAGCTAGCATGTCGATCCACTGTAAGAGCTTCTGTTAGGCTTGTGCCTTTAGCTGGTTTCTGCTCTAGGGTCATGGATTGTTAGCATAACACTCTCAATTCTCAAAGCAAGTTCATAACTTCCGGACTGGTTTTTGACTCAATAAAACTTTTTGAAAAACATGAAACAAAGTGAATAAAACATAAGAAAAGAAAGAAAAATGCATTAGTAACACAATAAAACTCCCCCCAGACTTAACTTGCACCGTCCCGGTGAAAGCAAATCACATTAAGGTGAGAGGTAATATTCAAAAAAAAGAAAAATAAAGAAAGAAAATGAAAAGAAATGACCTTCAATGGGTTGCCTCCCATTCAGCGCTTTGTTTAAAGTCTTTAGCTTGACTGTATGGCACTTCCTTAAGGATCTGGTGGATCGCCAAGAGCTAGTGTGGTCTCCTGTGGTATGGTGGTGGAGGCTAGGTAAGGTTTTAACCTTTGTCCATTGACTGTAAAGTCTCCTCCCATTGGATCCCATAACACCACTGCTCCATAGGGGCGAACTTCTTTAATCCTGAATGGTCCTGACCATCTTGAGCGAAGCTTTCCTGGAAAGAGTTTCAACCTTGAGTTGAATAGTAGAACTTGGTCGTTTGGCGCAAAGTTCTTTGGGATGATCTTGCGGTCATGGAAAGCTTTGGTTCTCTCCTTATAGATCTTTGAATTCTCATAAGCCAGATGCCTAATCTCATCAAGCTCATTCAGCTGAATCAATCTTCTTTCTCCTGCTGTCTTTAGGTTGAAGTTCAACTCCTTAATAGCCCAAGCTGCTTTGTACTCCAGCTCCACAGGTAAATGACATGCTTTACCATAGACAAGATGAAAGGGGGTGGTACCAAGTGGTGTTTTGAAGGCAGTGCGGTATGCCCATAGAGCATCATCTAGTTTGGCACTCCAATCCTTTCTTGTCTTGCCTGTTGTCTTCTGAAGTATGCTCTTGAGTTCTCTGTTTGAGATCTCAACTTGTCCACTAGTTTGGGGGTGGTAAGGAGAGGCAACTTTGTGAGTAACTCCATGCTTCTTCAAAAGGTTGGCAAAGATTCTGTTGATGAAATGTGAACCTCCATCACTTATGACTATCCTAGGCACTCCAAACCTTGGAAAAATGATGGATTTAAACATCTTGATGACCACTTGTGCGTCATTAGTAGGGCTGGCAATGGCTTCCACCCATTTGGAGACATAATCAACTGCCACTAGAATGTATTGGTCACCAAAAGAGGTTGGGAAGGGTCCCATAAAGTCAATGCCCCAAACATCAAAAACTTCAACTTCTAGTATAAAGTTCTGTGGCATCTCATTCCTCTTGCTTATATTTCCCATTCTTTGGCAAGCATCACATCTTGATATGAATGCATGAGCATCCTTAAACATAGTTGGCCACCAAAATCCAGCTTGTAGGACTTTGGATACTGTCTTGTAAGTGGCAAAGTGCCTGCATAGCTAGAACTATGACAAGCAAACAATATTCCTTCTACCTCTTCCTCAGGTATGCATCTTCTAAACATTCCATCTGAACATTTCTTGTATAAGTAAGGTTCATCCCAGTAGTACCTTCTTACATCACGCAGAAATTTCTTCTTTCTGTAGCCAAAGAAGTTTGGTGGTGGGTATTCAGCTGCAAGGAAGTTTGCTATGTGGCGAAACCATGGTGTGTTTGATGATGAGATCTTTGTTCCTGGCCTGTGATGGCCTAGTTGTCCATGCTTATTGCTAGCTTCAGCTGCATAAACTGATTCTTCAGGTAGCCTATCATCAAGGGGTAGATTTTCTTCAACTCTCATCCTTGAAAGATGATCAGCTACTCCATTATCTGCTCCTCTTCTATCCTTGATCTCAAGATCAAATTCTTGCAATAGTAGTATCCATCTCAACAATCTTGGCTTGGCATCTTTCTTAGATAAAAGATACCTTAATGCTGCATGATCAGAGTGAACTATAACTTTTGATCCCACCAAGTATGATCGAAATTTCTCAAATGCAAAGACAATAGCAAGAAGCTCCTTTTCTGTTGTGGCATACTTGCATTGTGCCTCATCAAGTGTTCTGCTGGCATAGTAGATCACATGTAGCTTCTTGTCTTTTCTTTGTCCAAGCACTGCTCCTACTGCATAATCACTTGCATCACACATTATCTCAAAAGGTAGTTCCCAGTTTGGAGGTTGAACCACTGGCGCACTGACCAATGCATCTTTGATCTTAGTGAAAGCCTTGTGACACTCCTCTGTGAACTCAAAGTTAATATCCTTGCATAATAGGCGTGTTAGCGGCCTTGCTATCTGTGAGAAATCTTTAATGAACCTCCTGTAGAACCCAGCATGTCCTAGGAAGCTTCTGATATCTTTACTGTCTTGGGCGGCTGAAGGTTTGTCATTACTTCAATCTTGGCCTTATCAACTTCTATGCCTCTTTCTGAGATTCTATGTCCAAGCACTATTCCATCTCTAACCATAAAGTGGCACTTCTCCCAATTTAGAACTAGGTGCTTGTCTTCACATCTCTGTAGCACTCTTCCAAGATTCCCCAAACATGATTCAAAGGAAGAACCATATACTGAGAAATCATCCATGAAAACCTCCATAATCTCTTCTATGAGATCTGTGAATATGGACATCATACACCTTTGGAATGTAGCTGGAGCATTGCACAATCCAAAAGGCATTCTCCTATAAGCATATGTGCCATAGGGACAAGTGAATGTAGTCTTCTCCTGATCATCTGGGTGGATTGGAATTTGGAAAAATCCTGAGTATCCATCCAAGAAACAGTAGTATTGATGATTGGCAAGGCGCTCAAGCATCTGATCTATGAATGGCAAGGGGTAGTGGTCCTTGCGTGTGGAGGAGTTCAGTTTCCTGTAGTCGACACACATTCTGTGTCCAGTGATTGTTCTTGTTGGAATGAGCTCATCATGTTCATTCTTGATGACTGTGATCCCTCCTTTCTTTGGCACGACATGTACAGGGCTGACCCATGCACTATCTGATATTGGATAAATCACTCCAGCCTTTCAATAGCTTCATTATCTCCTTCTTGACAACTTCCTTTAGGTTTGGGTTTAGCCTCCTTTGATGTTCAATTGAAGAACTAGACTCATCCTCCAGGATGATGCGATGTGTGCATAGTTCAGGTGAGATTCCTGTTAAATCATCCAAAGAATAACCAAGAGCCTTTCTATGCTTTCTCAGTTCGCGAACAAGTAAAGCGGTCTCTTCTTTTGTTAGTGCAGCATTAACAATAACAGGATATGTTTCATTAGGACCAAGATATTCATACCTTAGACCAACTGGGAGTTGTTTTAGCTCGGCTTTTGGAGCTCTAAGTGGGCACCATGGGTCGAACTTAACTTTGGTTTGTGAATTTCCTGATTCTTGTCAATGTCTGGCTCTTCCTCTTCTCTCTCTAAGTCCATATAAGCTATCAGCTCTTTATAAGCTTCCTTTGAATCCATGAACTTGACTAAGCATTGAGCTTCTCTTTCCATGTATCCATACTCATTCTCAGCTTTGTCAAAGCTAGCTCCAAGGGATCAATAAGAAGGAGTTCATCCAGCACTTCTTCTCTTGTCTCTGCGAGCTCTCCAATCCAAAAAGCTTGACCATCTACAGTTGGCTTCTCCATAGACTTGTTTACTTCGAAATTCATCACTATATCTCCAAGATGCAAGTCAATCTTTCCATTCTTGACATCTATTATAGCTCCTGCAGTAGCTAGGAATGGCCTTCCCAAGATAAGAGGGTCTTTAGGTTGGTGTTCCAGCTCAAGAACTACAAAATCAGCAGGGATGTAGCAATCTCCAACCATGATTGGAACATCCATAATAACACCAACAGGGCGGCGAACAGATCTGTCTGCAAAGACTAGAGAGATCTTTGTAGGTTTGAAGTCAGTGATGCCCAATAGCTTGGCCACTGAGTAAGGCATTAGGTTCACACTAGAACCCAAATCACAAAGTGCTCTATGGAAGTGTGTAGAACCGATCTTGCAAGACAAAACAAAACTCCTGGGTCGTTCAGCTTCTCTGGCATGCGATTCTGAAGTATGGCACTACACTCCTTTGTAATCATCATTGCTCCTTCTTCAAGACTCACATTGCTTGTGAGTATGGCCTTCATATACTTCCTGAGAGATGGAATTATTTGGCAAGCATCAATGAAAGGTAACCTTACTGAAAGTTGGCTAACAAGATCCTTGAGCTTTGCTTGCTCCTTCTCCTTCTTGGGTTGAGAAAGAACATTTCTGTATGGGATCTTTGGCTCATACACTCTTGGTTCTTCAGGTGGCTTCTCCACTTCCTCCTGAGTTCCTGGTTCTATTCTGACATGGACTTCCTTAGGTGGTTCAGTCCATCTCCAATAATGACATACTCCATTGGTTTCTTCTTGTTGGCGGCTTTGCTTCCTCTTGATCTGGGTATGCTGGTGGCTCATACCCTTTTCCATTCCTAAGAGTGATAGCTGCTACAGCTGCTCTCCTTGGATTGATTTCCACTTTTCCTGGTAGCACACCTTCTTCTCTCTTAATAGAGCTGGCTATGTTGGCAACTCTAAGATCCAAGTCTCTTGTGAAAGAAGAAATAGAATCCAACTTCTCATTCAATCTGTGAAGGCTGACTCCAATCTCTCATCAATCAAGGCTGTGTGCTCTCTATGAGAACTCTTGATGAAAGTTATCAAATCTTCAAAATTGCTCCTTGGCTCCATTCTTCTCTTGTGAGGTGGTTGCTGATAATTTCTTCCTCCATGAACATCCCTCTTCTCATTGGGTGATTCTTGAGTAAAAACATCATGCTCTCCTTTCCAAGCTTCTTCTCTATGTGCTGATCCATCTATTCCAACAAAGTTTACTTCTTCTTGGAAACTTGGAATCAAATCTCCAAAGTAATCTTGAATTATTGTGGACTCAACTCTATAAGCTTCTCTTTGTCTCTCCACTTCTCTTCCTTGGTTTCTCAGTATCTCAGCCATCATGGCTTTGATTTCGCTGTATCCATCTCTGTATGGATCAGAATTTATGGCCTTCACTGCTCTCTCATGCCCAATGAAGTTGTCACTGTCGCTTGAGGCTAGATTTTCAATCAAAATCTTTGCTTCAGTAACTGTCTTGGTCATGAAATTTCCATTGCTGGCTGTATCAAGAGAAAATCTACACTTCCCACTTATTCCTCTGTAGAAAATGTTCCATAGACTGCCCTCAGATAGCCCATGGTTAGGACACTCTCTTGTATAGTCCTTGAAGCGCTCCAATGCTTCATGAAAAGGCTCCACCGGCCCTTGTTGGAAACTAGAGATCTTTTCTCTCAACAAGTTTGCTCTCTGCTTTGTGAAAAAGTGACCTAGGAATGCCACCTTGTACTCTTTCCATGTGGTTATGGATTGAGCTGGAAGAGACTTAACCCAGCGCAAAGCCTTCCCTGTCAAAGTGAAAGAGAATAGTTTGCACTTTAAGTACTCTTTGGGTGCACCTCCTGCACTGATGGTGCCACAAATTTCTTCAAAAGCATCAATATGTTCCAAAGGATTCTCTTGGGGTTTCCCTTGGAACTGGTTTTGTTTCACCAAACCAATAATCTCCGGCGAAATCTCATAGCTTCTTCCTTCAGGAAGTGGCGGCTGGATGGGATTCCGATCTATTAGCAGTGTTGGATTGGAATCGAAGTCTCCCATGACTTCTTCATTATGTCGCGCTCCATCATTGGCGCGATTGTGCGCGGCGTTCGGATCCGGCGGATCTTCGTGCTGCTCGGCCAGCGCGATCTCTCTCGCGGCCAAGTTATCTCTCTCCTCTTGATCTTCTGAATCACTCATGTTAGAGTCTTCTTTCAAGCTTAGTACCTGAAAGGGATAGAGGCAAGATTCTTTAAATAGAAAACAGTAAAAAGGAAAAACAAAAGTTGAAAATTTGCAAAAACAAAAAGGAAAAACGAAATTCTAGGCTAGACTATAGTTGGGAACTCGAAGGTAGCTGTATTGCTCCCCGGCAACGGCGCCAAAAACTTGATCGCGGGATCAGGTCTTCCCTTTTCCTATCCCTGATTCTGCAAGTGCACAGATCAAAGTAGTAAACGGGTATCGAACACAAGGAGCAGATAAGTACACTTCGAGTATTGCAAGTCTAATATAGCTAGAAAACAAGTATGATTTAGGGTTTTCGATTGTGTAACAAAGTAAATCAAACAGCAGATTAAACGGTTTATGAAAATCAATAGAGGGAAACGCTAGGCAATGAGAAACTCGCAGAGATTCAAGGTTAACAAGATATTAGAAGGTTCGCTAGGGTTTGCGCTATCTAGAACTCAGGTCACGATTGTATGATCTTTCCACTGTCGAGGCTCCGACCCCTTTGTTAATCTACCTAGTCGCTAAACTTTTGGTATGTCCCTAGGTGATTAAATCAAGCAATAGTTCGTTCAAGACCCAATTGTTCACAACCCCGCATAGATCAACTTTCGCAGTCTATGAAGTTTTGCTCACCAAATACTTAGTTCAGGTTATATAGCAAGCTTTTGGAGAGTATATGAAACCTAAGATCTGATGCTAGTTGATCAGAAAAGCAAGCAGCAATGAATTCAAGCAGAGGCGAAGATGCGATATGATAAACCCTATGTGACTTCTAACAACCTATCAAACCATGAACTCTTTGATAGATCTCACAACCTAACTAGTGAATTACTCAGACATAATCAAAGCAAAACACAAAGAGATGAAGAAAACATGATTGCAATAAAACTCAAAGTATGAAATCGTAATACAAGGGCGGCTCTCTTTCTCAAGAGGCTAAAAATCCATATATATAGTGCTAGGTCTTTCTAGAGGCGGCTTAGGGTTAAGCCGGGCTTGAAAACATAAGTTTGGGCTTCAAAAAGGGCTTCGGGTCGACCGCGGCGTTGGGACGGTCGTGCGGGACGATCGGCCGGACAATCGGGTCGTGGGCGAGTCGGAACGGTCGGGGTCGGATGGATTCGCGGTCGGCCGGCGTGGTCGAGCGGATTGAGATTTGGCCGATGAAATTCTCGGCCGGACGTGGGACGTTCTTTCCCGGCTCGGACGGATGCATCGGCCGTGGTACGCGAACGGGTTGCGCGGCCGCGAGGCCTTGTTTCCCGGCTCGCGCGCTTTGGTCGTGCGCGGTGTGGCGTGGAGCGTTGGCTTGGCCGACCGCGGGACAATGTTTCCCGGGTCGTGTGCGTGATCGGCCGGTCGGTTTGGAACTTTGGCCGAGACTTCAGTCGGACGGATGTGATTTGGCCGAGCGCGGAACATGTTTCTCGGCCAGCCGGACTGCGCGGTTGGGCGCTGTCTTCTCGATAGAGCCGTCTGGACAGTCTCCACTCTTTTGGTTGTAACTCCTTTTCTACTCATCCAAATGAGGCCATTCCAATTGCGTTGGAAAGTTAACTCAATCAGAGCACGCAGGGAACTGGTCTTGATGAAATCCATTGAGTAGATCTTTTTCTGGGCCCTCTTAAAGTTGGTGCTTGTGCATGGAGCTGCTTGAAGTGCAAATCCTATGGTTTTGCTCCAAAATGCATCATTTCACCTGTTTAGACTCTAGACACTATAAACACAGTAAAACTACCTTTTTAGATAGAAAACCTGCCAAAAACCATTAGAAAACAATGCTAAAACAGTATAAAAAGTGGGTAAATTAGAGGTATATCACCAACCTCTCCGCATCCCGCTCAAAAACGACTCTGCCTCTGTAGCAATCCAGATGAACTCTGTAGTACGACAACCAGTCCATCCCGAGAATAACATCATACAGCTCCACGGGACTGATGACCAAAGTCTGCTGGCATTGACTGCCCCGCAATCTCGATCTCGACTCCTCTAGCACGGCCCAAAGTAGACAAGAATCCACCTCCCGCCACCTTGACCATGCCCGCGCTCTCGCCCGCGCTACTCCGGATGCCACTCTTCTCGGCACGCTCCGGTGTAATGAAGCAATTCGATGCTCCAGAGTCGAATAAAATGTGGGACTCAAAACCGCCCACTAACAAGGCCCTACACATTCAATTGCGTTGAGAACCTCCACAAATTCTATCACAGACAAAAAGAACAAACTCCAACCACCACAAATGCGCTCACCACTCAGATAGTGGACCGCTAACTCCACTGATACTAAACAAACATCTGATAGACTGGAAATTCCGCTCCAATCTCTAACGCCACTAATCTGCCGCCTCTGGGCTAACTCCGCTCTAAAAGTACGGCGTACCAATCCTCTGCATGTGCCCCATCATATCCAAATAAGGACGGCACCATCAAACCCACAGCCTGCGGCTGAACAAAACCCGCAGCCCTCTGCTGCACCTCTGCCACTGGAGGTACTCCCGGAGCCCCTGTGGACCACTGGCGGAAAATCGAGCCAATAGCTGCGTCAGCAAACCCACCACAAGTCATCACGACCCTGAGCCGGAGCACTGCCCCCACCCGGAGCAGCCCCGCTCCCAAACCAACACTGCATCCACACTGGCCTCACTCGCCACGGATACCGACTGGGTCACCGACGCAGTCGCCACACTCGGCCCCGGCCTCCACGGCCTCTAGCTCTGCCACCACGGCCTCTAGCACCGCGCCCTCTCGCGCCACAACCTCTAGCTACTCAGTCCATCTCACTCATGGAACCGAAAAGAGCACACTAGAACACGCAACCAAAACTCAAAACAAACATAAACTCACCGCGGAATCTCTTGTAGCTGAAGGGGATGATACTAACTAGCAATAACAGTCCTAAAACCGTCTAGGCTCTGATACCAAAATGAAACAACCAACATTTTTTTTTTTTAATAAATAAATACTAATCAATTCTAGCGAAGGTCTTTAAAATAAATTAAATAAATAAATATCAATAACAAATAAATCAGTTCAGCGGAAGCAAATAATAATTAAACAAGTCTAGCAAAATAATGCAAAATAAATAAAACAATAAACATCCTATCATCCCCTCTTCAGCCTTGATTCCGCGATCACACAAATCTTTTACCTGCAACACATTGGAATGGAGTTGCGTAAGTATTTAATAAATACTTAGTGAGGCAATCACTCTGCCTACGAACCATTTACTAGGGGTGTCAAAATGGGTAACCCGACCCAACCCGACCTTTACCCACACGGGTTTGAAGGTTATAGGGTCGGGTTATGACCCGACCCATTTATTTTATGAGTTCTAATTTATAACCCAAACCCAATTATATTAATACCCATTAGTTAAAGGGTCTTTTAGCTCAATACCAATGGATGTTGCAAAAATTAGGTAACTACCAATGCATACTTGTAAATTAGTTTGTGGTAGAGAGAGAAAAAAAATTAAGCCAAAAATATCCTTTTCACTTTCAATAATTACAGAAAATGCCATTGTCATGAAATTTTATTTTTCTGATAAAGCAAATCGGAAACACTGTTCAACATTTTATTTTCTGCAAACAAATCGCAAACACTGTTCAACCTCTCATGAGATATATTATTCATATTCTGTTTTTAATATACTGTTCATTTTATGCTAAAATGGTGACATATTATCGCAACAAAAATTATCAAGCTAAATAAGTTATCATATTACATAAAATAATGAATATAAGATAAGAGAATTAACTTGTTAGCACGATAACATTTCCGTGCTAAACGAGTTACCCATAAAATGTTACCGTGTTAAACTAGTTATCCATGAAATGTTAACGTGCTAAACTAGTTATCCATAATATGTTATCGTGCTAAACTAGTTACCCTAAAATGAAACTCTAATGTTAACATAATTAACATAAATTAACTTATCATACTAAAAAATAAAAATAAAAATATGTATGAGAACTAATGTGTTAACTCATACATTAATTTTCATATTAACATAATTATTATATCAAAAAATTATAATGCTAATTGAGTTATCATATTTTTAAAAATATGTGTTAAACTAGTTACCCATACAAAAATTATAGTTCTAAACTAGTTATTCATAATATGTTATCGTGTTAAACTAGTTACCAAATATAAAATACGAAACTTTGATGTTACCATTCTTAATGTAATTATCAACGAGTCAATTCTGCCGCCATTGCTGGCTTCTTCCTCCGCCTCCTCTTCTTCTTCTTCTCTTCATATGTCTCTGCCGTCGCTGGCTTCTTCTTCCTCCTCCTCTTCTTCTTTCTACTCTCACTCTGTTTCCACCATTGTTATCATCATGATCTCCGCCGCCAGCAGTAGCCGCCGTTACCATCAAATACTTTACGATCACCGCCGCCACCGCATACTTTCCTATCTCCTCCTCCGCCGCTGCTTTACGATCTCCGCCGCCGCCGCCGTTAACACCAGATATTTTAAGTGGGTAATCCGAACAAAAAAAGCTTGATCTTTTGAATCCAGTTACAAGTTTCCATCTAACTTTCGGGAAAGCAGAATGAGCTTTGCTCCAATCATGGCTTCTTGCAAAGACAAATTTTCCTTTCTCCAGTTTTAGATTCCCACGAAAATCTTGTAAACTAATTTCTTTTTCCTTCAGATTTATTCTTTAGGTAAGAAAGAGAAACTTTCCACCAGAATTATCGAGATGGTGGAGAGAGAACATGTGGTGAAGCTATGATTAAAGAAAAAAATAAAAATAACAAGGGGTGTTCTGTAAATTACATTGCCAAAACACTGTGTGAAAAAGGTGTCAGAATATTCACCTAATTTCCAAAGTATTGATGGGTATCCAGTGGTATTACTCTTAGTTAAATGGGTTACATGTATACCCATATATATTAAAAATAAGTAATAAAATATATATATATTTTTTAAATAAATGAATAATATTTTTTTTAAATACTATATATTATTAAGAATTCAACTAAAACTTATAAATAATAAATTGATAATAATATTTGTGAAGTAAAATAAAATAAAATATTCATAATTATATAAAACAGAAAATAAAATCATAAAATAAAACCATAAATTTATGAATATTTTACATATTTCTAATTTTCTTTTTTTGTGATAAACCCATGGGTAACCCATAACCTTAATGGGTGTTAAACCCATAAACTATTAGGGTCAACCCGCTAAAACCCATTTATTTATATGGGTAAAAAAATTCAACCCAAACCCATTAAAATTTGTGACTAATAGAGTCAAACCCATGGGTAATGACCCATTTTGACACCCCTACCATTTACGCAATTTACTAGATACTTAATAATATTTATAAACTCCAATAATTATTAAATACCTTTTTCCATTTATTAAATAATTATTAATAATTAAAACTCTTTTTTTCAATTATTAAATAATTTTTATAATTAAATAATAATTTTTCATATTTTAAATCAATTAATTAATTAAATTAACCATTAATTAATTAAATCCGAAAATAAATCAAACAATTTGAATTAAAACATTTTAATTCAATTACCAAAATTAACCAGAATCAAATCAATTTAAACCAAGATAAACCAATTAAATCAATTAATTCAACTAAACCACACAAACACACAATTTATCACAGAAACAACCAAAATACCATGAAATAACAATTAAACACATAAACTTATCAAGAACAACCACAACCAAATCTAAAATAGCAAATTGCGGACTCGCCTTGACAATGGATTGAAACTCAAGGAAAAAGGAAAGACGATGAACAGTGTTGAATCGCGGGTGAACAGTACCCGATGAACAGTAAAATCGGATTTTTCCAGGAACTCTCAAAATCGCCTTTCTCCTTCTCTGCCTCAAAAAACGTGATAAACAAACGGCTGCTTCTCCTTTAAAATGAAAATAAGGGTTTCCAACCCTTAACCGGGCTAAACCGGGCCCAATTTCACTCAAATTGAACCGAAATCAATTATCAATTATTTGGTTTGCGGATGTTACAACACAGGTGTGATAGCTTCGGTCCACCACGTGAGAGACAAATAGGTTTCCACTTTCCATCTGTGATAGACTGCTCAACTAACTGATATAATCTCTCCAGAGGACAAACAGGTACGGTGAGAGCGGGTCTCCTTGTCGAAGGCCTCTTGACGAAGTAAACGCATGAGTTTTCTCACCATTCCACAATACATGCATTGACAGTCCCGTTATGCATTGCAAAATCCACCATGTCCACTTCTCCGACATCCCAGCTGCGATCAAGGTATTTTATAAGAAGTACCATCAGATTTTATCATACGCTTTCTCCAAATCAAGCTTCAGCAACATCCAACCTCTCTTGCCCTTTTTTCTTTACATTGAGTGAACTGTTTCTTGGACTACCACAATATTGTCAGTGCCTAGTCGTCCAGGGATAAAGCTTGATTGTGCTGGTCCGATTAGTTTTGTAATCACTCCCTTAAGCCGATTCACCATCACCTTTCTGATCGTCTTAAATAGCACATTACACAAACTGATCGGACTAAATTGGGTGATTCTCTCCGGTTTAGCTACCTTGCCGATAAGAACTAACAACACGTCATTTGTATCCTTTGGTAGCTTCCCTGTCTGAAAAAACTCCAGCGAAAAACGAGTAACTGATTTTTGTACCACCTCCTAGCAACCTTGATAGAAGATTTGTTAAAATCGTCCGGGCCCGGAGCTTTGTAGCCTCCCATGCCCTATAATCGCTTGTTCTATTTGAAAACCGTCAAGTGTTGTAACTTGTGACGGTTCTTATCATTCATTTATTATTATTTTATTTTTTATAACTGATTCAAAAGTTTTATAGACCAAAGACTAACCCTACAAAGCCTTGCATTCAGATACGCATTTGGAAATATTCCAAATTTATTGTGCGGCTAGATGGCCAAGAGAATTTAAACCCAGAACCTCAAATGTAGAAAATTAACTCAAAGTGATGATATTTTAATATATATTTTTAGATGTCGTTAGTTGATTTTTTATTCATTATTTTGACAAAATTTGTTATTTTCATAAATTCTGCTCATGATAAAAAAAACTGTAAATATCCGTTTAATAAAAATACCCTTGCATTTCTCTATTCTTTGTTTGAATATTTTTCGATTAAGCATGGCAGCTCCTATGAGAAAAAATTCTCACCAAATTTTGCTGAACTTTCTTTTGTTTCGAAGAGGTCAAATTGTTAACGAAGAAGAGACCGGGAAAAATATTAATTTGCTAACAGAAGAAGTAAAGTTTACTTTTTCAAGACGCATGTGAGTAACAAACTAAAAAAGAGATGTCGAACATAAGATGCATGTGATGTATATGAAATATAGTAGATAACTTCACTGGTTAACTAACCTTGATACTTTTATCAAGTTTTCCTGTCAAAGCAAGAAGTAATTTTTTTTGGTTTTAAAGAAAAAGATTTAAATTATGAAAGGTTAGTCAAAAAGCTTAATTCTAAAATATAGTAAGAAATAGCATCCTCTATTTTGGAGTTGGGAATAGAGATAAATTGGAGAACATTTTACACAAAAATAGAGTTAAGAGCAGAAAATTGAGTGGATTGTAGATACTCTTAATTCTGGAAAAAGAGAATAGTTGAGTCATTCAGTAATGATGCAATGAACCAAGAATTACTGAATCACTCAGAATAAAATAAAACCACTCGTCATTACATGCTCTCTATAAAATGATCTGTGAACTCCGAAGGGAATCCCTCATTCTCATTCAACTCCAATAACTCCAAATTGTTTTTTTTTTTTTTGTTGCTAAAGTGTAAATATTTATTATGACATGAAAATGTTTGGTTTTACAAAGTGTGTTAACTCCAAGTCCTTGTGAAGGAGAAGAAACAGAGCAACGGGATAAAGAATGTTAGAAGAAGAAGTTGCGGTAGATGTGGAGATCAAAACTGCGGCTAAGAAGTTTCACATGTTCGTCGGATCACAACATTTGTCCAAAGCCACTCGCTACATTCGGGGATGTGATCTGGTTGAAGGGGAATGGGGCAAAGTTGGAAGCATAGTTTTGTGGAACTTAGTTTTTGGTAATGGCAACAATAAATATATATATATATATACTGGAAAAAAAAAACAAAACATCAAATATTTGATTATCGAACGCGTTTCCGTGCAGATGGAGAGCCAAGAGTGTCGAAAGATATGATCGAGGCGATGGATTTGGAGAAGAATTTGATTCAGTGGAGAGTGTTAGAGGGACCTGTGAAGAAATATTACAAGAGCGTCTTGAAAACGATGGAAGTGAGCCCCAAGAAAGAAGGGTCTGGAAATGTGGTGAAGTTGAGCATTAAGTATGAGAGGATTGATGAAAAGATGCCTCACCCAGAGAGCCTACTCCAGTTCTTGGTAGAAGTGACCAAAGAGGTCGACAGATACCTATTGTCTGAAGAATAGGGACTCTTCTATGTCTAAGTGGGAGTGTTATTGTATACATGATGACTCCTCTTCTGTTTGTATGTTTGTATATATGCTACACATCATGTGATCGCTTCAAGTTGCAAGTTGAGTCATAGTTCATGTAAGTCGTGAATGAGCTTTCAAAAATAAACGAAGTTTTGTTCTACTCCTCCAAGCCATATATCCGCGTTTATACTAACAGTACCAAATTAAGAATTTAAAAATATGTATATGTGAATCCTCTTTTCTACTCTTAATGAATCCACATGTGCAAAATCATAAAAAGAGAAGAAAAGAAAGTATCCCACAAACCATCTTCAACTCTAGCTCTGTTTTTTTGGTGTGATCGATAACTATCTAGGGGAACAGTTTAAAAAAAATCGACATATATATGATGATAATAACTTTATGTCGATAAAATTCAATATACTTAACTATATTCTTATATACAAAATTCAAGACTTGAATAGTCTAAACTGTGATATCCCTAATGATTTTCTGAATGTCCAACGTTTTTAGTCATAGTTTTACATGGATTTATTTGCATTTACCCTTTTACATTTTGCTTCCAAAAACTCAAAAATCATATTTAGATTTAGCTCAAGTTTATATTCGGAAATCATCGTGCACTAATTTAATTTCTGTTAGATCTCAAAATCACACAATAATAGTAAGATAAGAGATGTGAGGTTTAGGAGAGACTCTTTATTAAATCAACCAAAGACAAAGATGGTACAAGGGGTGATTCGTCTCGACGATAAGGTTGACGAGACGAATACGAAAAGAATAGAGAAGCTAAGAACAAAGGACGAATTATAACTAGGGTTTTGCCTCTTTGCTCTCAGTGATTGTGGAGAATTTCTGGATGATTCTGAATGATTCTGAATGGTCTTCAAGGAATAGGGGGTCTTCTATTTATATGGAGAGGAGGTTGGCTTCCTCAAGATATTCTTCCATATTTCTTTTGGAAATATTCTTCTTTGGCGTTGATCTCCTTCTATTTTTCTTGGATGTAGTCTTTTTCTCCAAGTACTTCCTTTTCTTTGAGGAGGTGGAAGTGGAAGCGGGCCGGGCTTACATAGTATTATTAATTGTGACGGGCTCAGGAAATTGTGCTAATTTCTGCTCTAACAATAAGTCCCCCCCAGTTTGGCGAGATAAATGCAATTTAATCTCGGCGAACTTCATGTATAAAAGAGGAGCTCAAGAGCAATTAATAATAACTATGTGATGCCGATGTTGTCGCGATGCTGCGCTGACGTGATGCTGCGTTGCGTTATTGACTTTAGATCCGTACTGCCTCGTTAAAACCTTGATATGGAAAAACCCTATGGGATAAAAACCATAAGAAGGGAAAAGAGTACAGTGACGTAATCTTGTCCGCAAATAGAATATGCTTTTGATAATTTCTCTCGGACTTGACGAGATGACTCTTTTGTCTCGTCAAGGAGAATAGATTGATGTGACGATTTTTCTCGGATTCGAGCTTCGACGAGATTGGTTTTATCGGGCTCGTGTGATGACGAGACCGCTCGATCTCGTATATGATGACGAGATCGGTGTCTTCTCGGGCTCGTGTGATGACGAGACCGCTCGATTTCGTATATGATGACGAGATCGGTGTCTTATCGGGCTCGTGTGATGACGAGACCGCTCGATTTCGTATATGATGACGAGATCGGTGTCTTCTCGGGCTCGTGTGATGACGAGACCGCTCAATTTCGTATATGATGACGAGATCGGTGTCTTTCGGGCTCGTGTGATGACGAGACCGCTTCGATTTCGGATGGACGAAACCGGTTGGGGTTGCGCTTCGGCAACACTTGTTTTCTCGGGATCGTGCTTCGACGAAACCGGTTGGGGTTGCGCTTCGGCAACACTTGTTTTCTCGGGATCGTGCTTCGACGAAACCGGTTGGGGTCGCGCTTCGGCAACACTTGTTTTCTCGGGATCGTGCTTCGACGAAACCGGTTGGGGTTGCGCTTCGGCAACACTTGTTTTCTCGGGATCGTGCTTCGACGAAACCGGTTGGGGTTGCGCTTCGGCAACACTTGTTTTCTCGGGATCGTGCTTCGACGAAACCGGTTGGTTTTATCGGGCTCGTGTGATGACGAGTAGGGGGCTCGTGTGATTCTGAATGATTCTGAATGGTCTTCAAGGAATAGGGGGGTCTTCTATTTATATGGAGAGGAGGTTGGCTTCCTCAAGATATTCTTCCATATTTCTTTTGGAAATATTCTTCTTTGGCGTTGATCTCCTTCTATTTTTCTTGGATGTAGTCTTTTTCTCCAAATACTTCCTTTTCTTTGAGGAGGTGGAAGTGGAAGCGGGCCGGGCTTACATAGTATTATTAATTGTGACAGGCTCAATGAAATTGTGCTAATTTCTGCTCTAACAATTTCTCTAAGGATCAATTACCTAAAACACTGCACACTGACCGGTATGCACTTGCAGCACTTATTTTTTCTTTTATTTTTAGGAAAACTTCACCCATACATCAACCGGCCAAGTTACATCTCATGGGATGTCAAAATGGCGTTACGTATACCCTCCCACACTCTCACATGCAGAACTCAACAATTTTCATACATTTTATTGTTTACATGGTATAAGTACGTACGTGCCAATGCATAGACCCACACAATCAATCATACTTGTTTTGCAGGCGCAAAGTGCATAAACACACACATACACCTAGACTGACCCCTTTCGATGATCATACGTCGATTTTAGAGCATTACTCCACCTAATAGCGATTTCCTCCGATTCTAGTGGATTTTAGGGATCTAAGTAAAACATAATTCTACTCTCAAGGCAAAAGCCGATTTGTCCTATTAAATTTAAATAATAATTTCATATACAGTAGAAACTCTATAAATTAATAATGTCGGGACTTTGATATTTTATTAATTTATAGAGTTATTAATATATAGATTTTGGCTAAAAAAAAATTTCAAAAAAAGAAAATTCAAAATTACGAATCTTTTAAATTTTCCTTAACATTAAATAAAACTTTCCTTTATATGTATATTTTCTTAACTTTTCTCTTTGATGTTTCTATATTTACTTTATTGTTTATATTTTCTCATACTTGCCATATTATTTTAAATTTTTATTTTCTTTTAGTTTCCATATATGTTTGGTGTGTGAGAGATTCATATTTTAGTAGCTAGATATTTTAGATTTATATAAGTTTTTATATGATAATTATTAATTTATGATATTATTGGGACCATATTTTACATAGGACTTTAAAAAAAGTTATTATCTTATTATCTTATCGAATAGTATCATATTTTACACCGGCCCAACTCGGGACCGGAGAAATTTATTAATTTATCGTGTTTATTAATTTATCGAGTATTAATTTATAGAGTTTCTACTGTATCAAGTAAATCCAATTTCGGTATGCTCACTAAATGATGTATATAATCAGCTTTCATATTCTATATATAACGTATCGTATGTCAGTTTGAGCTAATTAACAAAATTTTGCGAGGGGTAACTCTACTATATCATGCTAAATTATCATTTTAAAACAAAACTATACAGATGATTATTTCAACCGAGTCTCATCAGTCATGATGATAAGCTTCACCAAAGTAAGAAAATGAAGGGAAAGCCTGTGGTTGACAAAGAGGGTTTTCCGTTTACTGAGAAGTACTATAAATAAGCTTTGTATGTTTTAAGACTTATGCTTTGTATTGTGATTCTGGTTTGTTCAAGCAAAATGAGCTTGGAGAAAGATGATCGAAATGAGATAATCTATGAATCTTATAGGTTATGATCGCTTAGAGATTATAATCTGAGATTCATTGTATCGATTCTGTAATTGTGTGTGAAGCATCAATAGAGAGAGATCAAGATTCATAACTCTATCACATGATCACTCAACCGTTAACGCTCCACTACTCTACTAGCCACATGACCACATCAATGACCTTTACATTTCAATTTGGAAAATGACATGTATATATATATATATATATATATATAATAATAATATATATAGTTGTTTCTTATTTTGGCAATAACATATACAGTATATACCTTTTTAAGACAATTTCATATCTTCTTTAACCAAAAGAAAAAGACAGTTGTATAGATGTGTTTCTTAAGCTGAAAAATTGTAGATACAGTAGAAACTCTATAAATTAATACTCGATAAATTAATAACTCGATAAATTAATAAAACTGTATGGTCCCAAATTAAGTTTTTGATCCAATAATCTTTCGATAAATTAATATTTCATTAAATTAATAAAATATCTTATACCCGACATTATTAATTTATAGAGTTTCTACTGTATCAGTAAAAAGACAAAAATTCAATAAATGATAACAATGTGACTCGTTGTTGTAGACTTGGGATAAATTTATCGTGCTATTTTATTGGATGTATGATATTTAAATCGTATAGCTAACGTGCAAAGTGAAAATATAGAACCCTAGAATTTTGAACAAAAAAAAAAAAGAACCCTAGAATAATATATCTCACGATTATATAACCGACATAAATGTAATTATTGGATACAACACATAGACAACATACATGATTTGTACGATGAGAAAATCATGCCACATGGAATAAAAAGCACTCATAAGATGTTTATACATAATATTAATAACAATGCGGTAAAGAATCTATCTGTGGCGTTTTAACGTTGGAAGTTCACGAAATTAGAGCGTATATGAGATGGTATACGAGCAGGACGATAGTTCTTGTCAAGCCACACCCCCGTTCCTTTTGCCTCCAAGATAGGCTGGTTTTGGTAAAAGGATCCGAGTCAAAACACAACTAAAAACCTACACAAGTCTTCGGCAGAACAAAAAAAAATAAAAAAATTAACCTCTTGATTTGGAACTTTAAAGATGAACTGTTCAAAGTAAAGGCGCGCCACAGAAGTCCCCGATATCCTCGTTTTCAACACAAACTTGCTTCCACTCTGCTCAACGAAATCAAATAAATAATACAAAAAACATTGATATTGTTATATTATATCATGTGACAAATCGTTTAGGAGAAAAAGGTCAAAAATTACACGTAAAGGTGCAATGAACTTTATTGTCAGCTCAGAGATTGCCACGGCTTCACCAGAACGGGATAGTTCTTCACAACTCACACCAATACTCTCCAAAAACTCGTGTGGACCTAATTAGTCGGAAAACGTGTTATAACGAACAATTAGTACACATTAAACGAGGGTTTAATCTTAAGCATAATTTTTTGCAACCGAATTAAACAAACCGTGTTGGCAGTAGTTTGCGTAAACAGCATTGTTCACAACACCAAACTGATCCAGTTCATAATCACGGACTTTAAGTTCAATCTCTTGGAACCCACTCATTCTGCCATACCGAGAAAAATTCAATAAGATATGAAACGCTTTTATTTGTTTTTTTTTTTTTTTTTTTTTTGAGAAAGGGTTTACTACATGAACATCATAGTAATGCAACCGATATCACAAAAGAAACAAAAATGAAAATTTGAGAGATGTACGTGTCGTACCCATTGGCTCCTTTAAGATGGAGGCATGCGAGAGGCTTGAAGGTCTTTGCGCTCTGGAGAGGTAGAATAAGTGGTCGCCTCCCTGGATAGGGAAACACCACAGGCATAGCGAGAGCCAATGTAGCTTGAAACATTGTACGTTTTCGAGTGACAATGTCCAAATGTGATGAGTAGTTGACAACTTTTTGTTCGGTTTGGGAAAATTGGGTTTCAATCACCACATCCTTATATAACTCACAAGCCTAAAGCACGCTCAGATTCAACACCCCCAACTTCTTGATACGTGTCATCACCCCAAATTTAGCAATTTCTATTCTTTTTTTTTTCTTTCCAACGAAACTTAATCAATTAAAATTTTTATGTTATTTCCATTTCAAAATATAAACTTTTTGTTAGAAAATAAAAGATAAACTTCTTGTTAGAAAATAAAATATATTAAATTCAAGTTTCTAAGCAATTTTATAACATCATGTACACCAAAGTACACTTACCCACTCTCCTAACTTCATCTTGAGTTCCCATGTCCAAGTGTCTTTGTTACTGTCTTTGTTACCAAGAAACAAATTACAAAATATATATAATTCTGGCTGTAAAACTAGTCCTATAAGTGTTGGACCCAGATTCCACACCTGGAATCTAGCCGTAAGGGCCCATTACCTTGATCCAAGATTGAAGTCCAGGCCCACTCAAGCCCAGCAAGAAGACTCGAGCCCACCAAGCGACTCCCTCGTAAGCCAGTTAACTGCCATCCGAGCTATTCCGGTCGACGTAAAGACGAGCTCCAGCTCGATCAAGGACCAGGTCGGCACTGCGAAGAAAGACGAAGTCAAAGAAGATCTCCTTCAAATCCGGTCTGGTCCGAGATCACCGGGATCGTTAGCTGCACGTGGCGAGATACGCGGAGGTGGATCGTAGCTGATTCTGGAGCTATAAAAGGAGCTTGAAAACAGTCGGATCAAGGGACATCTTTTCAGACATCTTCTTCCGATCATTAGACCTAATTACTATCATACTTTCCTTGTATTTTCCTTTGAGCTTAGTTCTTTCTCTCTTCTGAGAATTCATTGTAACCATTTTCATTCGTTTAATACAATTCCGTTTAGCCAAATCCTTGCTTACGATTCATTCGACTTACATCAAAATCTAGCCCTAAATCTCCCTAAGTTTCTTCCTTGCAAAACCTATAAATTTCGAGTGTGGTTTTCATAGCCCACATTTTGGCGCCGACTGTGGGGAGGAAACATAGATTTTCTTACACAAGGGTCGAACCTAAGCCAGGTAAGAGCGAAAATGGATACTATCCGGTCGCAAACCCAGGGATCTAACTCCCAAAACTCGATCCCATCGGATCAGATCACCTCGAACATCAGTAGCAGCCAAACTGCTGATGCATCGAGAGATCAGATCGCGTCGAATGTTGGTAGCCGCCAAACTGCCAACACTTCGAATACGCCGATCACATCTGCTACCGCCTCCACTGGAGTGCAGCTTAGCACTCCACCTCGCGTGGAACCAGTGGTGATCAATCTCGCCACACCGGTAGCAACCCCGAGCCCGATTCTACCGAATCTGGGTTCGCACACCATCGAGAGACCTCTCTCTCGAGTTTGGGTCAGATCGGAAGATCCCCCAACAACTGTGACTCCACAGAGTCGGACTATTCCTGTTCGACCTGCATCTGCGACGCAAACTCCTCCGCGAGCTAGTCCAGATGATCTGGCACAGATCAAACAGCTTCTCACCAACCTGGTAAACGGTCAGCGCGACCACGAAACTAGGCTGGAGAGACATGAGAGACGCCTCGCTGAATCTCGAAACATCACTAGCCCGCCTCCGCGGACTCAGCTCGATTTTTCGACGATCTACGCATCTGGCATACCTCAGGCGCAATTCGTTACGCCTTCGCGACCTCAAGTCTCTCAGACTTTCGGTCCACCGCCGAGCTCGCCACCAGTTGGCAATACGAGCTCGCACCCAAGCGAGACGAGAGCTCAACCGAACGTTCCGCTCTCATCTCCACCCCCAGGGCCACCTGGTACCGATCCAGCTAGGCCTAGGTGGTTTGGCGCTTCAGCTTTTGCCTCGAGCTCGCAGGCAATGCCTCAGTTTGAGAATCAGCTAGGCGCGACATACGGTTCACAGCCCTCCGCAACAGCGCGAGAGCACGTGAACGGGAATTATCAACAATTCCCTAGCTCGAACGGTCAGCCCAATCGAGCTCAGTTCCAAGGAGCTAACGATTCATGAATCAAGCTCCATTTTTCCGATTCCAGCAATCAAAATACCGAGATACCAGCAAGCTGCGTATCCCGAATACTCGGTAACAGCGATCCGAGAGCTTACATGCGAGCTTTTAACCTCGTCGTATCTCGAGTTCCTTTCTCTCCAGAAGAGATAGAAGCAGCCTACTGCAGGCTCTTCGCTGAGAACCTGATCGGACCAGCTCAAGAATGGTTCTCAACGCTGGACGAAAACTCAATCGATAATTTCGACCAGCTCCAATCAGCCTTCCTAAAACAGTATTCGATCTTCATCGAATCTAAAATTACGGAAGCAGACCTTTGGAGACTTTCTCAAGGTCCAAAGGAATCACTTCGATCTTACATTGACAGATTCAAATCAGTCAAAGCTAAGATCACAAACCCTAATGAGGCAGTAGCTCTACTTGCCCTCAAAAACAACTTGTGGTACGAATCGAAATTTAGAGAAGAACTAACTGTTCGACCTACAATTTCACTAGATGACGCATTACATCGCGCATCAGCATTCGCAACTCTCGAGGAAGACACAGCTCTCCTCAGAGAAAAGTACCTCAAAGGGGAGCTCGCATATGCTCCACCAGGTGCTAAGAAAACTGCACCAGCTAAACCACCTTCGCAGAGTAAAGGACAACATTCCTACTCTATCGAAACTTCAGCTCCCATAAAGAGCTCGGAGGAAGAAGAGAAACACTGCGATATTCACAATACAAACGGCCATTCCACAGAGGAATGCCGTGCTAAAGGCAAAAAGTCTAGCAAAAAGAAGGGAAAAAGCAAAACAGCTGAAACCGCGGTTAAGGCCGAAAAGCCAAAACCCAAACCAGCTAAAGACTCCGACAACGCACCTCAGAAAAGAGAACGCGAAGTCGAGGTCGAAGCCCCGATTCCCCTCCTTCTAACAGGAAAAGAATCGACCTAATCTTCGGAGAGCTCAGCCTTTGCGGCGGCTCAACGAGATCCGTGGTCACCCCCCCACCCGCTCCTAGAAAGGCTACGAGCTCTAGCTCACACAGACCTCCTAGACTTGTCGGGGGGATAGAGCATTCTTACAGAAGCTCGCCTGTTACATCACCTACCTCCAGACCCGATACTAAGAGCATTGCGATCTCTTGCTTACGCAGACTTCACAAGCTCTCGGGGGGAGTAGAGCCACCTACCCCTAAACGAATTGACTTCATTTGCGGTGGCTCGAAGATGTGCAAAGACTCGATTAACTCGATCAAAGCACATCAGCGACGGGTCGAGTCATCTGGACAACCACGTCCTCTAGACGGACCTGATCACGAAATCAAATTTCGAGAAAGCGAAACACTCGCACTCGATAAACCTCATGACGATGCACTCGTAATCGAGCTCGCCGTAGCCGGATTCGAGCTGACCAGAGTCATGATAGACACAGGAAGCTCTGTAGACGTGCTGTTCTACGATGCTTTCAAGCGAATGGGATTCGAAAACTCCGCACTCATAGGAGGCCGTACGCCCCTAACTGGGTTCGCAGGAGAAACGACCTATTCCATGGGAACTATCCAGCTCCCAATCAAAGCAGGTGGTATAACGAAAACAGTTGACTTTGTGGTCGTAGATCGCCCCGCGCCATTCAATGCCATTCTCGGCAGGCCGTGGCTCTACACCATGAAAGCAGTTGCATCCACTTACCACCAATGCGTCAAGTTCCCTACACCTTGGGGAACAAAAACAATTCGCGGTTGCCAACGAGCTTCCCGAGATTGCTATATGGGCAGCTACTTGCGAGCTGAAAAATCGCCAGTATAGCAATTACAGAAAGAAGAGGAGCTCGCGATTCGGCAGATCAAACATGGCAAAGATCCGACCGTCCGCGAACCTCGAAAAGACTTGGTCACTCAGGTTTGCATCGACGAAACCGACCCCGAAAGGCGCGTTGGTATCGGAATCGATCTCGCAAAACCTATCCGTGACGAGCTGATCGCCTTCCTAAAGGAAAACATCAGCACATTCGCATGGTCCACCGCGGACATGCCCGGGATTGACACTAGGATCACGTCTCACGAGCTGAACGTAGATCCCACGTTCAAACCCATGAAACAAAAACGTCGAAAACTCGGCCCAGATCGGGCTAAAGCAGTAAACGACGAAGTAGACCGACTACTCAAGGTAGGCTCGATCAGAGAGGTGAAATACCCCGACTGGTTAGCTAATCCTGTAGTTGTCAAAAAGAAAAACGGAAAGTGGAGAGTCTGTATCGATTTCACAGACCTTAATAAAGCTTGTCCAAAAGACAGCTATCCACTTCCTCATATAGATCGCTTGGTCGAAGCTACGGCTGGTCACCAGCTCCTATCCTTCATGGATGCGTTTTCTGGGTATAATCAAATCAAGATGAACCCAGAAGATCAGGAGAAAACAGCTTTCATAACAGACCGAGGTACTTACTGCTACAAAGTAATGCCATTCGGGCTAAAAAATGCGGGAGCTACATATCAGCGCCTCGTAAACAAAATGTTTGCCGATCAGCTCGGTAAAACAATGGAGGTGTACATAGACGATATGCTGGTCAAATCCTCTAGGGAAACAGACCACGTCGCACAGCTCCGGGTATGCTTCTCCATACTTAACAAGTACGGCATGAAGCTGAACCCGACTAAGTGTACATTCGGAGTTCCGTCTGGCGAGTTCCTCGGTTACCTAGTAACTGAACGCGGAATCGAGGCGAACCCGAAGCAAATCTCTGCCCTCTTAGATATGCCTTCTCCAGAAAATACTAGAGAAGTACAACGGTTAACCGGTCGAATAGCAGCCCTTAATAGGTTCATTTCCCGGTCAACCGACAAGTGTCTTCCATTTTACCAGCTCCTCCGAGGAAATAAAAAATTCCTCTGGGACGAAAAATGCGAAGAAGCTTTCAAACAGCTCAAAACTTACCTCAGCGAACCTCCTATACTGGCAAAACCAGTAGAAGGAGAACCGCTATACCTTTACATCGCGGTCTCGCCTGCAGCGGTCAGCGGGGTCTTAGTTCGTGAAGAGCTAAACGAACAAAGACCAATCTTTTACGTAAGTAAATCCCTGATTGATGCCGAGACTAGATACCCAGCTATGGAAAAACTTGCCTTAGCAATAGTAATGTCCGCTCGCAAGCTGCGACCTTACTTTCAATCACACACAATCGTGGTGATGACCTCGCAACCATTGCGAACTATGCTACATAGTCCAAGTCAATCTGGACGACTAGCTAAATGGGCTATCGAGCTCAGCGAATACGACATCGAATATCGAACTAGAACCTGTGCTAAAGCCCAGGTACTAGCTGATTTCATGATCGAGCTGGCACCGGAAGCCAATAACGATACCACCCTCTCTAAAGTTTGGACACTCTTCGTAGATGGAGCCTCGTCCAAACAAGGAGCTGGCGTCGGAATCAAACTCACATCTCCAACCGGAGAAGTGATCGAACAATCGTTCAGACTCGGATTCGTCGCCTCTAACAATGAGGCCGAATACGAGGCACTCATAGCCGGACTCCGACTCGCAATCGGGATCGGCGTGAATGAGATCAACGCATTCAGCGACTCCCAGCTCGTTACTAGCCAATACAGCGGCGAGTACGAAGCAAAAGAGGAGCGCATGGAAGCTTATCTCAAAGTAGTTCGAGATTTAGCTGGACAATTCAGTAAATTCGAACTAACTAGGGTGCCTAGGGGAGAGAACACTTCGGCTGACGCCTTAGCTGCTCTCGCCTCCACTTCGGACCCAACTGTAAGACGTGTGATCCCAGTCGAAGGCATAGATAAACCTAGCATCGACATCGCACTCAAGTCTGACAGTATAAACGCAATTACCTCGCGCCCGTCTACTCGTTCTCAAACTAGACAGTCCCAAGATCCGGGACCATCTAACCCGGAACCTGATTCCGAGGAAGAAGAACCTGACCAAGATAGGCAAAAAACAAGGTATATCGATTCGGACTCTTCGCAAAATACGCAAGAGTCCACGATCCATACCGTCCCATCTGCTATGGCGAACGAACTCACCTTAAAGGAAGAGTTCGCTGCGAGACCCGACTGGAGAACCCCTATCATCGAGTATATCCAGCTCGGAGCCGTCCCTAACGAAAAATGGGCATCTCGCAAGCTAAAAGCCCAAAGCGCACATTATTGCATAATGGAAGATAAGCTCTACAAGCGAAGCCTTATCGAACCATATCTAACATGCATCCGGAAGAAGCTTACACCGTAATGCACGAGACTCATCAAGGACCTTGCGGAAGTCATTCCGCAGGCCGAGCTCTCGTCATACGGATTAAAAAGCTAGGCTACTTCTGGCCGACGATGATCAGAGACTGCGAACAGTACTCCAGGCGATGTGACAAATGCCAAAGGCACGCCCCAAGCATTCACGTCCCAGCTGAAACACTCTCATCGATCTCTTCACCTTATCCTTTTATGAGGTGGTCTATGGACATAATAGGACCTATGGTCTCTTCGGGACCAAAGCAATTCCAATACCTATTAGTCCTTACTGACTACTTCACTAAATGGATCGAGGCCAAACCATACCAACAAACGACCGAACTCGAGGTCCGGAAATTTATCTGGAAAGACATCATTTGTCGACACGGGCTCCCTTTCGAGATCGTGACAGATAACGGATCTCAGTTCATAGCTCGAACATTCAAAGACTTCTGCAAGAAGTGGAACATACGCATAACGTATTCCACACCTCGTTACCCTCAAGGGAACGGGCAAGCTGAAGCAACAAACAAAACCCTCTTGAGTAACCTCAAGAAACGACTCGACGCCCGTAAACATAGGTGGTCCGAAGAGCTCGCAGCAGTTCTTTGGGCTTGCCGAACTACACCTCACAAAGCTACTCATGAGACCCCGTTCTCATTAGCTTACGGGCTAGAGGCCGTCATCCCAACTGAAACTTCCGTTCCAAGTCTTCGCAGGATGCAATGTCCAGCGAACGTCGAGCTGAACGAAGAAATGTTGAGAGATCACCTTGACCTTATCGACGAACGTCGAGATCAAGCTCTGATCCGGATACAAAACTATCAACAGGCCGCAGCTCGCTATTACAACTCCAAGGTTAAACACCGGAGCTTTCATATAGGCGACATGGTTCTGAGAAAAGTACAAGACTATACCAAAGAGCCCGTGCAGGGAAACTTGGGACCAACTGGGAAGGTCCCTACCTCATTACCGAAGTAGTTCGCGATGGCGTCTACAAGCTCACAAAAGTCAGAAACGGAATACCTGAACTAAGACCTTGGAATGCGATGAACCTGAAAAGGTACTATCACTGAAAAGGATCTAATCTGAGTATCTCCACCCCTCGAACTACGTTTAGGCTTGATCCTCCTTCCCTGGGGGTACGTAGGCAGCTCAACCACGAGTCCAGCCCCAATCCGAATTTACTTCGTTTTATTTGAGACGACCTCATTGGCCGGCCCTAAAACGGGCTCGATTTGTATCATCTCGAATATTATACTTAAATAAAAGTTTTCTATGTTTATCACTACGAATTGCTCGAATCAACTCAGCAAGTCCTTAAGAAATTCCGAATTACTTAAGCGTATCAATTTACGTCGAAAACGCCTGATCTTGCGTGACCTGAAAAGAAATCGAGCTCTTTCTCTCGTCTCAAAACAGATCGGAAGATCGAGATCACCTCGATATTCCCCTTTCGAACGAAGTGAGGTTCAGAGTCCACCTCTTTACCTTCAATTTCTTACTTCGCAAAAACCAATCGAAGTCCGCAGCGTCCAAGCATCCAGCGTAGTGTTCTAGCAATCGTAGAACCGAAGACCCAGAGACAGCCCGAAATCTAACACGAAGCCGAGCCATCCAGACGGACCTGAAGTTCACGATTAGCTCGGAACACTATCGGCGAAGCGACAAAACCAAGACGAACTTCGAAAGGTAATAAATTCCATCTCCAAAAGCCGAATAAGAAACACCTCGATCGAAAGACGGGAAAACAACTCCGCAAAGCGCGAGCTACATCAGTTCGCCAAAGAGCTCGAAAAAGAATAAACACCACGTTTAGCTCGATCCGTGCGATCGACGAAAATCGGTAAAATTCGCCTAAGTGTTGAATCGATCTAATCGTCCCGAATTGGACTTGATTCGACCTAAAACTATGTTTAGCTCGTTCCACGCGATCAGCCAAAACTAGTAAAAATATTCTAAGTGTTGAATCAACCTAAACGGATCGATTCGACCTCCGACTAAAGTACATCTTGGCCCTGGTCTCTCGACCGGCCAAAACACTTAGTCAAAAAGCCTCAAAACATTTTGGCAAGTAAAACGCGAGCTAAAATGAAAGTTGCAAAACAATTTGAGCAAAACGCGCCTAAGGCCAAAACATTAAAAGCCCCCGCGGGCAAACGAGTTTGTGGATAAAAGCCTTCCCAGGCACCAAATCCGAAACATAAAGCGTAAAAACCCCGCCGGGCAACCAAGTCTTAAAATAAATTGAAAAAGGAGTAGAGATAGAAAGAGGTCGACCAAGAGCTCAGTCCTCGACGGTCATCTCTTCATCTTCCTTCTCTTCCTCCTCGTTGCTTCCCTTCTCTTCGGCATTCGTCCCGAACGGGTTCAAGCCAACCGGGATGTTCGTCGATGGGTCGATCTCCATGCGCGCGACCGAGTCCTCCGAAACCACGGGAAGGTTAAACTTCCCGATCGAGAAATCGGAGACTTGGGCCGCCTTGGCTGCTTCGGCCACCTCATCCTCGAGCCCCTTCAACCTGGCGAGCTCTTCCTCCTGGTTGATCGCACCGGAGATCAGCGACGTAAGGAGATCGATGTTGGATTGGAGTTCGATCTGATCGCCCTCCTTCTCACCTTCCACCCTCTTCTCCTCGAACTTTGCCTTAGCCGATTCAAGCACTTCCCGATGCTTCGCGACCATCTCCCTCCGACCTGCGCGGTTGGCACGGCGAGCTACGTTGTCCTTCTCGGCGACGAGTACCTGGTTCTCCCGGCTAAGGCGAAGCGACTGCGTCAGCGCACTCGAGCTCTCCTTCTGCAAAGCCGCCATCTGCTCCTGATTCTGGGACAGCTGGCGCAAGAGATCGGCCTCCCTGGTCTCGAGCTCTTTCACACGACCCTCCTGCGAGGTGTGTTTCTTCAAGAGCTCACCCTGACGAGCTACCCGCTCGTTCGCCGCAGAGAGATCGGAGGTCAACTTGGCAACGAGCTCCTTCACCTGATCGAGCTCTTTCTGCTGAGGCGCGTCTCTGATCCTCGACTCCAGGCGGGACACCAACATGTTACGAGCTGCCACAGCCTAACAAAAACAAAAAATTCAACCAAGGCCAAAACAACAACAAAGACTCTCGTCTAAAGTTTTGACTAGGGAAACAGTTCATACCCTCCCGCTCGCAGCGCACGTCGCGATGTAGAGCTCCTTCTCAGACATCTGGTTCAGGGACGGGAGCCGGCATCCGACGGGCTTGAAGTGGAGCTGAATGCGAGCTGTTCCCTCCTCGTCGTCCTGAACGGGGAAGCCTTTGGAGTTCTCGTACTGCCAGTAAAACGGCGGCTTTCCCCCGCTCCCGTTCGAGGCAGTCGGGCCGCCCTCGCGAGAACGAGTCTCTCCATCGTCACTCCGAGCTCGCTTCGGCGCCTGCCTCGAGTGACCTTGATCCGAACTCCGAGTCCGATCGGAGCTCACATGAACCGTACTCGGGAGAGGACAACCTCTCCTTCGGCGGTCGCGTCGACCTGGTCAACCACCTGGTCGGCAAGGGCAGAAGACCCCCCCGGGCTTCGAAGCCATAGCCTCCTCCACCGCCGTTACGAACTCGCCGGCACGAACTCGACTTCCACCCGAGGAAGCGCCTTGGCACCCTTTGCGGTCCGGGATCTGAGAGGCTGACGACGGGTCATTCTTCGATCTGCGTGAGAGAGGAGGAACAGAAGAAGCAGAGCTAGAATCTTGCGCCGATCTAACCGGAAGATCAGCTGGAAAATTTATATAAACAGCTCGTTACAAAGAGTTCGTAAAATGAATTTCTAGTTGGTCAAGGGAGATTATTACCTGGAGGAGGAGCAGGAGGAGAGCTGAGAACTCGACGGATCCGTTCCGGAGTAAAAGTACTCCAGTTCACCTTTTCCCTTCCGAGTCGCTCGACGAGGTAATCAATCCCCGGGTTTTTGGTACTGGATCTACAACTGCAAAAGACAAAAAATCATCAATAAACGAGGTATTCCATAAGTCAAGCGAGGTATCGACTATCCTAAACGGAAATCGGCCTAAGCTAACCAACGCTAGTCGCCCACTCCGTTCGGATTCGACCAAAGTCGAAGTCGCCCATCGTGGCCTCGCTGACCCGGAAGAAGAACATCTCGTCGCTCCACCCGCTATCCCTCTGCGGGGTGTTCGTGAATATTCGCCGATTCGGCCTCGGCGAGGAGTAAAACGACCCGGAAGCCTGGTGTTGTTCTTCACCGAGAAAAGCTTTCTCAGATCTCGAACACCGAACGAGACGCCCTCTTCCCGAGCTCGAACCGCACATCCTATCACGTGGCGGACGAAGCTCGGGTGCATCTGTGGAAACGCCATCTTAATGAGCGAGCGCTTCCATCAGAAAACGAGGGACCGGGAAAATCATCCCGGCGCTCCGCCAATACGACGTATAGGCGCAGCAAAACCCCGGACGAACATGCTCCGGGTCCTCTCCCTCAGCCGGAGAACGAGTTCGATCCATCCGGGATCCCGAAATCCTGCCGGAAGTGTCGAGGCTTTCGGCGTCGAGCGTCGTCTCGGCGTGCGGCGTGAACTTCCCGTCACCGCCGAGGTCGACGGCCTTTCCCTTCTCTTGCTTGACGATTCTTCGGAGGCATGTAGTCGGAGGAGACGGAGGAAAAAGAGGTTGAAAGAGTTTTTGGAGAAATTCGAAATCGAAACAACCTAAAACGCTCGAAAGTTTGCAAAGGTTCGATAATTTTCAAGAACTTGGAGTTATCTAATCTAAAACTTAAGAGCAAATAAATAAGTAAAAGAGAGAGGAGAAGTTACCTTTTCAAAAACGTGGGCACGGTTAAAGAGAAGAGTAGTGGGTCGAGTTTATATTCAGCATTAACTGCTGAAGAGATCGCAAAGAATCCGATTTTTCTGCGTGAATCTCGACCGTACAACTCACAGATCTTAACCGCTTGCATGCGACGAGCTGATGATGTGACGCGCTGTGGGTCCCAAAAGATCTCAGCCGCACGGACTCTTCGCTCTCCTCGATCTGAACCGTCCGATTCGAAAACATAATCATTTCGAATCTTGAAAATATGCGATATACGTTATCGAGGAGCTCGGTTTGCGAGATTGCGGTGAGTTGACAAGATTTGCTCGCGATCTCAGCCGTTCATCTCGATTCAACGGCCAGATCTTATCTTCACCTCGAAGAAAAGAAAAATTAATGCCTAAGGCAATTTCCAACGACGAGATCCCCGCGATCTTTTACCCCGTTCAAACCTTTGCGGATAAGCTCGAATATACCCCGAATCGAGGAATTCGAATTAGCCCGGCAAAAGTTTGAATTTTTGAAATTAAAACAAACCGCCCGTTTTAAGTTCGAAACTCACTTAAAAGGGCTGGGGGGCAATTGTTGGACCCAGATTCCACACCTGGAATCTAGCCCGTAAGGGCCCATTACCTTGATCCAAGATTGAAGTCCAGGCCCACTCAAGCCCAGCAAGAAGACCTCGAGCCCACCAAGCGACTCCCTCGTAAGCCAGTTAACTGCCATCCGAGCTATTCCGGTCGACGTAAAGACGAGCTCCAGCTCGATCAAGGACCAGGTCGGCACTGCGAAGAAAGACGAAGTCAAAGAAGATCTCCTTCAAATCCGGTCTGGTCCGAGATCACCGGGATCGTTAGCTGCACGTGGCGAGATACGCGGAGGTGGATCGTAGCTGATTCTGGAGCTATAAAAGGAGCTTGACAGCAGTCGGATCAAGGGATTTTCAGACCTTCTTCCGATCATTTAGACCTAATTACTATCATACTTTCCTTGTATTTTCCTTTGAGCTTAGTTCTTTCTCTCTTCTGAGAATTCATTGTAACCATTTTCATTCGTTTAATACAATTCCGTTTAGCCAAATCCTTGCTTACGATTCATTCGACTTACATCAAAATCTAGCCCTAAATCTCCCTAAGTTTCTTCCTTGCAAAACCTATAAATTTCGAGTGTGGTTTTCAGCACCCACAATAAGTTTTTTTCTTTTTTTTTTAATAGGAACATTGAGGAAGAAAGTTGGCGTTAAATCGTTTTGTGATGGCAATGTAAATTTTATATTAAATACCTTATTTAATCTTAATTCTAGCTAAAGAAGAATTTCAATAATCAAGAAAGATTTTAGGGTTATAATAAAAAATAATTACTGTTTTTAAATATGTATAAAATAATCTTAAACGATAGAACTTATTATGAAACAGTGAAAATGCTTATTATGGAGTATATACTTTTGTAAACAGTCTATATACGTTTCTAGAATGGTTCAGAAATCCAAACCTAAAAAACAGAGAATACTTATTAGATTTAAATGGAAGAAATCAATTCTCAACTACACGAGAAATCTTTTAAAACCAACAGCAAGAAAACAGCATCCCTCAACTATAAAGCGAAGTATTTGAATATTTTAAAAACAAATGGTAGAAAAAACGAAGTATGGCTAACTATAAAGCGAAGAATATCGAAACAACTATGGTCTATGGAAAAGGGAATAGACCTGGTGGGGAGGAGCTCGACTATGTCACAGTTTGTTGAATTTCAAAATCGCACAATAATAGTAAGATTAGAGATGTGAATTTTAAGAGAGACTCTTTATTAGATCAATCAAAAATAAACATGGTACAAGGAGTGATTCGTCTCGACAAAAAGGCTTGACGAGACGAATACGAAAAGAATAGAGAAATTAAGAACAAAGGACGAATTATAACTAGAGTTTTGCCTCTCTACTCTTAGTGATTGTGGAGAATTTCTGATGATCTTCAAGGAATAAGGGGGTCTTCTATTTATATGGAGAGGAGGTTGGTCTTCAAGATATTTTTCCATATTTCTTTTGGAAATATATTATTTTTTTGGTGTTGATCTCTTTCCATTTTTCTTTGAAATAGTCTTTTTCTCCAAATACTTCCTTTTCCTTGAGGAGGTGGAAGTGGGAAGCGGGCCGGGCTTGCATAGTATTATTAATTGTGACGGGCTCACAAAACTTGTGTTAATTTCTCCTCTAAAAATAAGTCCCCCGAGTTTGGCGTAAATGCAGTTTAATCTCGGTGAATTTCATGTATAAGAGAGGAGCCCAAGAGCAATTAATAACAATTATGTGATGCCGACGGGATGCCGATGCTGCCGTGATGCTGTGATGACGCGATGATGCGTTGGGTTATTGACTTTAGATCCGTACCGCCTCGTTGAAACCTTGATATGGAAAAACCCTATGGGATGAAAACTAAAAAAAGGGAAAAGAGTACGATGACGTAATCTTGTCCGCAAATAGAATGTGCTTTTAACAATGTCTCTCGGACTTGACGAGATGACTCTTTCGTCTCGTCAAGGAGAATAGATTGCAGTGATGATTTTTCTCGGATTCGTGCTTCGACGAGATTGGTTAGGGTCGTCCTTCGACGATATCGGTTGGGGTCGCGCTTCGGCAACACTTGTTTTTCTCGGGATCGTGCTTCGACGAAACCGGTTGGGGTCGCGCTTCGGCAACACTTGTTTTTCTCAGGATCGTGCTTCGACGAAACCGGTTGGGGTCGCGCTTCGATGACACCGATTGGGGTCGCGCTTCGGCAACACTTATTTTTCTCGGGATCGTGCTTCGACGAAACTGGTTGGGATCGCGCTTTGGCAACACTTGTTTTTCTCGGGATCGTGCTTCGACGAAACCGGTTGGGGTCGCGCTTAGGCAACACTTGTTTTTCTTCGTCAAGATGTTTGGCCAGAACGTCGACGTGTACCTTCGAAGGTGAATAAAATTTTACAATGCTCATCTCGTTAGACGGATTATAAAATTTTATTGGAGTTATAGCTCAACCTTTGGAAAGGCTGCCTACGTACCCATGCCGGGATCAAGCCATTCGTAATTCTTAGTTCATTGCGACGAGTAGGGAGTACTACTCCACTTTTTTTTTTTGGATGCCGAGACGCTTACCGGACGTGCCGTTTTGGCGGTGGAGGCAGGTCATCTGGGTGAGGGAGTGGTTGAGGCGCGTTCTTCTCGGCGTCATCTTCTTCATCTCGACGCGACGTATTATTACGTCGGCGCTTGTTTGCAGCTTGTCGATTTTGGTCGCGGCATTCAGCATCATCTTGGCTTTGCGGAGTATTGATGTACTCTTGTATCAAGCTCATAACGTGCCTACAAGTTTCCTCGCATGACCGTATCGTCTATGGAAGCGACAGTAATCGTCGTTGTCTTTTTCGTCGCGTCGTTGTTCATCGGGAGATGTTTTTCTTTTATTCTCTTGACGAGACGACTCTTTCGTCGTTCCATGAATCTTCGAGTGGTGTGCCCTGATTTCTTCAACAAGAACGTATTTTTGGGACCAGTGCAAAGCGTCGTCTTGGAGGGTTGCGGGTTCGTTGAGCATCAGACTCTCTTTTAACTTTGATTCGAATAAAAGCCCGTTTTCAAAAGCTTTAATTCCTATCACGTCGGGGATGTCTAAGTGCTCAACTGCTGCTGTTTTGAATCTCTCCACAAACTCGCGAAGAGGCTCATCTTTTCCTTGTGCCATAGTGAAAAGATTGGTGCTGCCTTTCGACAAAAACATGCCAAAATGTTTCATGAATGCCGTGCTGAGATCGTCGAAGCTGTCGATGGTCTCGGCGGGAAGATTCGAAAACCAGCTCGTCGCGTCTTTGTTCATATGCTCGATGAACACTTGGCAGTAATTTGCGTCTTGTTCTTCAGGGGAGGCATATTTTTTGCCTTCTCATGGCCATCTCGAAGTTTCTTAGCCAGTTTCGAGGATCGTCACCCATTGTTGTAGAACTGAAGACGGAGGGCCGTTTGATCCTTTAGAGGTATCGCGGCGATGCGACGAGTGAAAGGACTCCTTTTCGTCTCGGCGAGGATTTTGGCAATCTCGGAGCGCCGTGCACTTTGGAGCTGATTGCTTCGAGGTCGCGGTGCAGCTTGGCCACTTCCGGGTCGGTGTCTTTCTCACCATTCGTCGCGGCATTAGAGTTGGTCGCAGCGGTGCTTCTTGTCGGCGTCTGGAAGAGAGTTCGTCCCGTCGGGATGACTCGTCCGTCGCTGGTGACGTGGAGGGAGTCGATCTTGTCGTTGTACTTTTGCTGCTGAGCTTGCATCTCGGCAATTGAGCAATTTGAGCAAAACCTTGCATGGCTGCGGTTAACGCGGCGGTCGTGACGGGAGCTTCTACGTCAGGAACCGGTGGCGGCGGAGGGTTGACGTGACCGTTGGTCGCGTCGACTTCGACGGGATGGACGATGGGGTTTCCATCTGCGCCGAGTTGACTTTGCAGTCCGCCTGTTTCTGGTGACGAGCTCGCGTTTGGAGGTCCCATCTTTGAACCTTGATTGACTTTTTTCAGAGTTTTTTCTCCAGCCCCACGGTGGGCGCCAATTGTTGAATCTCAAAATCACACAGTAATAGTAAGATAGAGATGTGAGGTTTAGGAGAGACTCTTTATTAGATCAACCAAAGACAAAGATGGTACAAGGGGTGATTCGTCTCGACGAAAAGGCTTGACGAGACGAATACGAAAAGAATAGAGAAACTAAGAACAAAGAACGAATTATAACTAGGGTTTTGCCTCTCTACTCTCAGTGATTGTGGAGAATTTATGATGATCTTCAAGGAATAGGGGGTCTTCTATTTATATGGAGAGGAGGTTGGCTTCTTCAAGATATTTTTCCATATTTCTTTTGGAAATATTCTTCTTTGGTGTTGATCTCTTTTCATTTTTCTTGGAAGTAATTTTTTTCTCCAAGTACTTCCTTTTCTTGAGGAGGTGGAAGTGGGAAGCAGGTCGGACTTGCATAATATTATTAATTGTGACGGGGTCACGGAAATTGTGCTAATTTCTCCTCTAACACATGTGCTTAGTTCATCAGAAATGGGCATTGTGGTAACATTTGGGTTTAATTTTGTTTAACCTATCTACCATTGTTGAATTTAGAACACTAAGAATATGTTTACTGAGTGAATATTTTGTTATTAGATGTTCATTTTGTTCAGAGCATATATGGTGAGAATATTGTCTTCAACCATCTTTAACATTTGAAGCTATCTACATGTCAAGTAGACTGGGAAGAGATAATTGTCCGCTTGCTCAAAGATTCTCCTAATTTTAGTTTGAAGTTGTGTAACTCGAGAGCTACCATGATTGCGTAACTCGACTATAATGCATTGTTAGTGTGAGGTTTAATCGAAACTCTTTTGTATGATGGCAACAACATCGTTTTAGTATGGCTTAATGGGTTTGCTGGGAGAATTGTGTTCGTCAATGTTTGTTGTGTAGTGTCCAAACTTTTAAGTGGACAAGCTTTGAAGGATCGAGGAATTACCGAGACTGATCTAGTGAAATACATCTTGAAAAATTCTCGTTGCTTAATGGTTGCAACAATTATCCTTGCAAATTAAAATATGAGGAATTGGCAATTTACCCCAAATTGAAAGGGTTCTTGTCCATTTACTCTTTTACGTTTGTGTTTTGTCCATTACCCTTTTTTGGCATTTTTTTCATTTTTGCCATTCTTTTTATTTGGATAATCTTTTGTTTTCATTTTCGTTTTTTAAATTAAAATTTAATAAATATACTTGCACACCTTTTCCATGAACCACAAGCTACATATACTTGCACCATATTAAAGGTAGAGGATTAAAGAGAAAGAAGGAGAGGAAGAAGTAGAGGAAGGAAGAAGAGGAAGGAAGAAGGAGAGGAAGAACGTGAGGGATGTGTCATGGGTTATTTTGGGATAGTTGGAGGAAAAAAAAGGAAAGAAAGATTTGAAAAATATACAGTTGCAATATTTTTTCGATCTTCGCAGAAGACGAGTTCTACAAACCGTAGACGACACTAATTTTGCTAGATCTTGTACTAGAAACATGAGTACTACGGATCATAGAAAACATGGTTTTAGTATAACACTACTTCTGCGGGATGTAGATTAGACAAAAACACGTAGGATACCGAAACTACTTTTTGTAGATAGCAGTGTTTCGCGTAGAACTTAAAATCTACGAATAGTAGAAGATACTTGATTGTGTAGATTATATTTGGTGCAAATTCTACAAAACGGTAGAGCTTATAGTACTTAGTAGATATCGAATTCTAAATCCGGAAGAGGTATGAATAAGTTGTAGATATTATGTTCTACGGCGGTTAGACCTCTGAATATCTTATAAAAAACGTATTCTACTTTGATATTATAGATTTGTAGAACGAAACTTCAAATATTTTTCTTAATATCATAAACATTTTCAAAAATGTTTAAATATTTTACACAGTTTTGAGATCATTTTTAGGAATTATGGAAATTTTTTTCACTTCAAAAAACATTTACTATGAGTTTTTAAATAAATTGAAGGGCAATCTTGACTAAAAATGACCAAAGTAAAAAAAATAGTAAAGGGATAAGAACCCCTTTTATTTGGGGTAAACTGCCAATTCCCCAATTAAAATATGGAAATTTGCTTTTACCAAATTTTATTATTTATTTTTCATTTCGTCTTTGCTTGAGGCAAAAGTTTAATACTTTTGCCCTGCAGTGTTTTTTTTTTTTTTCTTTCCCTGATATGTAGTTTTTAGAAAGGAAGATATTTGGTGATAATGTGATATGTAGTTTTGTCTAACAGATTTAATCATATAATTTAGATATTCGATAAACAATCTTATTAAACTTCAGATTCAATTTAGTACCATTGAAAAAAAAAATTAATGAACCACTAAAGACATCAACACAATAAAAAACCATTTGCCTTTCCTGATGACACATAGTTTTTTAAGACTTCATGGAGCTCACAAGCCATTAAAAATCAACAGTAGAAACATTTGCATCAATAGTTTAGGGTCTGACTGGTTTAATCGTTGCAATTGCGGTTGCGGGTGCAGGAGTTTGCGGAAGCGGGCGGTTGTGATTAGTAGTGTTATTAAGTGGTTTGTACGACTGGCATAACGATTGAAAATGGATGCGTTTGCGGGATACTTATGACTGGTTCACTTGCAGATGCCATAGCGGTTAAACAATAAATTAATAATATAAACACATTATATAATTATAAAAATATCAAAACTAGATTATAATGAAAATTTTAAATTTATGGTTCAACATAATTAATTTGTTTTTATAAAAAATAATATATGTATAATACTCACTTCTATCTTTCAATTTCTATAATTTAAATAAAAAATGTGATTTTATTTTCAAAATATATATTTAATGTGAAAATTAAATTTATATTAAAAATTTATTTGTTAGATATATATGTATTAGTATGAAAAGAATATTTATCAAAAGAATTTTGATTTGTATAACTTATAAATATATAAGTATGATATGATTTTAATGAATATTGACTAAAAGTAACCAAGGCCTCGTGGCCCAGTGGTAAAGGGGTCACAGCTGTGACTTCCGCCACTTGGGTTCTAGTCCCCTTGGCCACCCGGACTGCCTTAAATGGTAAGAATACGCGGACTGTCGTGGGCCTCGTGGGATTAGTCTTTGGGTCTAGAAAGCCTTTAGGATCCCACGGTTATTAAAAAAAAAAAGAATATTGACTAAATGTTCTAATTTTTTTAATTTATATTGTGATTTTACTATCCAAATCTTATTTTTTAATAAAGTTTATTATTTATTTTCGGATTTTATTTAAGTTTATTTATGTTTTTAATTTTTATTTTTTTAATTATCCACCCGCAACCACCCGCAACCGCAAACGCTGCTGGGAAGGAGCTTTTAATTTTGGGGGATGTTGAGGGATCTTGAGCGGTTTGAAGCGGTATAAAGCATTTGTGATGATTGTTGTCAAACGCCAATAACCATTACTACCCGCAAACGCAGCGGGTGAATCAATCAACACCTTAATACCAGTCAGCAAATTTTCGGTTTAACCTGCCACGTTTTCCTTTCGGTTTGTGTTATCTCCGGTTTTGGGTTACTTAATTGATTTAGCTATTCATTCTTCTTTTTTCCGACAAAATTTGTGTTCTTCTATCGTTTCCGAAATTCTTATTCTATCGATTACTTTGCTCTATTAATTCTCCTCAATCGTCTCTTGATTCGCTTTGTTCGTCAATCATCTCCTGGTCCAATAGGTAATGATTCGCTTTTTAAATTGGATCGATGCCGGAGATTTCGAGCTCGAGACATGTGTGCTTCATGCTCTCCGCCGATTCAACAACTACTTTCTATCAAATCGGCACGGAGATCCCGACTAGGCACACGATAAACCTTCTCTGTTGGTGCGACGACAAATCGCAGATTCTTCACCTCCGGCTTGATGGAGAAGAAGAGGTTGGTGTGGAAAGTAGAAGGTCAAGGATTGATTTTGTTTCTGTGGTTGATTTTGCAGGAAAGTGAAGATGAAAAGCCTGCATTAAAGAAGGCTAAGGCTGCTAAAGGATAGCTGCAGCGATAAATCTGAATCTGAGAGAGAAGATGAGAAAGAAACCCCTAAGAAGAAGTTGCGATAAATGCTTACTTTCTTTTATTTCGAAAAAATTGATAAATCTACAACAAGTTTTATTATGATCTTACAATATAGAAGTGAATTGCATATTGTTTATACTTGCTGTTTGCTGATGAAAAATTACTCATTTCAACTGTTGTAATCAGAGTACTGATGTCAAGATGGTTGATGCTGAGCAAAACAGTTGAGAATCCCTTCCCTTAACATTGTCGTTGCTCTAATCTCTTTCTGTATCATGCTTTGTTGTTAACTTTTTGTGTATCATGTTTTGTCTTTCAGCCTAAGACAAGAGGATGCAAGACTCTCTTCGTTGGTAATCTCTCATTCCATGTTGAGCAAAAAGATGTGTAAGAAGAAAACAGAGCACGGGAGTTAACCCATTTTACTCCAATTACTCCGATTACTGAAATGGGAGTTCAAATGAATAGGAAATACATTCTATTTAATCCAGTTTGAAATGTTTATTCATCTAATCACAAACATACTAGCACCGAAGAAGATGAAACTATAGTAGCAAAGCAAATAACATGTTTTTTTGGTGAGAAAGGAAAAATTGAACTTTGTGGTTTTATTAATTTTTTGGTATACTTGGAAATTTTATTGATATCCCAAGTACCTATAAAAAGTTTGATTAATTGAAAACATAATTGAAACATAATATAAAGGTTGGTTCGTATCAAAAGTTATTACCCACAATTTATGTATAAAATAAAACTTGGATATTACCGGATAAAGATTAGGTAGTACAAAATCATTTAGTTATAATCCAAACAATTATTTTCATAATAAAAAAAATGCAATCATATGGATGTAAAAATCAGTCGGGTATCTAAAACTATTATCCAAAATTTATCCGTCAAAGAAAAGTTATTAGAAAAAATAGACATCAATCTATATTCTAAAATATTTGATTAACCTTATTTAAACTCATTTCATTTGAATGTGGCAATAATCTTTAATTTTGGTAAGATTTACTTTTATGATATAAAGTTATTCGCTCAGTTAAAAAATAATGTACATAATTTAGTTTCCTCATTTATACAAATTTGTTCTTTTACCTTGAAAATTAAATTTCAGAAAAGGGAGTCAAAGGAAAATAGAATTCACAGACTATGTTTCACATTTAGATCTATAAATTAAATAGATACAAAAAAGTATTTAGCGCAAATCTCTATTTGGGCGGTATATAAAATACAAATATAATAAAATTCTAAGTTATTGAAAATTCTCAAACTAAAGTTGGGCCTAGAATTGTAAGGCCCAAGTAGCAAGTCATGTTTAAGGCCCATAGCTACGTTTGTTATAAGTCGTTGCCGTTGTAAACAGAAGAGAGAATCGGATTCTTCTTCTCCGTGGCAAATATCTAGCCATTGTTGTAACATGAAGCTCTAGTGGATTCCAAGTTATGATCCTGAAGAGAGATGTACCTGGGGAAGGAGTGGGGAATTCTATAATCGCGTGTGTCTCCTTTTCTTCTTTCTTTCTTTCGATTCCTGCAAATACACACCAGCGAATTCGTGAGTGATTGTGAGTTAAACAGAGAGAGAAACAGAGAGTATAGAGAGAGTATCAGTTACAAGTGATATCAGAGCGTCAGTTTCGAACGCAAGGTGATACAACAGCAATTAGAGGAGAAAGAGGGATCAAGCGAAGAGGATCGAAACTTACGGAATCAGACGTTTCTTGTGAAGATTGGGTTCGGAGTCTCACCAGAGAAGAAGCGACGAGCTTATCGGAGAAGATCTCTCGATCTACATCCAGATAACTATGAGTTTCCTAGATCTTCGATCTCTCTAAAGGAGCTCTTGATCAATTTTGCATATCGCCAATTGTCAACGCTATCTGTTAACTTTTTCTTCTTCCCGATCCTTTGCATATTGATGAACTGCAGAACACGTACATGCTGGAAGAGACTTGTAAAGGTAAAGTTCATCCCACATCCATTGAAGCTTGCCGTGATAATCAATTACAGGCTGTCAATCTGTGTTCTAAGATGATGAACACGAACCTTGTTTCCCATGCAAAAATGTTCCTTCAAATTTTCCCACAAAGTGAGCATCCGTAATGAATGACACCGTAGATCTAACACGAGGTGTGATAGATGGTCAGAGCCATCCCACGACCATGAAGTTCACAGCAATCCATGATTCATGATTGTTACCAGGACCTGTGGGTTTGACCTTTGAGCCATCAATATACCCAGTTTTCTTCTTAGCTTGAAGAGCATTTAGCATCTCCGAAGCCCATTCATTGTAGTTTTCTCCAGTCAATAAAACAGAAGTAATCATAGCTCCTGGATTGTCTGTGGAAGACAAAGACATAGATGCATCAACGGCGGAATTACCAGCACGTTGCGCGCCGGAACCATCACCAACGACCATGATAGATCAATATCAAAGTCAAAAGAAAGAAGAACGAATGGAGAAGCAAACGTTCGAACTTGAGATCAATGAAAAGAAAGAAACAAAAAACAGTGAAAGCTAAAGTCAAAGTTCATGATTTTTGCTCTGATACTATGTAGAATTCAATAACTGTATGCTTTCTTAACAATACATAAGACGGCTTAACCGTAAACCCTAGATATATGGGCTTAGTCTATCAATAAAGCCCAATATGTGGTTACGTATAAATAGAACAAACGGGATTAAGTTAAGGTGTTGATTGGTTCACCCGCTGCGTTTGCGGGTAGAGCGGTTATTGCGTTTGACAACAATCACCACAAATGCTTTATGCCGCTTTAAACCGCTCAAGATCCCTCAACATCAAAATCTCCTTCCAGCAGCGTTTGCGGTTGCGGGTGGATAATTAAAAAAAAAAAAAAAAAAACACAAACTTATATAAAATCCGAAAATAAATAATAATCTTTATTAAAAAATAAGATTTGGATAATAAAATCACAATATAAATAAAAAATTAGTACTTTTAGTCAATATTCATTAAAATCATATCATACTTATATATTTATAAGTTCTACAAATCAAAATTCTCTTGATAAATATTCTTTTCATACTAATACATATATATCTAATAAATAAAATTGTAATATAAATTTAATTTTCACATATATATTGAAAATAAAATCACATTTTTATTTAAATTATAGAAATTAAAAAATAGACGTAAGTATTATACACATATTATTCTTTATAAAAATTATTTTTAATTATGTTGAACCATAAATTTAAAATTTTCATTATAATATAGTTTTGATATTTTTATAATTATATAATGTGTTTATATTATTAATTTATTGTTTAACCGCTATTGCATCCGCAAGTGAACCAGTCATAAGTATCCCGCAAACGCATCCATTTTCAATTGTTATGCCAGTCGTACAAACCGCTTAATAACGCTACTAATCACAACCGCCCGCTTCCGCAAACTCCCGCACCCGCAACCGCAACCGCAGCGGTTAAACCAGTCAGGCCCTAGGTTATGATTGGTTCTCTCCCGCTACCGTTTGTGGTTCGTAGCAGTTTTTGGCGTTTTATAACAATCACGACAACCGCTCTGAACCGCTCTATACCACTCCGTACCGATTGATATCGCTGGAAATCAAAAGGTCCTTTCTGCAAGCGTTTGCGGTTGCGGATTGAAAAAAAAAATCACGAAATTTCCAAATTTGAAATTTCTAAATAATTTAACTAAAACGAAATTTAATTAATAAAAATAAATTTAGATAATAAAAACAAAAGATCATAATTTGATTTTGATATTTTTCATTTTAAACTAATAAACATTTTTATTCCTAATTATCTTCTAAAACATTTTGTATTCTTATTTGTGTGGCTTTATATTATGATTTATGTGTGATATTAAAGTTGTTTATATAAAACATTTTCTACATTTATCATTTTTTAAATTCTAAATTTCAAATAACTGAAAAAAAAAAAAATAATATCATTCATCATTATATATTCAAATTTGTTTTTAATTAATAATTATTTAGTAATGTTTCGTTAAAATAAAGTGAAAACAGTCTTTTTACATATAAAAATGTATTTTTCAAAACAGAAAAAATGTTAGGGATTTTTTAAAATATTTAAACATAAATAGGGTGTTTTACGAAGAACCTCTAATTATATATTATGTTTATTTTAGTAATTTTTGGTTAAAAATGCTTTTGCACCCGCTAGCCAACCAGTCAAAAATATCCCATAAATACAACCGCTATGAATTGCTAAACCAATCGTAGAAACAGCTTAATTATGTTTTTAATCGCAAACTCCCGCAACTGCAGCATTTAAACCGCAACCGCAGCCTGGAGTAAAAGACTTGTGACGCAAGCCACCTTCCGAGACATTTCAAAGGTTGTCGAAATATATGTGTTACAGTAGTAAGAAGAGGGCACTTAATCATTTCTGTGTGTTACATTCATATGATATGCTACGAATGAGAAGATAATGAAACCTAAACTCATCATCAGAGACAAGTTTGTACTGTTTTGAACGAACTGCTCATGATCATGCCAGAAACAGTTCTCAGTTGGCAAATTGTATCCGATTTCATTCATTATGAATGAATAAACATATTTGTTCATCTTTAACGAAGATTTTGTTACCACATTTTCGTTCATTCACGACACTGAATCCCAAAATACAAAGTCAGAGTTTCGACATCAACAAGATTTGTCCTTCTGCTCTAAAGATTACTTAAATTAAAACAAATAAAAACACAAACTTTCCGGAGAACTAGTGAGGGCTTAATTTCGGCTTCTTGTTCTGCTTAGCCTTGAGATTCGACACTGTATGCTCTAACCACAACACTTTAGCAGCACAAGTATCATATTTGCTCTTCTCCTTGTTCAGCTCATCTTTAAGTTCCGACACCGTCTTCTCCAATGACAAATCTTTAGCAGCAGATTTGACCTTCTCCTCGTCCAGTTCAGCTTTTAGATTCTTGATTTGTCCCTCGAGTTGTCGGACTCGAGAACCATCAGCATTTGCTTTCTTCCTCTCCAAGGAAATATCATCAAGCTTGGTCTTCAACCAGTCTAGCTTGAATCCCGCTGCTCCTGTTAGCTCGATAAACTCGCTCTGAGCGTTGCTAAGCTCAGTGTCGGTGATGCTATGTGGAGGCCTGTCCAGTGTCTCTATGAGACCGAGGAGGAGATTCATGTATGTTGCCTTCACCAATTGGTTCTTTGGTCTGACATTCATTGCGATATCCGGGTGTTCAGCGAAAAGGTCACTCACTCTAACAACCTGTCAACGAGAGAGATGAATAAAAAAGAAGAAACTTAACAAGTAAGCATCCTTAATTCTTATAATCATACCTGAGAATATAGAATCTGGAAACCCTCGAAATCCAACGTCTCATTCCCAGTGACATCTCCTTGATCAACAACTTCAACTACTTTTACTTTCACTTTAACGATTAGTTTGTTATTCTCCAAAAACCCTTTCTCTTGAAGCTCTTTAAGAGGTACGAGCTTGTCGTTACCCCATCCTGGGAACTGATCGCAGAACAGTTGGCACGACGGAGCTGTAAGACAAAAAACAAGAAAGACTCGATTAAAAATTTCATCTATATGTACAGATTACATATGATAAGTAAATTACCAGCTATTCTGAAGAACTCTTTGCCTGATGGATTCAACAAAAAGAATGAAGAAGTAGCTCGTCTTTTCCATCCAAGTCGCAATGATTCAGGATTCGCAACATAGAGGTACATAGACACGTGATCATCAACATTAGCTCCTTTGGGGAAAACCCCAACATACCTTGAAAAAGAAAGAAAACAGATTAACTAAACGCTTTATATAAACATATATAATATATTCCTTTACCATTCGCAGCCGCCGCTTGAGAATTTTGGTGATTCTACCAAACCTTCTTTCTCGGAGAAGTTATCTATCTCAAACGTGAAACTCGTATGCTCTTGATACTCCTCCATACCTCTGCAAAAACACTTTCTTTTTTAGCTTTTGTTTTACTTCGAGCAAAAGATAGACTTACATCCATTTCACACAATCTAGTCAACTAAATTGTAAACACCCATCAATTGCCAGAAACTGACAATGTTTAACAAAATATATAACACCAATATAATTGAAAATTCTAATCTGACGAACAAAAAACCATATGTCAACTCCTTCCATTGAAATAAACAAAAGTGTTCTAGTCAAATTAGTCATAGAGCAAAGATAAGCAGAGCGTAACTGTTGATATAAAGAAATAAAGAGGAGACTTTTTATTTAAATTGGACTTTAGGTCAATAAAGAGGGTATTAATATCCATGTTTCTTTCTTCGCATAAGTCCACGGCTCTGTTTCAGAATTTTGTCAACAAAAACTTGCCAGACATAATTACAGTTCCAGTCAATGCAAAGAAAATAATAATCCTTTGAAATCCTCTACAAAGTGAATGAAGAAACCAAAGCAACAAAAATAACACAAAATCAAACAAAAATTGACTTATGTTCCAGTCTACAGAACATACACACACACACACAAAAAAAAAAAAAAAATCGAACTTTTAACAAAAGGAACGAGACCTGGAAAGAGGAGAAGATTGTAAATAAGAAACAAAATCGAAACTGAAAAACAAACAGAACAATTGAGCGAAACCCAAAAAGGAATGACTCACCAAGTAGTAGCTCCTGGAGTTTATCAAAGAAACTAAGCAGAGATACAAAAATCCACCGCCAATCACCGAAATAGAGAAAAGAAAGATTAAGGGTTTAGGATACAAAAGAGAGAGAGAGGAAACTGAAGGGGTTTTGAGTTTTCGACACAGATAAAGAGAGAGAGGAAACTGAAAAGGTTCTTCTCCTAAATGACAGTAAATGCTACACATACACGGCAAAAGAGTGGTTCCGTTGTTTGGTCATAAGAAAAAGAGACAATTGTCACAATTCTGGGAGAAAAACAAAAATGGATTAATTTTAAATCTTCTGACAAAAAATTCTAAAACCTTTTGTTACCTTTTCAAAGTTTTACTGCAACACCGTCCCATCCCACCAGTAGTTTTTTTTAATGCGTAATCCGATTTTTGAAGCAAGCCACCTTCTAAGATTACTTGAATAATAGACTTGTGACGCAAGCCTCCTTATATGTTCTGTCTTTTATAATACTCAGTTCGCAAATCGGATTTCATTCGTTTTGAATAAACATCTTCTTGACATATTTGTTCATCTTTAACGAAGATTTTGTTACCACGTTTTCCTTCATTCACGACACTTAATCCCAAAATACATAGTCAGAGTTTCATCATCAGCAAGATTTGTCCTTGTGCTCTAAGATTACTGAAATTAAAACAAATAAAAGCACAAACTTTCCGGAGAACTAGTGAGGGCTTAATTTCGGCTTCTTGTTCTGCTTAGCTCTGAGATTCGACACTGTATGCTCTAACCACAACACTTTAGCAGCACAAGTATCATATTTGCTCTTCTCCTTGTTCAGCTCATCTTTAAGTTCCGACACTGTCTGCTCCACCGACAAATCTTCAGCAGCAGATTTGACCTTCTCCTCGTCCAGTTCAGCTTTTAGATTCTTGATTTGTCCCTCCAGTTCTTGGACTCGAGAACCATCAGCATTTGCTTTCTTCCTCTCGAAGGAAATATCATCAAGCTTTGTCTTCAACCAGTCTAGCTTGAACCCCGCTGCTCCTGTTAGCTCAATAAACTCGCTCTGAGCGTTGCTTAACTCAGTCTCGGTGATGCTATGTGGAGGCTTGTTCAGTGTCTCGATGAGGAGGAGATTCATGTATGCTGTCTTCACCAATTGGTTATTTGGTCTGACATTCACTGCAACGTCCGGGTGGTCTCTGAAAAGCCTAGTTACTTGAATAACCTTTCAACAGAGATAGACGTAATTATTTCAAGACTCAAGAGAACCGGAAAGAAGATAATGAGAAGCATAAGTTGGAATATTTAAGTTTACCTGAGAATAAAGAACTTGGAAACCATTGTAATCAAACGTCTCATTCCCGGTTGCTTCTCCTTGATCAACTACTTTTGCTTCCACTTTAACTATCAATTTGTTCTTCTCCATAAACCCTTTCTCTTGAAGCCCTTTAAGAGGTACGGCCTTTGCCATACCCCGTCCTGAGAACTGAGCGCAGAACAATTGAATCGACGATTCTGCAAGACATAACCAGAAAGATTAACCTTAATTTTCTACGACCACAACTAAATATATATCTAATAAGTTAATTACCATTTCTTTTGGAGAGTTCTTTGGCTGACTGATTCAACAGAGCAAAGGAAAAACTGGCTCGTCTTTTCCATCCAATTCGCAATGATTCAAGATTCGCAACACAAAGGTAGAGAGACAAGTGATCTTCAATATCTTTTCCTTTGGGATAAACCTCAACATACCTTTAAAAAAAAAAAAAAAAGGGAAACAGACTATCTAAACGCTTTATAGAGACAAGTTGTTTTGTTGAATCAAAACTTATGTATATGTATATAAATATATAATCTCTTCCTTTACCATTCGCAGCCACCGCTTGAGATATTTGGTGATGTTATCATAGCTTCTCTCAGAGAAGTTATCTATCTCAAACGTGAAACTGGACTGCTCTTGATCCTCCTGACCTCCTCCATATCTCTGCAAAAACACTTCCGTTCTTAGACTTTGTTACTTCGTGCATTACATTTCACATAAAGTGTCATTTAAATTGTAAACTCCCATCAATTTTTAGAAACTGACAATGTTTCACAAATTTATAACACCGATTACATAGTTGAAAACTCAATAATCTGACAAACAAAATCTATCTGCCAACTATGTCCATGAAAGAAAAATACATTGAGGTCTTGTAGTCTCTATCCGTTAGCAAATAGCAGCAAAGCGTGACTGTTGATAAAGAAGAACTAAAGAGGACAGCTTAATAGATAATAACTGATTCAAAGCATTCAGTCCCCTCATCTATTGCATATAGTTTTAGCATCAATGTGGAGAGGGGCTGTCTATTTACATATTGTTACATTCATTTGCCTTTTTCACTGACAAATAGAAATTAGCGCTATTGTTTACTGCGCTTCGATCATTCCACATTCTAATGTCCATCTGGATATCATGCTATTACTCTGATTTTCGCATGCTTTGCTTACCTTACAGGTACAACACTCAAACGGGAATGGAACAACGAGCTCAGGTTTTTGGGGGCACCTAATTAAGGTTCGTGTGTATACGTACGATACATTTGGTGCTTGGTTCCTAAGTTTAGTATCCACTCTGCACATGAAGATGATTAACAATTGAGTGAGTGTTTGTTGAGTTATTGTTTATCGCCTAGACTGGTTTGTGGGTTTTAAGCTTAAGCAGTGTTACATAAATTGTTAATACTTAGTACTATAGTGTAGTTATATATGAACATGAAAAGGCCTTTTCAGATCGTGTTATTAATACAAAATACGAAGGGTTCAATACAAGTTCAAAGAAACAGAGCAAATCTTGATTTGCTCCAACCACAAAACCCAAAAACCCAAGAGATTAAAAGAAAAGGCCCCACAAATCACAAACCCCGGCACATATCAACCGGTACAAATACTTAATAAACAGTAGAAATAGACAAACTTGGCACTTCCAAGAAACCAAATTCAAAGCAACTTCAAGATCTTTGGATCTTTCTTTCAAGGATTCCAGAGGAGTGTAGTCTCTGCAATCATGGAGGTAACAATGTAAGGATCCATGTTTGAAGCTGGCCTCCTATCTTCAAAGTATCCTTTCCCTTCTTTCTCGGTATCACGACCTACTCGAATCGATGCTCCACGGTTCGCAACACCCTTTTAAACAAGATCCAAAACACCAAGATCATCAGTTACACAAATACAAAATGTTATCAACTCTTTATACAATTCAGAGCAATGTTTTCATAAACTTTACCCAAAGGAACGTGTTGATGTCAGCTGTTTCATGGTGTCCTGTGAGACGACGCTCGTTGCCTTCACCGTAAGCAGAAATGTGCTCCTTGTGTCTCAATCCTAGCTTGTCAATTGCCTTCTTGATCACCTCGTATCCTCCTTCCTCCCTCATTGATTTAGTACTGAATAAAACCGTTAAAACCGTTATTCCAAAACAGAATCAAGATCAGTTACATAACAAGCTCAAGTTTCAAGATCCTCTTTACCTGTAATTGGTGTGAGCACCAGCTCCGTTCCAGTCACCGGGAATTGGTTTTGGGTCAAAAGATACAACCACACCAGCAATCTCTGTGATCCTCTGTTTTCAAAACCCCAAAAAACTTGACTTTCAAGTTTCTAATTCCATTAAAAGATCATCAAGAATTGAGAGTGGATGGTTTTAAATATACCTCCAAAATGTAACGAGCGATCCACACTTCATCAGAAGCAGAGATACCAACGGATGGTCCCACTTGGAACTCCCACTGTCTCAACAAAAAACACAAGATTGAGACTTTTAGGTCACAAGTGATCTAAAGATTTAAACTTTTAGGTCATAGGTGAAATAAAGATTGAAACTTTATATGGTTTTTGAAGATTTACCTGACCAGGCATGACTTCTCCATTGATCCCACTGATGTTGATTCCGGCATACAAGCAGGCCTTGTAGTGAGAATCAACAATGTCTCTCCCAAAAGATTTGTCAGCTCCAACACTGCAATAGTAAGGTCCCTGCATGGAGAATGGATTCATAGAAATGTCAGAACGCCGAGAACAGAGAATCGAAACGATGAAAAAAGGTGAAAGTGTATTCTTGTTCGATGTACCTGAGGGCCAGGGAAGCCACCGATGGGCCATCCAACAGGCCAGTTCACATCTTTCTGCAACAAAGTGTATTCTTGTTCGATTCCATACCTAATTTACATAGAAACAAAAATTCAGCAATCTTTGATCACAAGAAACCAAAAAAGACACAGAACAAAAACAGGGGAATTTGGATTTAACCATGGCACTTCAGCTTCAACGTCAGGATTGCTAAAGATCTTAGCTGCAGCATGTCTCTTGTTCGTTGGGATTGGATCACCAGCAGGAGTGTAAGTGTCACACATAACCTGAATCAAACCGGTTATCAATCTATCGCAACTTCAAGAACAGAACATGTACACAAGAAAATCAATAAGTGTAGACAACTCACAAGAATGTGGTTGCCTCTACGGAAAGGATCCTTGAAGATCGCTTGAGGGCTACGAAACACAAACAAACAAAAATATTATTAAGAAATATCAAAAATATCAAAAGAGATGTAACTTTCAAGATAATCTTGAATGGTTCTTACTATAAGATCACTTCACTGTCTTCACCAGGAGCTTGACCAGTGCTTGAACCATCATAATTCCATTTCGGGAGTTTCGATGGATCGGTCACAGGTCCAGGAAGAGTCTGCAGATAATAAAGAACAGAGACTCAGACTCAGTAATCAAATTTAAAATTCACATAAACCATAGAACATGATCTATCACTTTTGCTTCTTGATTATAAATTTCCAAAAAAAATTCGATTTTTTTTTATCAGATTAAAGTGAGAAAAGATTCAGTAGAAAAGAAAGAAAATTTACCCTGGCTTTGCTTCTCATGTCCATTCCAGAACCACCAACCCTGTTTAAGAAACACAAATTAAAAACGACAAAATACATAACTATTTTTTTTGTGGTTGAAGGATGTAATTAGAAAGATAAAAACAGTGGGAATGATAAAAAATATTGTCTCTCTTTTATTTATGCCCTTGTTCTCCGGATAAAGTAACACAAAAGCCAAATAAAAGAAACAAGAACAAAAACAGAGGAACAAGAATGTGTAGAAAGAAGCAAAAAGAAAACAGAGGATGAAGAAGAAGAACCATATGTATTCAGCGATGATTTTCTCAGTGGAGTCAGAGAGGTCAAGGTTGATGAGATCTGTAAGAAGACTCATGGTTACGAAAAAGGAACAAAGAAGGTTGTTGAATTGTTGTATTGGAGAAAACAATCAAATCTTGAAATTTGTGGTTTTTGGTTTGTGAGATGATGTTTTGGGGTTCGTGGTTGTGAGGAGTACTTATAGAACAACGATGGTACATAGAGATAGAGAGATAGAGAGACTCTGTTTAACAAATATTATTTGAATTTTTTATAAAATATAATAACGCGATTATTTTATTTTTTTTACCAATGGAATCGCGGCGTATTAAATTAAATTTCTTTAGTTTGTTGTTGTTTTCGTGTAGTCATTGAATTGATTCTAGGCTTAAAAAAAAGAAAATTGTTGACTTACTCTCGGGTTATAAATATACACATTTATTTAAGTACGTAGATAATTTATGTACGCTTTGATTTTTTCGTTCGTATTTCGTAACGTAAGGGTAGGTGTATTCTAATTTCTAGGGTAATAATTTTCTTTTCCTTTTTCTAGGGTAATAATTACTTAGCATTTACAAAGTAACAGTTCAGTATTTAAGTTCTGAACGATAATATCAGGACAAGCAGTGTGAAACAATTGATCGGATAGAACAAGCAGTGTGAAACGAATAGATTGGGCAGAACAAATATGATAATTGTAATGCATACAAAATATATTTTATTATGATATGCGCAAATTTTAGGATTTTTAAATTTTTGTTTAATTTTTTTTTTTTTTTTCAATAGCTTCTATCTCTAGAACAGCTCGAAAATCCAAACTGATGAAACAGAATTTACATAGTACACATCAGTAGATAGAGCTCGAGCACTATGTGCTAACTTGTCTGCCTTCGTGTTTTTCGTTCTTGGTATATGCATGATGGAGAAAGAACTGAATCTCCTCTTGCATCTGTCGACCTCGTCGAGGAGTAGTGAGAAAGCCGACCACTCCTCTGGTTTAGACACCATCTTAACCACATCGGAACAGTCCGTCTGAAACACCATTGTTAATTTTCCATTCCTTAGCATACATTGCATAGCCCAAATAAGAACCTCCAGCTCTGTCTGAAGTGGTGATATCCCCCGCCTCAGATTACTCCCTCCCATAAGTTTTTCATGAGTATTCGTGTTAAAATAATACCATCCTAGACCCGTTTGACACTTTGTTTCCTTCCAAGCCCCATGCACCTGACATATGTCGCGTGACGCCGATATTTCCATGAGGGTTTTCCGTGTGGGAATGTACCGTCTCTAGACGTTTTTGGGCCTTCATCCATGCTATGGACTCCGCTTCTGCTTTAACAATTATCTCATTAGGGTCACAGTCCACATTAGCCATAACCTTATCATTACGGGCTTTCCAAATATACCAAATCAACCAAGGGTACATCCACATCCTATCGTCATTTGGTAAATGCCAAAACAATTGTGTCATATTTGTAAACAGGCCCCATGTTGGAAAATGGGCAGGTGCCGTTGGAATCGGAGATAATTTCCAAACTTGTAATGCCGGCGGACACTCAAATGAAGTGTGATTCACAGTTTCTGGTGCCATCCCACGCCGCATACACTGTGGATCTATCTGCATACCCCGACTTCGTAATCTTGCATCGACTGCTATACATCCCCTCACAGCTTGCCACAGAAAATATTGCAATTTCTGAGTACATTGTATTTTCCACACCTATGCCTGAAGCCGCCGTGTATCAGATTCAAAAACAGTAGGATTAGCATCCTCTATAGCTTGTTGTGCTACCATGTATCCCGATATAACTGTATATCAACCCGACTTCATGAAAAACCATCCCAGAGAATTTGGTCGGGCGATGTGAAGTTGGGATCCCGATAATCATTGCGACATCCGTGCTGTCAAATAATTGATTTAATAGTGGAAGGTTCCACGTTGTTGTACTGGAATTTATTAATTCACTCACCCTAAAAATTAATCCCATATCCAATGGCTGGCCTCGGGCAGGAAGATGGAATCCATTGATCATCCCAAACTAAGATAGATGTTCCTGAACCAATTCTTTTAATAAACCATTTTTTTACCAGAGGTCGAGCCGCGACTATACTTTGCCATCCGGTAATACCATCCTTTGAACACTCTTGCAAACAATGATTCTGGGTAGTCTATTACCGCCAGAGTTGTTTCGCAAGTAAAGCCGTGTTAAAATCCTCAATAAAACGGAATCCCAATCCCCCATCATTTTTGTGCCGACATAGTTTTTTCCAGGCCAGTCAATGCATTCCCCGAGTTTGTCCATTATTACTCCACCAGAAATTTGAAACCGCACTAGAAAGATTATTTGTAACCCTTTTTGGTAGACGAAAGCATGACATGACGTGCTTAGGCATCGCCGAGACCACTGACTTAGGCCTTCATTGGTAGAATATTTAGAAGAGCATTAAACTCTTTCTAATCCAATTAATTTTTTTAAAAATAACATTTAGAAGAGCATTTAGAAACTGCTAATGCTCCCAAACTGCTCTTTCCCTCCCTGCTATGAAATTGAGCATTTTCAAAGCATTGAGCTCAAATATATTAATTTTTTTTAGATAAATTATATTTAGTTTATTTATTTTGGTAAAAAAATTGAAAACTATATTTATATTAAATTTACAATTTTATAATTTCGTAAATTATATTTATCATTAATGTATTATTTATAAAATAAATATTTATTGACATAAAAATTAATGAATATAATTTAAATATGAAATAATAATTAAATAATTTAAAAAAATATAAAAAACAATCTTCTGTTATTAATGAATATATATACGATACATTAAAATAAATATCATTATACATATTAATTATTTTCACAAAAAAATATAATAAAAATGCTCACAACTTTACCAATCATAAAAGTCAAGAGCATATAGGCTTCAAGAGCTTAATGCTTTTCTAAATACTCACCCTGCTTATGCTCCTTAAGTCTAATACTCTTCTAAATGCTTTCCCAATCAAGGCCTTAATGAGAACCTCTTTCCCTCCTTTTGACAGCCACTTTGAGTTCCAGTCGTTAATCCATTGTTGTTGTCGATCTATTAAAAAACTGAAAATCTTTGTCTTTGCTCCCCCGATACTTTCTGGGATCCCTAGATAGTTTCCGACCCCAACTACGTTTGTAATCCCCATGATCTGATGTATTTCAGCCCGCACCCCTACCTCCACCGTGTGTCCAAATTTTACCGAAGATTTGACAAAATTTATTTGTTGGCCAGAGGTGTTTTCATAGTCCTTTAGAATTTGAAGTAATACCCCACTCTCATCAACATTTGATTTGCAGAAAAAAAGACTATCATCCGCAAAAAAATGGGACACTGCTGGACTTGCCCTAGCCACTATAAGCCCTGTTATCCTGTTCAACTTCTCCGCCTTTCTGATGTTTGCTATCAAAACCTCCGTACAGAGAATAAAAATATATGGGGATAATGGGTCCTCTTGTCGTAAACCTCTATGAGGGATTATTATTCCTTTAGATTGTCCATTAAGTAACATCTTGTACTTAACTCATTAATACATCTCATCACCAATGAAAACCACTGTTCCGCAAAACCCATTTTCCTCATCAAAGCCTCATAAACATCCATTCTACCCGATCATAGGCGTTATTCATATCCGTCTTGACCGCCATATATTTTACTTTGCACGATTTATTTGTCCGGAGATCATGAAACATCTCCTGAGCTATGAGAATGTTGTCCGAGATTAGCCTGTCCGGTACAAAAGTAGACTGAGTTTCCGTAATTAACCTAGGTAAGATCACTTTAAGCCTCTGACAAAGAACTTTAGAAATAATCTTGTATCCCACATTACAAAGACTGATGGGTCGTAACTCCGTCATTCTGCTCGGTCTTCCCGTCTTTGGAATAAGGCAGATGTGAGTCATATTCAATCTTTCGTCAAAAGTACCCATTGTGAGAAAACTATTGACCAACTCAAGGATATCATTTTTAATAATATGCCATGAGCGTTGAAAGAATAATGCTGTCATGCTATCTGGTCCCGGTGCTTTCTCTGGGTGCATCATAAACAATGCTTCGCGCACCTCTGATTTAGTCGCACAGCGAGTCAAAACTGCATTTTCTTGTGCTGTAACCTGGTGGGACATGTGTTCGAGCACACCTGTGAAATCCACCTGTACAATTGATGTAAACAGTTTGTCAAAGTAATTGACTGCTACCTTTTCCACCTCTTTTTCTCCAGCGACCCATACATTTGGTCATTATGAAGACCAACAATCTTGTTAACTGTCCGCTGCTGCTTCGTTGAGGCATGAAAGAACTTAGTATTTAAATCCCCATCTTTTAGCCACATATTCCTACTTTTTGTTTCCAGTATTCCTCCTCGTCCTTGTATGCTTCCTTCAACTTATTGGTTATGTCGATGAGTTCCTCTTGAGTACTATTATCATCCTCCTGTATCTCCTCCAGTGCCTGCTGTAATTCGGCTATCTTTTGCCTTTCATATGGTTGATTGTTCTTCCTCCAAACCAAAATTTCATGTCGGCAGTTATAAATCCTATCTACCAAACCTGGTACTAGACTGCCCCGGGTGTTGTTCCATCCCCAGTCAATAGACTCGAGTACACTCTCCAGACCAATCTATCTTTTATCAAACTGAAATTTTTTTCACCTCTTGGTTATCTTGGAATCCAGAGTAGCCAATATTGGCCTATGGTCAGAGCCAATCATTGGTAGATACTCAACATGTGAGACCGGAAACAAGTCATGCCATTCTTCCGTTGCTAACGCTCTATCGAGTCGGAACCGCACTATTTTCCCCCGTCTTCGTCCCCTCCATGATAGTGTGTTCCCACGGCTTGGGAAGTCCACAAAACCAGAGTCGTTTATCATCAAGTTAAAAGGAATAAAAGTTGATGCTTGACGTAAGGCTCCCTCTGTTTCTCATGATTTCCTGTGATCTCATTAAAATCTCCTATCAGAAACCATGGTTCTATTCTTGTTGTTCCAATCCTTGTAATCCGTTTCCAAACAAGATCACGCAACTTAACCAGTGGGAACGATAAAAGACAAGTTGGAACGCAATTGTACGGCTTCAGGACGCATCGGACCCACTCTTCATCCCACAAAACAAAGCAACTGCTTCCTGCTAACGCGCGCCTGCCTTAACCTGCGAGCCTCACCCAATGGATCTACACAAATCATTACTATAAAACAAACAAACAATAAAAAATCAGATAGAGACACAAAGAAAACAAAAAAGATTCGATTCTTGAGAAGCACCCGCTGATCTTTGTTGAAGATTTTTATGTGTAGTTTATTCAGTAATTTTACATGTTGAATATGTGACACTATGAATTTGCGGAAAAAATATACCTCAGATTATTACTTCGTACCGGAAACGATAATTACAGAAAGTTGACAATGAAAACGATATCACCCAGATTGATTTGTGCCACAACAACTACCAGGCCATTTTAATCATACTCCATTTTAAGTCCTGTGATAGCCTAACTCGTCGCATCGCACCCAGGAACTCATGAATAGAGAGGGAAAACACAAAAATAATCAAACTTAGTTACGCATGTTACATGTTTGCATGCTTTTATATTAAAAAAGTACATATATTTGAAGTGTTCTAAACTTTCTCTTTTCCCCAAGGAAAAATAACATTTTTTGGTTTCTATTGGTTTTATATTCTAAACTTTTCCCATTGACATTTTGTACTAGTAATTCTTTAATGTATTCAAAATGCATGTGACTTAATTTAATTCTATATTTTGATTTCTTTTTTAGGTGAAGAATTGAAATACACAAAGTAGATGCTTTTATTTTTGATCGTTCGTCCATTACCATATACCAACCTCTTCCTTTTCTCTTTTTTTGTTGGTTGTTAAAAGTTGAAATGTAGGTAGTCTTTTACGAACTAGTGAGTTGGTGAATGTCTTTTTTCCAAGTCTAGATTATATTCAATATTCATACATAACCTTTTAACGTGGATTTTTGCATTCTACGTTATTTTCCACGTGCAGTACATTTTCAACTAGTTAGAACATAGACAGAACAAGTTTTAGTCATCAACACCGACAAGTTTAGTGCAGATGCTCTCTTCCTAAAATTGTATGGGTTGGTGTATGGAGCACAAGTTTCATGCAGTTATGACTTTTTTGTTTTGTTTCTATTTTAGCGTTTTAGGTAGAGGAAAACTAATATGTACCTAATACATATGTTATTAAAGAAAATGACGATTGTATTGTCTATGATGTAAGTATCTATAAATAGACAATGATCTTTGTCGATAAATATTTAAATACTGCCTACAATTTGAAAAGTTGTTACTAACTATTCAATATATCAGTACTCAATACATTAATATATTATGAAAATTTTGGTTTTGAGTTAAACCGTTTCAAAATATACCGCAATCGATTAAATAATATATTTTAAAATATTCTTATGGCAATATATATTATAATAAATATCATAAATAAATAATTGCTATTTTTTAAGAAGAAGATGTAATTGCTATATATAAAATTAATACTTATATAAACACAATTAAGGTTTTTTTTTGCTAAATTATTAATGTTTTTTTTTTGTTAAACAAAACTCGTATCTAATATTACTTAGTGTTTCAAAAATACAAACGAAACAACAAAATTATTTATTGGTGTTGGAGCTCACAAAGTCACAATGAGTATTTGGTAAATTATCACTTTTCGACCTTCAATTACAACGTACCAATTCCATCTATTTTGATTTTGTGCTATAAAAAGCTGATTTTGAAGAAGAAATTTTGATAAGAGAAAGTGTTGAATCCGAGATAGCACTCGTTAAGACGGGCTATCTTAGATGTGAGTTTAGGAAACTGGAACGCTTAATTCGACTCTTAGATTATCAAGAAGATTACAAGAGAGCAATCTCGCTAACAAGCCTAGCGAGATTATGATGGTGAACAAGAGGATAGAGTAAAAGCTAATGTGAAAGCCTAGTGATTCTAGATGATTTCGGATCCCTTCTCCCCAATGGGGGGTCTTCAATATATAGTTGATAAGTCGGCCGAATGATGAATATTCTCCTTCAGGCGAGATGGAAAACTTCCTCTTTTGCGATATGGAAAATCCCTCTTGTTTTTGGATCTTTCTCCATTCTTTAAGTCGGCATGAAGATTTATTTACATTTCTCCATGGATTGTGCCTTTCTCTTCAAGTCTTGCCTTTTTCTTGAAGATGTTAGGCCTAAAATCGGATTGGGCTTTGTACTTTACTAATGATGACGGGCTCAGGGAAATGTGCTAATTTCTCCTCTAACAATAAGTCCCCCCGCCAGCTCGGCAGGTCAAATGTAGTTTGATCTCGGCGAGCTTCATGAATAGAGGACGAGCTTGAGAATCATTAGTAAAATACATCACTTCAATCGGATCTTAGTGCCTAGGTGCATGCTGAATGTAGATTCGTGCCGCCTCATTAAAACCTTGGTACGGAAAAACCCAATTGGGACAAAAACCATAAAAAGGAAAAAGAGTACGTTGACGTCATCTAATTCACGAGTAATATGCTTCGAATGATTTTTGCCGCGACCAAAAATGCTTTCTTGGTTCGATGCTATGACGGGTTCGGTTTTCAGCTGTGACTGGGCGATTTTGCCACGTCACTGCCCAAGCGGACCTGTTTGCAATTGCGTGGGCTGAGTCCGATAGTCGATTAAATCGCGCGGAGGCCCAAGCCCATTAATGCTTTTCCATTGAGCGGGAAAGAAATGAATAAAAAATTCATAAGGGCAGTTGTGTCCCTTGGAAGTCGCGCGATCTCTATTAAGAGACCGTTCGAATTTCCTTTATTCATTTTTGCTTCTTTTCTTCTTCTCACTCAACCGTCCCGACGAATCAAAGGTAACTCCTTTAATCCGAGTACGGAATGAAATTTCCGTTGCCTTTCCTGTTGTTGAAATTCGCCTCTGAACGAGGTGTCGCCGTTAGTCAACTGACTCATGGCGTCTTCCGTCACATGGTTTTCACGGAAGCTTTAGCGAAGGCCGCGAATATCACGTTCGACCGCTATCTTTTTGAAAACGTCACGGATCTTCGCGCCGGATCCAAATGGGAGGGGAATTTCAAACGTTTCCACACCGCGATGCGTCATGGAATCGTCTTCGGCAATTATCGGGATAGGATTCCCGACTGGAAGCGCTACTTCTTCTTTGTGAAGATTAGCAAGGCGTCGGTTGGGAATTTCAAATCCGAGCAGATCAAAACCGATTGGGTTTCTTCGCCGGGTAGAACATTGATGGAATTGTTCAGCTTGTTGCTTTTGTTGAGATGCTTTTTACTGATCTTTGCGTCTTTTCTTGGCAGATCCACTAAGACGAGCCAGGCCGAGCACCGCCCTTAAAAATAAATTCAATGCTTTGAGGGACCTTAGTCATCGGATCTGGCCCGAGGTCGTGGAGAAGCTTGAGAGAGAGAAGAGAGAGAGGAAGGAGAGGAAAGAAGGGAGAAGCAAGCCTGCTGTCCCCGCTACTCCAATATCCAGTAAGTATCTCATCTTCCCTCATACTCGACTCTGTCATGGATCGCTTAGCGTTATTATTTTGCTTTATCTCAGCGAGGTCGCCTCGAGTCAAGAAGAAACCGATGGGTCTTAGAAAGAGGACCGCCGTGCCGATTGACGATGTTGTCGTTGCTTCCGAGCCGGCGTGTAAGAAGAAGAGGGTCGAATCCCCAAGGCCGAGGGACTCCCCTTCTCCTTCTCTCCGGAGTTCTTCTATCGCGTCGCGTACGAGGTGAGTTATCTGTTCACCGATGACTACTAATCTCGACGACTGATTATTTTTGATGCTGAGTTTTGATGTTTTTCGCAGGGCTTCGGCGAGGAGGACATCATCTTCGGCTCCGGAAAAGGTTCCAGAAGGGGTGGTCGAGCTCGACCCCTCCTTCGGACCGTGATGATGATGCATCCCGTCGAGATGAGGTGCTTCTCTCGACGTGATGATGCGTGATGACTCCGCCACGTGCGGTACCTTGCCGGTTTGGGAGGAGGAGTTCCTTACTTCTCGCGATGACGGTCCTTCTTTGACCGAGGTTGTGGTCTCGGGGGGATGAATCCGTCGTCGTCCCGACGAGGAGGCAGTTTCTCGCCGTTCGGAGGCGCACGGACCGAATCTCGATGCCAAAGATGACGGCATGCTTCCGAAGCCTGAACCTGATGATTACAATCCTCATGCGTTTGAGATGCGGTGGTATGGTGTTTGCCCTCTCATGGAGACCGGGACGCTTGTGGAGGGAAGACTTGGTCTTCCAAAGTTCATCCTACTTGGGGCGTTCCGCGCGAAAGTTTGGAGTTTAGAGTGATTTCGACGAGGCGGCTCAGCATCACGTTATGTCCGGCGGGAAGTTTACTGCGCTGATCCAGAAGTACGAGACGGCTCTTCGGCGGCTAAGGAGAGGTTGGTTGCGGCGGGACAGGAGAAAGGCCAAAGATGTCGATACGATGGTGGCCGATTTGCAGCAGGATAAACTGGTGCTTGAGTCGAAGGTCGCGGCGCTGAACAGGGAGATAGTGAAGACTCTCGGACTCCAGGAGGTAGCAGACAAGCTGAGGGCTCAAGTGAGTGATCTGGAGGAGAAGGCGCGTCGGGATGCAGAGGCTTCTGCTGCTGAGATGGAGCGTCTCCGACGGTCTCGTCGAGAATCGGTCGAGGCGGCTGTGACTCAGGTCTTCGACTCGGTGAATGACTGGTATGCTCCTCGCCTCCATCGCTTGTCGGAGTTCGTCGCGCAGCGGGACATGGTTGAAGCCGCTGTGGGGAGGAGGCAAGTCGACGAAGCTCTCCTCAACTTTGTGAAGAAGATTCGGGGAGTGGATCTGAACTTCGACGCGGTGGAGGAGAAGCTCGCGGCTAAGCTGGCGAAGAGCATCGCGGATGGGGATGCGATTGACGAAGTTGTTATCGATGATGATGACTTCGCTCCGCCTAACAGGTGAGATTTTTGCTTCTTCTTTTTCGTTATGTCGTGCTTTGCGTAGCGTTATGTTTGCTTATGTTTGCTTGCTTTTGTAGCCTTAAACGGCTGGTGCTGCCGGGATCTCCTTCTCGTCGAGATGGTGGTGGTGCGGATCCGGGTGCGGGACCCTCTACTTCTGGGGCCAAGTCTGCTTAGGCCCCATTTTATTTGTTTTAAGACTTTTTGGCTGCGGCCTTTTTGTTGTTGTTATATATACATTGCGTGCTTGCGTGGTGATGCGGTCACGGCTTTTAGACATAATTGATTAGTTCGCAGCGCAACGAAAGTAATCCGGCTTTTGGTTATGTCTTTTAATAAAGGACGATGGTGTCGTCAACCGCATAAAATGAATTAAGTACTTGGTCGTCACCGAGTAGGAAATTCGATTATCGGGATGACTCGTTACCTTTAAGTGTATCACGACATGGTGCGCGTGATGGTGCTAGTGCGTCATGACTGGACGCGATGCTTTCGGGTTTCGTCATGACTTCTCATTCGAGACACCGACCGGCGCGTATTAGGTCTGTGTGCTTAGGATGTTAAACCTACTTTCAGCGACGAGCTCTAGAAACTCGATTTATGCTTCCGACTTCAAAGCTTCGTGCGGGTGACGAGGTAGCGGTTTTTCGCTCGTCCGACGAACTGAGAGCCGTGCGAGGTGCGTGCTCTCGGCTTAATGAATGGGTGATCAGTCCATGTTTTTAGGGTGCAAAGTGCAAGTGCTTATTGAGTTTGCCTCAATAACTTGGTTTGACGTCAAACGGGTGCGTGCTGGGTGTCGACAAGTTTCAGCTTATGCCAGAATGAGGCGCGCTTGTCGAGAGAAAAGGTTTTAATAAAATTAAAATTTTATTAAGTATTATAGCTGCGCCCTTGGTGAGAAAGGCTGCCTACGTACCCGTGCCGGGATCAAGCCATTCGTAGTTCGTTACAAATGTTCATGCCGTGGACATGTCTTTTTTTTTTGGCTAGCGCGGTGCTTCGCGTCTAGTCATGGAACTTGCGCAGATCCGACGAGCTCCAGAGGCGATCGGACGTGGTGCCGAGGTTGTCTTCTAGCTGATAGATACCTGGTTTGACGACTTTCGCGATGCGGAATGGTCCTTCCCAGTCGGAAGCCGAATTTGCCGAGACCATAGATCGTATCATCATCGGTTTTGCAAAAGACGAGGTCGTCTAATGCGAAACGGAGGTGTTGCTTTAGGAAAGCGGCTGCTAGATCGTCGAAGCTGTCGATGGAGTCGGCACAGAGGTTGCTGAACCATGTTAGGGCGTCGCCGCGCAAGTGTTCGGCGAGGGCTTGGCAGAAGTGCGCGCTTTGTTCTTCCGGCGATGTGTATTTCTGTCTTCTCATGGCCGTCATGAAGGATGTGATCCACTGCTTGGGATCTTCTCGGCCGTCGTAGAAGTTTAGGTGTAGTGAAGCGCGCTTCTTCAGTGGTACCTCGGATAGGCGGCTTGTCAGGGGAGTTCTTCGAATATCGGCAATGATCTCGAATATCTCCTGATCGGAGAACGAGCATTGCGGGGGTGCATGGCGATCAGTCTTCGCGCGATTCTCCATGTTTCTCCTGGTCTCGTCATCGTAGACAGGGGCGTCGTCTCGGCGAGGGAGAGATTCGTGATGGCACCTTGGTGCTTTATGCGTGGACTTCTCCGGGCGAGAGGATGATGACTTTCTCTTGTTTCTTAGCCGGAACCGAGGATCTTCGGGGTCGAACCGTAGCTGCGGGATGTCTTGCTCGAGGCGGATGTAATTCTCAGCGCGAAGGAAGGCGTCCTTCAAAGTTGGGGAGGGGCGGATGCGGATATCTTCCCAGAATCCGGATTCGTATCGAAGTCCGTTTCCGAGGGCTTGGACGAGTACCGGTTCCGCGATTGGGGGTGCTCCCGGAATGTCCCTGAGGTCGAGCAGCGCACTCTTGAATCTGTTCAGGTAGCTTCGTAGCGGTTCGTCCTCGAGTTGCTCCATCTCGAATAGATCGGAGAGATCCTTGTGTTTAGTGCTAAAGCTGGACCTTAAGTCGGATTTCCAGGCGGGCTCGGAGTTCCTTTGCCGATGGATCGGGGGATCTGCATTCTGCGTCGCGCGGCTCGTTTTATTGCGTTGGACTCGTTGGTCTCGTCGTCGATACTGGCTCGGTTATCATACAGGACGACGCGGTGCGGAGCTTGCGCTCGCGAAGGAAACATGATCTCGTCACTCTTTGATCTCCACGTAAGGTGAAAATTCCAGAGGGTATCGGAAACTTCACGCATTGGTGGAACGTCGAGATGACAGCTTTCATTTCATGGAGCCATGGGGTGCCGAGGATGCGTTATAGATGGCCGGTTTGTCCATGACGATGAACTTCAAGAGCTTTGAAATTCCGCCGACATAAACGGGGAGCCGGACTGTGCCACAGCTGTAAACATGCTCGGCGGTGAAACCGGTGAGGGGACGGGATGTAGGTTTGATAGATCCTTCCTCCACTCCCATGCGGTTCAGTGTTTCCAGAAAGATGAGGTTCACCGTGCTCCCGGTATCAACCAGGACCTTCGCGACGTCACAGTCGTGGATCTGTAGAGTGATTACGAGTGGGTCAAGGTGAGGGATGTCCAGCCCGCTCGCATCCTTATCCGTAAAGGAGATGGTAGGGATCCCTTTATGGATATACGGGTAGCGTTGTGCCGCGACGGCCTTTCGTTCGTATTCCTTGATCGCCGATATGGAATCGTCGTTATCCAGGAAGCCTCCCATGATCATGCTGACTTGTCGCTTCGGTGGTGGAGGTAGGTCGTCGTGGTCATCACGATTCCTTTTCCCAAGCGGGCTTCCGCCTTTTCTGCATCCTTCCTCGGACGGGGTTGTCGTCCGCGCTTCTCCTGCTGCCCAGATTTTGGTGGTTTCGGCGGGAAGCTTTTTCCTTGGGACCTATCACCGTCCATTGGCGGGATTTCTCCTCGATGGTACATGCGCATGAGGTTGCTCATTAGGTGTTTGCAGTTTTCAGTGGCGTGGCCAGTTCTCCCGTGGAACTTGCAGAAAGCTTTGGTATCGTTGTCATCTCCGAGCGAGTTGATGTCTTGTGGCATCGAAACGGCCGCTGCGTGTTCTTGCTCGAACTCGTCGTCGGCTGCTGCGAACGCTGTGAGGAGAGACCTCTTCGGATCGTGTCTTCTTCGCGCCTCCATGGGTTCCTCTCTGGGTTTCGTCGAGGTTGCCCTCCTATCTCCATGTTTCTCGGCGTAGAAGCGCTGGTCTTCCTCGAGGAAGATGTAGTTCCGAGAGCGGTGGAACGCGTCCTCCAGAGTCGCAGGGGGTTTTAGTGACAAATCCTCCTTAAACTTGGAGTCGTACCAGAGGCCGTTGCGGAGTGCTTCCAGCGGGACGCTATCGGGCATGTCGCCAGTATCGCGAGCTGCTTGTTTGAACCTTTCCATAAAGCTGCGCAATGGTTCGCCTTGGGTTTGCGTTGTGGTGAACATGTTCCGAGTGATTCGGGTCATGTGCATGGAGTAATGCTTCAGAAAAGCATTGGTTAGGTCGTCGAAGTTATCGATCGACTCGGCGGGGAGGTTAGAGAACCAGGTCAAGGCATCTTTCGCCATGTGCTCGACGAATACTTGACAGTAGTTGGCCTCCCTTTCATCGTAAGATTTGTATTTCTCCCTCCTCATGGCGAGGTTGAACGCGGTTAGCCACTTCTTGGGGTCTTCTTCGCCGGTGTAAGAGTCGATTTTGAGTCGAACTCTTTCGTGTAGCTCAATCTGGCGGAGCCTGCGGGTGAGCGGGCTTCTTCGGGTGTCGGCGAGTGCTTTCGTCAATTCCGGAGCTGAGCTGGTGGCGCGATGAACTTTCGAATCGACCTCGTCGAGGCGCGATTCACCCGTTCGAGTTCTTGGGTGGTAAGTCGCCTGAAGTGCGCAGGACGGGGGGTTGTTCCGTCGGTGGGACTTGACGGATCTTCATCGTCTTCTCGTGCTAGGGCTTCCACCTGTTCCTGAGTCTTTTTCTGCTGTGCTCGCATTGACTCGAAACCGTCGGCGAGTGGCTTGACGAGATTCTCCATGAGTTTGAGGATCTTCTCGCTCGAGGAGGATTTCTTCGAGCTGCGGGGTTTGTCGCTCGAGGAAGATTTTCTCGAGCGGCGTGGTGCGGACGGAGGGGGGCTCTCGTCCTTTCTTGGCGGAGGGGATCGTTGCGGCGAAGTCGATCTTCGCGGCGAGACGGATCTCTGTGGCGAGAAAGATGGGTTTCTTGTAGGGACAGGCTTGTCCCTACCTTCAGCGGGTAGCGACTTGTCTATCGTGCTGGTAGACTGTCGCTTAAGTTTTCTTCTGAGGGAGACGGGCTCCCGGTGGGAGTGTTCTCTTTCGAGTTCGCCATCGTTGCTAGTTCGTGAAAATCTAGATATCTTCGAGATGAATAGCGAGAAGCGTTTCCAGCCCCACGGTGGGCGCCAATTGTTGAATCCGAGATAGCACTCGTCAAGACGGGCTATCTAAGATGTGAGTTTAGGAAACTGGAACGCTTAATTCGACTCTTAGATTATCAAGAAGTTACAAGAGAGCAATCTCGCTAACAAGCCTAGCGAGATTATGTGATGAACAAGAGGATAGAGTAAAAGCTAATGTGAAAGCCTAGTGATTCTAGATGATTTCGGATCCCTCTCCCCAATGGGGGGTCTTCAATATATAGGTTGATAAGTCGGCCGAATGATGAATATTCTCCTTCAGGCGAGATGGAAAACTTCCTCTTTTGCGATATGGAAAATCCCTCTTGTTTTTGGATCTTTCTCCATTCTTTAAGTCGGCATGAAGATTTATTTACATTTCTCCATGGATTGTGCCTTTCTCTTCAAGTCTTGCCTTTTTCTTGAAGATGTTAGGCCTAAAATCGGATTGGGCTTTGTACTTTACTAATGATGACGGGCTCAGGGAAATGTGCTAATTTCTCCTCTAATAAAAAGAATCAAAAAAGCTGGAAAGCTGCGCTGACCAATGAAAACTAAAAGGACTGAACTTATTTTTATAATTCAAATGTATCAGTTTATTATTGCATCTGCAACTTGCAGTTTTGATGTCGACACTTTTTTGTGTAGTGTAGATGTCGACGCAAAATGTGTTTATTTTCAACTGAATTTTAAAAAAAATATATATAAATAAATTATTACAAGTATGACTGGTGATACAAAATGATAATAGCTCTAGTAATATAAATGATAAGTTGATAACACTAAAAAGCTATTTCATAATTAAAAACTGTAAATGATTCTAGGAAAAAAATGTTGAAACGGCAAGACAAGACAGTCCAATAAAAAAGATGCCAGGTAATATAATAGTTTGGTAAAATTAGAAACTATAAGAAAATTGGAAAATATACTATTTAGTCATTTACACATATACTTTTACAGTTTTACGGTTTTATCAGCTCAAAATTATGGCGTAGATAGAATTTTTTATATGGTTTTTTTTCTTCTGATAATTAAGGGTAAGTTTTAAATCTATGGAGAGGGTCCTTGAGAACATCCCATAAAATTTGAACGATATTGTCTTTTTTTTTTTTTTTTTTTTTGACGAATTTGAACGATATTGTCTATTCTTCTGATTTGTATTACTTTATTTTTTTGAATCGGTAAATCGTTACTATCTTATTTAGATATTGTATTATCTTAACTGACTGGTGATATAATTGACGATATAGTTTTTACCATGACAGTACAAACTGTACAAGTCCGTTTTTGTTAGTCATTCGATTGGGCTCTATATCTATTTTAATCTATGCAAATGTTAGAATACTCATAATTTCCGGTTTTGGTTCATATATATCTCTGCAGGCAAACTAAAATTACAGTACCAATTAATGAATATTAAATTTAATACAGTACGAATACTGAATTTCTTTCAACCAAGCTCCTTTACGATCATTAGTTAGGTAAATAAGTTGATGAGTTTTTTGTTGCTGTACAGTGACGTGTTTAAGTCCTTAAGCTGACTAATCGCATTGTTGAACTAATATACTATTTTCCGTACAAACATATAAAGTAAATTATCATTGCTCCAGTAATTGCATTAGGGAATCTGAATCTCAACTAACTTAGAATATGGTTAAAAAGTCAGATTTAATTACATGTAGGTGTTCTTAGACGTTACAATTTATGTCCTCTCGCAATCGAGCACTCACCTATGACTATGCCTCCAAATTTACAATCTATAAAATGAATGTACAACTAATATTTTTGTTTTGTTAATGTATGTGAAGTAAAAATTCAAAGCCGACAATGTATTGTTAGCCATTTATTAAGGTTTTCTTAGATGTGTGTAGTATAATTAGATATTCAAGATTAAATGGTCTCCTCATACATACGCAAGCAGGAGATTAAGGGACAAATGTTAGTCAACTTTGCCTTTTGGAGGAGACTTTAGCCATTGTCACTCTAATTAATCTTACAGGTTTAGGCTTAAACTTGGCTTTAAGTGCACTTGTACAGCTACAAATTTTAATCATTTTCTTTTTACAAACTTATTCAGCTTTCCTCAAGATTCATTTTTTAATATTATTTTTAAGTATATAAGAAAAAGCAAACTTTCATTATATATATATATATATATATATATATCTTATATCAGAGACGTAACTTAATTGTTTCATAAACGAAGTTATAATTAGTCTAATTCTAAAAAATCATCATTTATATATTTAATATCTAAAGCCATCTAAAAGGTCATCGGAAATTTTAAGAAATACATCTTTTGAGGTGTAAATTTTCAAAACTACACATTTAGTGTGATAATTTTCAAAAATATTTTTTTTCTAATTTTATTATGTATGTTTGGGTTCACTAATCTGTAACTAGGGTTTAGATTTTGGGGTTTAGGGTTTAGATTTAATGGTTCAATATTATATGTTAGGGTTTATGATTTATATTTTAGAGTTTAGAGTTCTTTTACTCAATGAAAACATGTAGTTTTGAAAATAGACACTATAGAGGTATATTTTTGAAAATTGTCACTTAAAAAACGTAGTTTTGAAATTTTCCCGAAAATCATCATTTGGTCAAAAAAACAATATATATATATTGAAAGCAATCTAAAAGTGTACTATTGTTGGCCAAGTGCAATAACGTTTTTTAAGTTACGAAAATTAGATGTCGTATAAAACTTTAACACGTTAAAGTGAGAAATGTGGTGAATCGAAACCGGCGAAATGACTTTAAATCAGTTTCGGAATTAATGTAGCCCCACCAACGTAAAATTGTATATATTTCTACTTTAAACAATTTTCGAATTCGTTGGCAACAAAAAAAGACAATTTTCAATGTAGAATATTACTAAAATACCCAATCTCAATTATTTATTTGATGGTTGTTCGATTGTTAAAGGTAACAAAAGTTCTGTTTGAGTTGAGTCTACATAATGTACTGTTATCATTATTTGACAAAGTCGTTGTTAGTTTAAAACAGAAAAAATGTCGTTATCATAATTATACAAATGAAAATTGTTATAAGTTTGACAAGGAACATGCATCCGTGATCCGACCGTATATGTGTGTTTAAGAAAGGGAATTTGGTTATTATAGACGATTATTTTAAACAATAAATAAACTCAGGTTACTTCTGTTTCAATGTCTAATATGATAATATCCTCGTCAATAGTTAACAGCATATGATTACGCAATTCGTGATGTTCTAAATAATAAACACAGATAAAAAAAGGAATAATTATCATAAAGAAAAAATGCATAAGTAGTAATGTGATATATTGCGTTTTTGACGCATTCTAACACTTGTTTTCACGAGTTTTATCGAGTCTTTCTAGTCTTTATCGAGTCTTTTCAGGTCTAAAGACGTTCCAGGGAGAGCTTTGGTCACATGGACCAACATCTGGCGAAAGCAGGCAAAACGGAGAGAAGGGTAGCTCGATCGATCCCATACAGAACTCAATCGAGCCCATGCTTTACAACAAGATCGATCGACCCTGTTCACGACAACTTAGCTCGGTCGATCCCATACCACAGGAGGGGGATCGATCGAACTCGTACACCCATAGGCGAATCGATCGATCTCATGCGCCACGCCATGCAGTGGTCGATCTCAGCCGTTTGATCTATCTCGCACAGATGATATCTCAGCCGTTCGATCTACTTGGCGCAAACCGACTTGATCGAACCACAGCGAACCGGATTGAACCAAAGTCGACCCCAGAGCTATTTAGACCTATCTTTAGCCATTGTTTAGGCTACGCCGTTTTCACAGTTTTACATTGTTTTCTGAGGGAGAAGAGATCGAACCTCTGTTATTCACAGTTTGGAGAAGATTTCTGAACCCTTGTTTTTGCTATTTTCGTATTTTATTCAATGAACTCAGTTTCAATCATTGTTTCCTGTTTCGCCATGTCTGAGTAGTCACTTTGCTAAAGGGATTCATGTGTTAACTAAACTGAATACAGATAGGGCTTTCATACTGTCTTCGCCATTGTTGCATTCACTGCTTAGATCGATCTGATCACTCGATCTCTGATCTCAGATTACCTGTTCATCAAAAGTGCAATAGGTTGTTAGAACGAACTGTGGTGAGCGAATCGTCCTTAGCCTGCGAAAGTTGATGCTAAGGCGATTTGTGAACTTATCGAACCTGTGTTTATTGCTTGCTTTCAACTGCTAGATTCAAACGACAGTTTAGACATCTAGGTTGTTAGTAAGTTGTTAAGATCGCGAAAGTGAATTGACATACTGTTTGTTTGAGTTCGAGACCTGTTCATTATCTGTGCCCTGAATAGTTGTTGGTTGTTAACCGTGAATCTCTGCGAATTGCCTTGGTCTAGTCCCTGTTTTATTAAGTTTACATCAACGTTTACATTCGTTACCTTGTTACCAAATCAATCATCTTTGTCTTAGCTCTGTTTTGAATCTCCTAGATTCATAGTGTAACGCTGGTCCTCTGGATTTCGAATCCTTTATATTATAATTTCATCATTTCTATTTCTAGTTTATCATAATGGCATTAAAGAAGGGGATAAAATGAAAAGGTATTGTTTGGTAACAAACAGATGGTTCTTGACTTCTTGGTTTACACTCAGAGCACGACTGGAAAAAAAAAGTTTCATCATACAAGATGATAAATAAAAATATCGCAGACTGAAAAACTGATAAATTTGTTATCTTTCGCTTCTTTCTCCTCTCTCTCTCTCTCTCTCTCACAGTTGCTAACAGAAAATTTTCCACCTTTTCTTTCTTTTTCTCCTCACCCTCTATTTTCTAGGGATTTACTTTTCACTAGCTTTGGGCTTTCGTGTATTCGCGCCTTCGTCGAGATTTCTCCGGCTGAAATGGCGGAATCGTCGACGGGAGACGCAACGGCAGCAAACGCCGCCGATACTCTGAGGCTGGAATTAGAGAAGACACTAACGGAGTTTCTCGAAGACGGAAGAGTCAGCAAAGATCGCAGCGACACTGACGGAAGTTTCAACGCCTTGAAATCGATTGACGAGTCGATCGGAATCCTGAATCGCCTGAGGGAAGTAGAATCAAAGAAGCCGGAATCTGAGATCTCTTCGTCTTCTCCGGCTCCGATTCCCAAAGTGCCGGACGAGTTTAGATGCAGCCTCTCAACTAATATCATGAGCGAACCTGTAGTCATCGCTTCTGGGCAGGTGATTTCTCCTCCATTTTCTTTTGCTGATTTTATATATTTCCTGGATTTTCTTTGGGATTCTTGCTCGATTTAGCTCATAATTCTACATTTTTTTTTTGGTTCTACGTCTCAATCGACCAGGAACCACTAAAAATCTACTTTTACATCCATTTCGATCTCAGAAATATTCAAAAACACTTTAAATCCGAATGAAATATACGTATGTGTTATGTGTGTGCATCAAGTGAGCACTTCTGACTCAGAATTATGTAATTTGGTGGACATAGAGAAAAGATGAAAAAGTAAACTTTGCCTATTATTAGCATAAGCTCACTGGACGGTTCATGTGATTTCACCTTTTCCCCTCACATGTTACATCTTATTATCTCTATCTATTTTACGTAATCTTTATTCATTCCCCCATTTTACAATTGGTATTTTTTTTTTCTTATTTTCATTCTTCGAAATTCATGTGTAGCGGGAAATAAATAAAAGAATGAAATATGTCAATTTACATCATGGTCATAACCAAGATTTATCTAATGCAACGAGAACGTTGATAGTACTAATTTGCAGTCGATCCTTCTAATATCCATGAATAGTCTTCCTATAATTGTAAATTTCGTTTAACGAATACCAAAAATAAAAGAATGAAATGAAATTTCAATTTATTAATATATACTGTAATAAACTACCGAAAAACCTAGACAAAAAAAACTATTAAGAAAGAAACTTATTTATAAGAAAACTTGAAAACCCTAAAAACCGTAAATCTTATTATATAAAGTTGAACGTAGGATTTTTATAATTTATAGGAGCGCGACATGTGTCACTTTTAATGTAACGTCCGTTAAGATTGTGACACGTGTCTTGAAAAAAAAAAGTAAGAAAAATGAAATTTTAATCTATTACAGTAAAAAGAAAACAATTATTTAAAAAAAAAACTATTATATTTGTCATATCCTAACAGAAAAAAGTTTCTCATTCATTAAAACTATATTATCTTTAAGAGATATTAAATTCAAAATAATGTAATAAATAAAATCTCATTAATACATGGAATAGGTTTAGGTTATGTAAACTAAATTCTTATAATTGCATGGAATAGGTAACGTGAACCCCTATAAAAAGCAAATTCATCAAATCTCTTTGATTATCATTCTCTAATTTAAAATTTATGTCTTTGAAAGTTCAAGAAAAGAGTGGAGATTACTTGACTCTTAGTCAATTGGATCGAAATTGAAATTATCGCCGTACTATAGTACGTGTTATTCGAATTCCAACGGAAAAAAAGGAAAAAAAATATTTTCACATGCCTCATTTACGAAGAGAAAAAAAGTTTCATATTCTAATGAAAAAGGCAAAAGAATGTGAAAAAAAAACTTATTAAAAAGGTGTTAAGAAAAAGGGAAATATATTTTTCATATTCTAACGGTAAAAAAGAAAAATGATTTTTAAATGCCTCTGAGATAAAAAGAGGAAATGCTTGGGTTGTTCTGGGAGCACCCGCTTGCTCTGGATCCAGAGTTTGTGGGTGCAAAGATTGCAACTTTTACGAGTGCAGTGATGCATGCAGCTGAGGCATCCTAACAGACCGGTAGACTTGAACCTTGGTTTATATTCTAAAGGAAAAAGAAAAGAAAAATATTTTTATTTTAATTCAGAAAAAAAGGATTAAACTAATGTATTTGGGATTAAGTAATCAAAACATAATTAGAAAAAAAAAGAATAAAAACAAACAAATAATTATTAATATGATAGAAATTTTAATCCGTAAGAGAATCTTTCAATATGATTTTATTTGTTTCTAAGAGTGTCATGTCTCTGAGGTTATTTTGTTTTATATTATACATTTTTATTTATTTTTTACTGATTTAAAATACTATTATGTTATCAGTCCCGTGTATAATCTAGTTCTTAGTAATCTTAGTTAATAAATAAGACACAATTAGTAAGAGATACGCTGCATCGTAATCACATTTGCATTGCATCCGACAGATAACAATTTCAAATAAGACATTGGTACAATAAATTATTAAAAGATATATTAGTCAATTTTAGAGCTTGAAGTTCAAAACTCTTGTTCTCACAGAAAGAGGAATCCTGACATTATGTGCTCCATTATCAGTCCAAGTCAAGCTCCCAAAGTGATAATCAGTGTTCACTCTATGAGTCGTGGAGAATTTCACCGTAAATGTAGTCTTGTTGGTGTTGGAACCGAACACAAGAGTCTGAGGATTCACCTGCACGTTAATACCTTGAGGCTCTTGGATCACAGCTTTGTAAACCGAACCAACCGGTCCGACATTGGTCACGGTTCTAGTAATGGTGATCTCTTCACTGAGATATGGGATTGTGATGGAAGGTAAGTTGACATTAAGCATGGATGGAGTTGGAGAAGGGCAAGTGTAGATCTTTCCAAGTAGTTTCGAGATTGATCTATCGTCATAGCCTGCGGAGCACAAGTAATGAACATATTCATCGTAGCCCATGTCGTAAACAAGTCCCGGGTCGGCTACTTTCACCGGGTTCACAAGGCCACCTCCGTAGTCAAATGGGTCGGCCAGTTTTCTCGGGGAACCCTCGGCTACGATAGGCTCTCCCGATGGGTCGGTTTGCAACGCTGCAAAAGCAAATCAGTCATTCACTGGTGTTTCTTGTGACGCAAGAAACATTTAAAATTGTGTGATCTAGGGTTTTTTTTGTATGGTTTTACCGGTTGTGACGAGAGCGGATCGGATCGCGGCAGGAGACCACTTGGGTCGTTTTTGCCTAAGAAGTGCAACTATTCCGGTCACGGTAGGTGTAGCCATCGATGTTCCCGACATGAATTCGTATCCTGCCCCTGTCTCTGATGGTACGGCAGCGAGTATACCCGAACCTGGTGCAGCTATATCCGGCTGTAATTAAAACCACAAACCAACTTCAGTACCGTACGTGCCACCACAATGTGAATGTAAGAGAGCATGAAGTAAGATGTTAACACTTTACCTTGAGAATGGCAGGAGATATTGAATTGGGACCTCTAGAAGAAAATCTTGCGACCTTAGACGCTACAGGCCGGCCAACAAATGTCTTGGTCGGGCTGATCTTAGCTATCGGCGCTCTGCGGAAATCAATCAAAGAAACCAAAACCGTTTAACATCAAAGAGTTGTTATATATAGAGAAATGTGAAAGAGGAGGAGCTTTACGTACGTGGTTGTTTGAATATACAACAAAATGTCCATCCCAACTTCGTAGTCTACATAGGCGGTAGGGATAAGCCCGGGGGTTTCTCCCATAGTGTCGGTTGGCTGCGACGCCATAATGACGCCAACAGCGCCTTTCTTCTCCGCAATATCGGCGATGTCCACATCAGAATTGCTTGTATCGAAGTAAAACAAGATCTTTCCTTTAACTTTACCGGCTTCAAAATCCTCCGTTGTTAGCTCGTCGAAATAAACAAGATCAGCGAATCCAACTTCCATTCCGTTGTATAGAGTTTCTTGACCCTGAAAACAAGATCCCACGAAAGAAGTTAAATAAAAATAAATGAACGGTCACGGTTGCTTGTATTACAAGCAATACAAGCAACCTAGTGTAATACGCACCAGTAGGGTTATATTGTTTCCAAGAGTGATGGGCGTGAAGAAGTCTCGGTCCATGGTCGTAGCTGCAACGGTTATGATCCACGGAGCCACGTTAGCGACAGTTTGAGTGTGAGGACCGTCGTTACCTCCCGCGGATACAACAGGGATTCCCTTCATAACCGCGTGGAAAGCAGCGATAGCGAAATCACTCCTATCGACCTCAAAATCTAGAGGTACTTCGGATCCGAGAGAGAGCGACAAAACATCCACGCCATCGCGTATTGCATGATCCATTGCCTTGATGATATCAGGAGTGAAACACTCTTCGTTGTTCCAACACACTTTGTAAGAAGCTATACGGGCTCTTGGGGCACTGCCTCTAGCGGTTCCTTGACCTTGACCGAGGAAGTTCACGTTTTGGACAAAAGAACCAGCAGCGGTCGATGCACAATGTGTTCCGTGGCCGACTTTGTCTAAAGGAGACATAGCCTCGTCTTTCTCTGCCGCGTTAAACGTGCCGTTGTACTTCCTGAGTAGACCCTTTGCGTAGTAAGTAGCTCCGATTAACTTTCTGTTGCAGTCAGTAGATGCGTTGAATCCTTCTCCTGACATGCATTGTCCTTTCCAACGCGCCGGGATCGGTCCAAGACCTTTGTCATTGAATGAGTCCGATCGTGGCCCTATTCCTGAGTCCAAGATTCCTACAATTGTTTCACTTCCCATATCGGTTTCATGGAGTAGACCCGTTGGAGCCGTTGAACTGAGTCCCAAGTAATCACTAACCCTTGTTGTTTTCAGCTTCATGTTCTTGCTTCTCGTTACATGAACAACATGGGGATGCTCTATTACAAATCCACGGCAGAAAATGAGTGTATTAATTAATAGTTTGCCCTAATGCTTGTGAGACACGTTTTCTCAAGAGAAAGCTTTACCTGAAAGCTCCTTTGCTTGGGATGGTGTGAGTTGCGCTGAAAATCCTGAGAAGCCATGTCTATAACTATAAATCATAGACTCGCGGGAAGCTTCTTTGCTGCATTTATAAGTCAAAACATTCAAATTTATAAACCAATATTTTCGCACAACAATCTAAATATTATAGACCAATGACCAAGATTGATTACCTTCCAAGAAGCGATCCAAGAATTTCATGATGTGAATCAGTAACAAGATTAGGATCATCATGTTGCCTCTCACCCAAATGCACCGTGTAAATCTAAATATAACATCATCGAGTAATTTTTAATACCACGAAATGCTTCGCAATGACCGTTGTTTCTGCAGAACAAAAAGATCGACCATTTATAACGTACCTGGCTTTCCTCAGCAGAAGCTAAGGCTATTTTCGAGATGCATACTAAACCTATGAACACAACTAAAATATGCTTCCTATTATTTGATACAATCAGAGAAGACAACTCCATTTTTTGTTTTCCTGGGTTTGAAGAGTTATTGTTGTTGAGGCTGATTCTTGTTCTACAAAAATCTTCCAAGAATATTAGGGTTCTTATTCTAGAATTTCCTCAACAGTGTCCTCTCCGATTGCATCCCCGGAGCATATGATGATTGTGTTTAACCCATCTTGTATTTAAAATGAAAGATTTTGTTAAGAATGTTGAAAGTTTTTTTTTAGCTTACAACGAAGATAGGTCATAACACCAAAGCTAATTTGTTAATTTGGGACAAAAACGGATTTGTTTCTTTTTACATAATTATCGGTGTAGAATTAAAACGAGTCAAAACTTAAACTGTTGTTCATTTTCTGTCAAACCCATGATTATAAGATATACCATAACCGGGGATAAAAATTAGAAAATTCGATTTTTTATAAAAGAAAAGAAATGATGATAATCAGGAGTAAATGTTTCTGAACTATTTGTTATATAGATATTCAAGAAAACACTAGACATTAAGCAGCGAGCCTACACGGACAATTCGAAAACAGAGGTTTAAAACGTAAAACCGATTATTTGTTATATAGGAAAGGGGTAATAGTTTTTAAAAAGATTTTGTATTTGAGTTTTAGAAATCTAAACAAAAAAATTCCCTTTACAAAAAAAAAGTTTTAGATTTATAATTTACTTTGCTATTTGTTGTTTGCTATAGTGATTGTAGTTTGCATGAATAATGTTGTATAAACCAAAAAATCTTGGTAGAAAAATAGTCTTAGAAGAAGAAACCCACATATTATAGTTTTTGGTTTTCTTTAAAATTTGTTTAAAACAGTCATCAAATGGTTTTAAGGAAACTAAAAAGTAGATTTTTTATAAATGAATCAAAACTACTCTAAAACAAACAAACATTGAAAGCCAAATTCCTCTTAAAAAGGTTCTATGGTGAGGAATTCAAAGATGCAGAGACTCGCATAGCCTACAATGACTTCTTTTTTTTTTTTTTTTTTTTTTTTTTTTTTTACAATGACTTCTTGAGCATAACATGTGGGTTTAAATGGTCCCAATTCTTATTGTGCAAAATGAGACCCGACAAAAGAAAAGAGTGTTTAGTTGGATTTTGACAAAAAAATGGTTAGTCCGATTACTTTATTTAAAAAAAAAAAAAAACGATAGATCTGATAGAGTTTGGAAAACAATGATAGATTGATGCTCAAATGAGCTTATTGAGATGGAAGTAAAGATTGATAAAAGAGATAGCTTCATGAGCTTTATTTATGTACATAAAACTAAAGAGAGAAAGGAAAGAACTTTAAAGATGTCACCAAGATATCAAATGATTGTCGATTAATATCATAAAGAAGAAGGAGGAGAGTTGATTCGAACAACTCTCAAAGTTACATAACACAATGACCTAAGAACAATATTTATACTAATGCACTTGTAAGAAACCCTAGTTACATGGGCTAATAAGATCATAAGAACAAAAAACTATACGTTTAAGTTATGACACCATGAAACTAAGATTTTGAGTCAAAATATAATTTTAGTTCAACACTAGCACGTAATCAAAATTTAGCTCCCAAATTGCGAAATCTACTTTTGCCATAAGATTGGGTAATCGCATAAAATATATTTTTAATATTTTTTACATGTGATTAGCTGATTAGTTGAATCAACACAACAATTGTCCCTGTGCCTCTGCCTCTCCAGATGATGGATGACACATAGGATTTTTTAAGCTTTATGTATCTTGTATCTGACACATCATTAAAAACATTTGAATTAATACCAGTCAACATATTCACTTGCCACATCAGTCTTTTTTTCTCTTTTTTTTTTTACTTCGACATCTCTCTCCTCTCGCTCCGTCGTCTTGGTTGATCGACTTTTGCTCTGATCCCTCTCTCTTTTCTTGCTTAAAGTCCTCCTCACTGATTGTATTTATGTGATTATCATGTAGTGATTATAAAACTCATTCTCTCTCTTTCTATGGTTCTTTCTCGATTCGTCTTTGCTGTAACTTTACTTTGGCTTGACCTTACTGTTCATCTATCACACATTAATCCCAAAGACATTAGAGGTTCTGTGTTAGAGCTTCGATTTTCATGGTCAAGTTCTCTCCGGCGAAGTAAGTTTCCCAATTTTACCTTCTTAGTATTTGCTCATAATAGTTTCCGATTTGTGATTGTTGATGATTTGTATGTCCATCCGGAAAATTGTTATTTTGACTGATCTGCGTTCTTAGTGAATTTTTTATATACCCATTGGTATCCTTCTTGACACGAGGATTTGTGTTAATTTATAAATTGTTCTTCTATTGAATTTTGTTTCCTTCATCAATCTTTCGGACTAGCTAGGCTCTTAAATGTCAGAGATAGTCATGTGAGAACTGTGATTGCAGGCGCAATCGGGTATGTGGCTCATGAGTATGGACAAACTTGGCAAGGCACCACAAGAGGAGATGTTTACAGCTACAGAGTATCGACAATGGAGCTCGCGGCGGGTAGAAAAGCAGCTGATGAAGGAGAAGAGTGTTTGGTCGAATGGGCCAGACGAGTAATGACAGGTAACATGACAGCCAAAGGTTCGCCATTTACTCTCTCAGGGACGAATCCAGAGAACGGAGCTGAGGAATTAACTACTATTAAAAATCAGTGTGAAATACAACGAGTTCGTGAAAATTCGAGTTTTTGATATAAAAATGTGTATGGTATCTATCGACATTTACCTCAAAATAAGAAACTTGTAAACTATAGAAATCAAACTATATAGCATTTTATTAAGTAATTCTTTGAAATACTTTTTAAAAAAATTTTAACTAAGAAGTAAAATAAATATAGTTTATTTTATATATATTATTTATATAAATGACAATGAAATTGGAATTTGACAATAAACTTTGAATAGACAGGAAGCATAATAAAATAGCAATTTACAAAAAAAAAAAAAAGTATGAATACTTTTCTAAAGGTTGGTAGAGTATCAAAAAAATATTACCCAAAAGTTATATCAAGTTAGATATTAGCGGGTAAAGTTTGGATGCAGACAAGATCACGTAATTATAATCATTGGTAAGGTATCAAAAAACTATTAGCCAAAATATATTCATGAAATAAAAGTTGGATATTAGCAGTATTGGATAAGGTTCATATATATACGGATAAAATCATATAATTATAATACAAAATCTTCCGATCATCAAAACGACAATGTGTATAACCAACTTGTTGGGTCCGCACACTACTCTAAATTATTTTTACATCATAGAAAACTAATATAAAGAAAACTGAATTAAAATATCAAAATGTAATATGAATAATTTAATCATTTATATATGGAAAAAAAACTACCAAAGCCTCCCGCGGCAAAGCGCGGGTATCCTACCTAGTTATTTTAAAACCAAAAGTTGGCTTCCTAATAGGAATGAGGATTCAGCTTGAGTACCAATCATGCTTTTTTTTATTTTCTGCGCGCCAAATAATATATAATAATTATTATATCTATTAACATAAGTATCTAGTAAGACATAGTTGGTACATATTTTTTTTTCCTTATGAGTCAGTGCGTACTTTTGTTCCTTGAGTTAGTTAACAATCTATTTCCCCATGATAAACAACAAACTTGAAATTTGTGCTAAATTCAAATGAAAAAGCAAAGACTATAGATGCAGTACTAAATCACAAATAAACACAAGAGTTTTCTCTGCAAAGAAATATATTAATAGAAAAGTTTGCTCAGATTACTTACAAGTATGATCTTAAACGTAGTACAACAAGTTCAAGACAATTTTGATTTGTTGTTCTAGTAACTTTTACGTTCTTAGATTTATATAGGACCCAAGAATCTCTCAAGCTCCAACCCTTTTGACCTACTGCTTTTCCAAGAAATCTATCCAAAATGCTAACACTCTCAATTATTTTCAACAAAAAAAAATATTTTCTTATTTTTCTCTAAAAAAGGAAATATTTTATTTATGTTGATAACTCCAAAATCTTAATCCACTCGTACTTAGCAGCTACAAGATCGCACATATTAGCCCATTGATCCTTAATCCCATTTAGCTCAGCTTAACTTCACTTATGTATCTTGATGATTCAGGAACTGCTTCAATCCAGCTGCATAACCTGATAACAATGTAATCAGCTAATTTGCTGCATTACCAAGAAGTATTTTGACTAAATGTTCTGTTTTGTTTTTATGTGGTAGTCGTCTAGTATTTGCTTTCTGCTAGAAAACAAAAAGAGGAAGACAACAGAATCTGTTATAGTATGCTTCCTGCTCGAACAGAAACTGCTTCTTTCATTTGTACCGGAAAATTGGCCAGAAGGATCCAACGAGATTATTATCCAATTAGGTTGTTATGTTAAGGTTTTACTGAATAGGTCTGTTTCAAATTCATGGCATCTTACGGCTTTTGCATTCGATTATATAGTTAATAAAAAATATTAAAACAATTTGCTGAATGAATTGATTGTTGTTGGTTTAATCCAAAACCAAATTTCTCCAGTTTGCTGTTGAATTAACTCTGTAGGTTAGTTTTGTTGAGCAGTTACATGTTTTTATGCGAAAGAAATAATGGCCTTTCGATTTATTGACTTGTTTATTGCCTATATATGGAGTTTAAAACATAAAATAGGCCTAATGAACCTCGTTTATTTCTTGGTCTTGGTAGTGAAAATTGGAGAGAGCATTCACAAAAAGCAAAAAGCAGTGAAAATTGAAATTACAGAACCTGTACCAACAAGTAAAAGAAACAGCAGTATACTCAATAAGCTTTTCTTTTAACGAGATTCTTATTAAGATTTACTTTTAAACCAAGACTCCTTACAATCTTGTTTAAGCAGGGAATCACAACATCACTTTTGTGATTTGCTCCTACACTAAATCCTAATCTACCCAATCTCACATACACAGCAACAGCTGATGTCTCTTTGTTCACTCACCGAAAACCCAGTTTCTTGAGATACCAAATGTTCTTTACACAATAAGAACAAAGGTTTTTCTTTGGCAAAAGAGATAGCCAATTCTTACCAACGAAATAGCTATATATACTCAAGTCTCAAAACCCTAAGACTTCCTAATAACCATTGGATTGTCACGTGACTCTCTTGACTTTTAGCCTCTGACAATAGCTCTTGACTTTTGCCAACTCCTGTAGCCCATCGCTTCTTCAGCGGCTCCACGAGTGTGTCACGTCCAAGCTGCTCCACAGCCTGTCACATCTCACTTGTTCCTGTAGTTGGAACAGCTCCACTGTTCGCTCCACTCACAATTCTTCTGATTCCATTCTTCTGTCAGGCAGGCGGTCCACATCACCATAGTCTACGAGAACATGCGCCTTGTTTCCCGCCATCGAGACTTTCATCTTCAGGACTTCCTATAACTGCAGAATCCTTGTATCGTCAAAAATGATTAGCAAAAGAGATTGATAGGGATTACAGATAATTTTTTTTCTTAAATACTATTCAGGTTTAAAAAATGCTGTTTATCTGTCTTCTTTGAGAATTATGCTTTCTTCTCACACAAGCATAAGGTAACCATAACATAACGGCCTTAATAATTATGTCCTGAAGTTTATTTTTTCTTGGCGCATTAGGATTTAGGACCAACCTCCAACATGGTCCCTATTAAAGAAGATGGGCAAAGGAAGCAAAAAAAAACAAAATTTGGATGAGAAAAAAAAATAGCAATTAAAGCTTTGCTCCTTAGTCAGAATTCATAGGAAATAAGTAAGGTAGAAGAGGCCACTGCATATATAGGACTCTCAGATGAATCATGGATGTTGATATATAGGTTCCGTGAGATTTATCAGGTAATGTTCTAAAATAGTTGTTCTTAACTGTTATTAACAATGACTCTTAACTGTTAATATCCTCTTGCTAACTAATTGGGTGGAATGCTAAATTAGAGTCCCAAATAAAGCATATAATAAGTAAAATTAACTATATGGTATTTCATCTTTTGTTTATTTCTTAACTATCTTTGTTATTTGGGTATGTCTATTTTTAGAAAACAGTTAATTAGTTGTATAGTTTTAGAATCTCTCGTATGATCCCTTTTAAATATGAGACAACAAAGACACGTCCTAGCAGCTTGTTGATGCAATCAGAGAGTCATTGTTGAGGGGCAAGATTGTTCTTGTTATCCCTCAACACATATCTCTAAACCCAGAAAATGAGGTACTCTTATCTGATTGCATCAACAAGCTCTAAGGCTTATTGTCGTCCTCTGGTCATAATCACTTTCGTGTTAATCTTGAACGGAGTGTTTATCTCTGCGGCACAACAACTCAATGGCTTAAACAAGGTATGTCATTTTTTTCTGCAAGCTTATCGTTTGAGTAAATGATGATATTGGCATATATGAACCATCGTTTCCCTTTTTTCCATTAATACAAGCTTTACATTGTGCACTTGGGAGCAAAGCAACATGATACCCCTGAGCTGGTTACTAAATCACATTACCAAATTCTAGAACCAATTCTTGGAAGGTACGAAGAGGCCTAACCCTAACCCTAACCCTAACCCTAACCCTAAGCTGGACAGACAAGACCATGCTTGCGGCCTTATTATTATTATTTTTCTAGCTTTTCCATGTTAGCGAGGTTATACTCATTTTCTTTCTTTTTACATTTCATGTTATTAGCAAAGAAGCTGTCCATAAATCTATAGTATACAGTTATAGGCATGGTTTTTCAGGGTTCGCAGCGAAACTTACAGCTTCCCAAGCAAAGAACCTTTCAGGTACGTAAAAAGTTCATTGTTTTTATGTCATGTCCATTAAACTCAAAGGAAAGTATATTCATGGTACATTCTTGTATTTTATCAGCGCTTCCTGAGGTTCTTTGTGTTCTACCAAGTCGAGTGTTGGAGTTAAAAACAACGCGGACATTTGATTACCTCGGACTTTCGCCTAGTTCTCCAAAAGGTCTTTTACATGATACCCGCTTAGGTAGTGAAGCTATCATTGGCGTAATAGACTCAGGGATATGGCCAGAGTCGAAGTCATTCAACGACACAGGTCTAGGACCGATCCCCACACGTTGGAAAGGAACATGTGAGTCTGGAGATAAATTTGACGCCAAAGTACATTGCAACAAAAAGCTTATAGGGGCTAAGTTCTTCGTTGACGGTCTTAATGACATGACGAACGGGGAATACGATTTCAATTCGGAAGGTGAGGTTAGGTCCCCTAGAGATAATTCTTTAGGCCACGGGACACACGTAGCTGCAATCGCTGCTGGTTCTTTAGTGGCGAATGCGGACCACTATGGACTTGGTGGAGGACTCGCGAGAGGCGCGGCTCCTCATGCACGTATAGCTGTTTACAAGGCGTGCTGGGGCCATGTTGGATGTATAACACCTGATGTACTCAAAGCTATTGATCATAGCATACGTGACGGGGTCGATGTTATATCGATTTCGATTGGGACTGAGGCGCCCGCGAGTTTTGATGTTGATCAGAACGATATAGCATATGGTTCTTTTCAAGCCGTGATGAAAGGCATTCCCGTTGTTTGTTCAGCTGGAAACGAAGGACCTAACGCTCAAACTGTTGATAATGTTGCTCCATGGATTATAACCGTTGCTGCGACATCCATGGACCGTTCTTTCCCAATACCAATCACTCTTGGAAACAATCTAACTATTCTTGTATGTGACACATTCTCATTTTCTTGAATTTTATATTTATTAATATTGCATTTTTTTTTTCTAAATCTTTTACTTGTCTTGTACTTCTCCCAGGGTGAAGGTTTAAACACATTACCAGAAGTTGGATTTTTTAATCTTGTACTATCAGATGAAATGATGGACTCCTCTATCGAGGAAGGCCAAACCAAAGATAAAATCGTGCTTGCGTTTACGCCAAACGATAACTCGATAAAAAAGGCGAGAAGTATATTGATTGCTGGATGTGCTGGGATGATCTTTGCACAATCTGTAGTTGATATTTCGGTTTGTAATAGCGTGAACGTTCCTTGCGCGGTGGTAGATTACGAATTCGGAACTGATATCCTATACTATATCCAAACCACCGAGTAATAACTCTTCCACCACCTTTCTTGAATCATCATTTTTCTGTTCTTGAATCTGAAAAAAACTGAGTGGTTTTGGATATTTTCAGTGTGCCCATAGCTAAAATAAGTACTTCTAAGACACTTATAGGCCGGCCTATTGCATCTAGAGTGGCTCGTTTCTCTTGTAGAGGACCTAATTCAGTTTCTCCAGCAATTCTCAAGGTTTGTGTAGTAATTAATTTTTGTTTCTTGAAATATATCGAATTTTGTGTTGACAAAGTTTTGGGACTCTTCTTGATAATCATGCAGCCAGATATAGCAGCGCCTGGTGTTAACATTCTTTCTGCAATATCTGGTGGGTATCAAATCATGTCGGGAACGTCAATGGCGACACCTGTTGTGTCCGGAATTGTTGGTCTACTTAGACAAATCCGTCCTCAATGGTCTCCTGCTGCAATCAGATCTGCTCTTGTCACAACGGGTTCTTGGTTCTTACTCTTAAACCATGCTAAACATTAAATAAAGAAAATGAAAAAATGATTATGCTAAAAAAGAGGTGTTAAAATGGAAATAATAATAATAATAATGTGAAACTCTGATCAACTAACAAAAAAGTTTATTGCAATCAAATAAATTAGAAAGTTGGAGATATCAAACTTTAAATAATAAGATATCTTTATTTTTCTAAGAAAATTGAGTTTCATTTTGGTATTTATTTTTCAGAAATATACTTAATTGGCTTTTTGGATCGTTTTACAAGTTTAGTAAAATACTAAAATCAATTGTGAAAAATGTGAAAAAATAAAGCGCAACCAAATATTTTTACTTTCTTTTCTTGAAATGAAGCATGGAGGACCGACCCATTTGGAGAGCCTATATTTTCAGAGGGATCAACACGTAAAATTGCTGACCCGTTTGACTATGGAGGAGGTCTGATCAACCCAGAGAAAGTAGCAGACCCAGGGCTTGTCTACGACTTGGGCTTGGACGACTATGTTCATTATTTGTGTTCTTCGGATTACGATGAGACATCCATTTCTAAACTAGTTGGCAAACCTCAAAAATGCCCTTTGCCAACGCCATCCATGCTCGATTTCAACATGCCTTCCATCACAATCCCAAGTCTCACTGGAGAGGTCACTGTGACTAGAACCGTGACGAATGTTGGACCGGCCGGTTCGGTTTACAGACCTGTGGTTGAGCCTCCTTTTGGCATAGAGGTTGAGGTCAATCCCAAGACTCTTGTGTTCGGTACCAACACCACAAAGAATACGTTTAGTGTGAGAGTGAAAACGAATCATAAAGTGAACAGTGATTTTTATTTTGGGAGCTTGTGTTGGACCGATGGAGTTCACAACGTCACTATCCCTGTTTCTGTGAGAACAAAGATCTTGAGGAATTATGTTTCTTGATCATTCTTCACTTGTAACTATAGATCCTGAGTTATTTGTTTTTCAGAGCCAACATGGTGTTTAAATTTTTAGTTTAGCAAAGAAATAATACAAAGAAAAAGAACTAATGGTTTGGTAAACATTTTGAGGTATTGTAAAAAGGCCCAATAATTATTTGAACCGAGCCTGAACAGCTGTTGCATGAAGTTTTAACATGTGGATCAATTGTTACTTCGAATATAAATGACCTCACCGACAAGTTTGGTTATAAGTTATTGGCTATCTAGTTGTGTATATAAAAACGCACTTTGAATGCATCATCATCGCCACACCACTCTTTTAAGAAAAATAGAAAATAAAAAATCATCGCCACACCACCTCTCTTATCTCTTTCTATCAAGAACAACAAAAAGAGAGGTACACTCTCTCTCTCTCACTCTCTCGCTCTATCCGTATGCTCACTTCATTATTAATGCCTGTATTAAACCATTACAACTTATGAAACTTCAATTTTTCTTTACCTTTTTCATTTAAACTAATTATGAGAGCAATATAAATTCATCTAATTTGTAAAAACGTTGGTAGCAACTTGACATGTTATTAAAAGTACCTTTCAAAAAAAAAAAAAAAAAAAAAAAAAAAAAAAAACTATGTTTATATACTAAATTATTATGACACCATATATAATTTTATTATTTAACTATAGTTATATTTCATAATTGTTACATATTTTTCTTTGTTATTCCTCTCCAAACTAGAAGAGAAATATATTTTCTTATAACTCCCTATAAAAGAAAAGGAAGGAGAAAAAAGCATGTGTAAAAATATTACATGAAAATGGTGTAGTTTTTTTCTTTTAAAGTAAGAATAATTCATTTATTTGGTCATCATTCACATCCTAAGTATCTCATTTATTTGTTGTGAGTTATAAACAAAAAAATCATCGAGAGGTGGCAAAAATCAGCAAGGACAAAGCAGCAAAAAGTGAAAAATGAAATTGTAAAACAAATAGATAAATGAAGATTAAAAGGAAAAAAAATGCATGAAGCACAAATGACAAAACATTTATATGATACTTATTTACATGAAACTTATGCCATTCAACAACAATAAAACATCCCTCTTTCATCGTGTACTCCAAATGGCATCAGCACTTCAAATCACCGGTTTCACATAGTCCCCTTACCAAACAAACCACTATCGGGTTTAAATGCTTTGGTTTGTTATCTTTAATTTCTTAGAACAATAATTGAGATACCTGTGAGAACACTGTAATGGGTCTACTGCACCAGAATGGAATAACAATCCGAAGCATTTGAAGCTAATAACGGCACTGTTGCAGCTTTGTGCTGGTCTTGAAGTATATTCCAGTTTAATACCCATCACCGTGTTCCCACAGGTATCTCAAAAAAATTCTCTTGGAAAGTGACACTCCATCAGTTTCTGTAACTTTATATGAGGTGCACGATGATATTTTATTTGTTGCAAGAAGTGACAAATCTGTTGCTAGGCTACAGAAAAGGACGATAGATATTTTATTTATTTAAATCACGTGGAGAAAAAACCTGAAATAGACTTATGTGAATCCTAGTTGCTTTGGAGTTTGGGACCATCTTTCAGTTTAATGGCCAAGATTAAAGTAATTAAAGAAAACAAAAATATCCTATTTTTTTCCTGCCAACGACAACAAAAATACTTATTTATCATGCATCAAATATGAAAATAGTGTGCGTGGTAGGTGGTCCTTTATCGTTAAAAGTAGGCCTGGGCAAATTATCCGCTATATCCGATTCGATCCGTTATCCGCTTCGATTCGATCCGAAAAATCCGGATAACCGTAACGATACAAATCAAAGCAAATACTAAAATTCAATATCCGTTAAAAACGGAGCAAATAGCAAATATTGTTTCTGAAAAACCGAATATCCGATCCGATCCGTATATTATAAAAATTACATATATATACATATATACTAAGAAATTTGTTCATTTTGTCTTTAGAAACATACAAATCAACAAAAGTATTGTTTTCACAAATATAATCCATTCATTTATATAGTAAAAAGGTTTAATAACGTAGCAATAGCTTACTTAAAACTTTAAAATTATTTTTGCAGTATGTTTATTGTTAACGATGATGTGTTTAGTGGTACCTTTATGATTAATTAATTTACGTTTTTAGAACTTATTTTTAAAGGCATATTATAAATTATGAAACAATAATATATTTAGGGATGTTTCTATCTAATTTTCAATTATTTATAATTAATATATTTTTTTTTGTTTTTTTAAATATATTTTACGGATCGGATCGGATATCCGCGGATATTTTAATTTTTGATGGATATCCGGAATCCGGATATCCGGAAATTTTCGGATCGGAGCGGATCGCAAAATCAACTATCCGGATCACACGGAGCGGATCACGGATCACGGATATTTTCCGGATATCCGCTCCGTGCCCAGGCCTAGTTAACAGAGCTGACAAAAATTGTTTAATGTTCAGTAGTACAAGCTCTCATTTGTGTCTTTGATATTTTGTTTAAACCAATTTTAATTTGTAGACAAAAGATAAAAATAGAAACCAGTTTAATGGTTGTGGTGATATCTAGAGACACAAACAGAAAAGCAAAAAGATAGATATTACAAAAGACTAAAAAGCCAAGTCTTTGTGTTGTTTACCTTTACAGAAAGAAAATGGCAGGAGCTCCGGTTGCCTCTGTGACTGTCAACACACCGAAGAAAAGTTACACAATTGCGGTGATTCCCGGTGATGGCGTTGGCCAAGAAGTCATCCCAATCGCCGTTGAGGCTCTTCGTAAAGTTGGATCTCTTGAAGGTTCCCTCCTCTATCATGATTTTTTAGTTCTTGAATCGTTAAAGCACCATAGGATGATCTAAGATTGACAACTAGGGTTTAGGAACGTCTCTTTGCTTCTAATACTCAGTTTACACATTTCAGGGTTCGATTTGAGCTTCGAGGAGCTGCCTATAGGAGGTGTTGCTTTAGATCTCGTCGGAGTTCCACTACCGGAGGAAACATTGACAAAGGCAAAGCAGTCAGACGCTGTTCTTCTTGGAGCTGTTGGATGGTATATTTCGTTATCTTCACAATTTTGTTTTGTGTTTTTTTTATCTGAGTTAGTGTCTTCTTAAAATAAAAGGCCGAAATATGATGACAATCCGAAGCCTATGAAGCCGATAACGGCACTGTTTCAGCTTCGTGCGGCTCTTGGAGTATTTTCTAATTTAAGACCGGTCAAGGTGTTTCCACAGGTATCTTGTTTTCTTTAAGCTCTTGGAAACTGAGTACACTGCCGTTTTCCTAACTTGATATTATTTGAACTTTTGACATGTCTCAGTTGGTTGATTCAACATATCTTAGAAAAGACACGGCTCTTGGGGTTGACCTTTTGATCATCCGGGAGCTTACCGGAGGTCAGTCACTGTTCAGTGTTCACATTAGGCATGTGGTTCAGTTAGTTTGGATATTTTGGTTCGGGTAGTTTCCGAAATAAATAACGGTTTGGTTCGGGTTGGGTATCGCGTAGTTCTCACGCACTAATTATATTTATTTAAATTTTAAACTAACCAAAGCTTTCGTATTTTTGGTTCAAATTTGGTTAACGTCGGGTAAACTTGGTTAGTTTGGTTAGTTCGGTTCTTATAATTAGATTAGTTATAGTTTGGTACGGTTCGGAAATATCTTGGTTCAGAAAGAAAAAAATCGGTTAGCCAATCAGTAACGGAAGTAATTTTGAGATGCTGCTTATCGGGTTAACCAAAGTAACCAAAACATAACTGAAAACCAAGAATCTCGGTTGGGAAAATTCGGTTTGGGTTACATTTGCAAGCCTAATTCACATAGTTAAACATGTAGTATATAGATTTTGCTCTTTTCTTTATTGTAAAGTTTTGCTTTAATTATTAAAGATTCGATACATCTTTGTTGAAAACAGGTATCTACAATGCACATCCTCGAGGATTTACAACAAATGAACAAGGTGATGAAGTTGGCTTCTGCACCGAGCTCTACTCTGCCACTGAGGTATCATGCATCCACCTTTTCCAAGGCCTTTAATCCCGTTTAAAGAAAGCATTAGATGTCTAGTTGATGATAGTGTTTCTCAATATAGCATTCTTTGTTTCTGATTCTTCTTAGGTTGATCGCATTGCTCGTGTTGCATTTGATATTGCTAAGGAAAGGCGCGGTAAACTTTGCTCTGTTGATAAGGCTACTGTCCTGGAGGTAAAAGAATTCGTGATAATAATTGCATAAAACTTCAAGCAAGAATAATACAAATGATGTGAAAAAATACAGAAACATTTCTGTAAAAAGAGGTTTTTTTTTTGTTTGAGTATAATTTAACATTCAATACAATAAAAAAAAATGGATGAAATAAAATACATACAACATGAAGAATTCAAGTTAATTTCTTGACTTATAAATTGATGAGATATAGATCCATGAGATCAATGCTTTTTTCCTTGAACTTTCTTTGTGTGTAGGGATCAATGTTGTGGAGGAAAAGAGTCACACAAATGGCCTTAGAGTATCCTGAGGTTGAAGTGTCTCATTTGCTTGTTGACACCGCTGCGATGGACCTTGTTCGGCACCCAAGACAGGTTTATTTTTGTTATGCAAGTTGTTCCTCAGGTCTTGATATTGCAATGATTCCTATTCAAAATGCATTTATCTTTTTGAACTGTTTTCAGTTTGATACCATTTTGACTGGGGTCATGTTTGGTGATATTCTCTCTGATCTCGCCGCTATGATCCCGGGAAGCGTAGGATTACTCCCATCTGCTGCTCTTGGTGATTCAGTACGCTACAAAATAATATTTCAAATCTGTTTTTTTTTGTACCTTGATCAAGAATTCAAGATCTTGTTTTCTTGTAAAGAGATTCTTGGAAGATTTCTCTCATATTCTGACGAATTTTCAGGGGCCTGGAATCTTCGAACCCGTGCATGGATCTGCACCTAAACACTACGGAAAGGTACGTTGCTCTCACAATCTTCATAATATATATATCATAAGATATTGAACGTGAAACCACTTGTATATAAACATGCAGGACACAGTGAATCCCATAGCGGCTGTGCTATCAGCTGCAATGCTTTTAAGATACGGATTGAAAGAAGAAAACGCTGCAAAGAGGATAGAGAAAGCAGTTTCCGATGTCTTGGATCGCGGATTCAGAACTTATGACATTCACACTCCTGGAACTGTAAGCTTACCTTTTCTTTCTTTCTTCTTCTCTTTTGGCAAAATGTATATGTTGTTTCTTGTTTATACGTAAAAGTTTGTGATATGCAAAATTGGTTTTTTGGAACAGACATTGGTAGGATGCAAGAAAATGGGAGAAGAGATACTGAGATCTCTTGCTGATGCATAAATAATAAACTAAGAATTCATGAGAGTGATATAACAAAATTTTCATGGAATATATATATATGTTTCCAAAGCTTGCCGTTAATTAAGAGAAAAAAGAGCAAGCTGCAATGCAATTGAAGACTGTAATTCTTTGAAATAAGTTTTTTTTATAAAGTTTTACATGCCCATTAATCATTAATTGGGTTTTTTAATTTGTTATGATTTGTTCGGATATGAAAACAGCTGTTGAGTTGAGTTCAATTTTATTTTTCGTTTTTTTTTGTTTACATTTGGTTTTTGGCTATGATAGTTTTTGTTTACTATGCATAGATTTCCGAGTGTGACCGCAAGAGATATAGATAACGATGACTTAGGCATGTCATAACCTAGATCCTTCAATAGTGACTGGAGAAACTCAAAGAAGTTTATCGGATTACCTTCAAAAAGAAAAAGAAAAAATCAGCCTTTAGATGAAATGATCAAAGGAAAGTATAGGAAACAAATTTGAGAGTAAAACTTTACCATCAGAAACAAAGTAGGTCTTTCCTTCAACGTTTGAGTGTTGGGAATGTAAACCGATGGTTGCAAACATGAGCGCGAGTACAATGTTATCCACATTAATGAAGTCGGTTTTCGAGTTGGAATCTCCGATTTTGAAGTAATAAACGTAATCTTGCATCAGAGATGATCCTATCAATATATTTTTCTTCACCCGGTCCATAAACAATCGGGCAACGAATCACACACGTAGACAAAAGACTTCCACGTCCATACCTAAAATTACCATAATAACGTATATTTATAAAACCTTAGAATAATAATATTAGCATTAAAAATAAAAGTTACATAATTTATGCGCTTATTGTAGTATTTGTTATTTACGCAAGTTTAATGATTTTGATTTTTCATATAAATCAAGTTTTCTTTTTGTTTAACAGATTTTTTCTATTTTCATTTCACATAATTTGTTCCATTTTCCAAGATTCCGCTAATTTTACAAGACATAGGGTCCGACTGGTTTAACCGCTGCGGTTGCGGTGCAGGAGTTTGCGGAAGCGGGCGGTTGTGATTAGTAGCGTTATTAAGCGGTTTGTACGACTGGCATAACAATTGAAAATGGATGCGTTTGCGGGATACTTATGACTGGTTCACTTGCGGATGCAATAGCGGTTAAACAATAAATTAATAATATAAACACATTATATAATTATAAAAATATCAAAACTATATTATAATGAAAATTTTAAATTTATGGTTCAACATAATTAAAAAAATTTTTTATAAAGAATAATATGTGTATAATACTTACGTCTATCTTTTAATTTCTATAATTTAAATAAAAAATGTGATTTTATTTTCAAAATATATATTTAATGTGAAAATTAAATTTATATTACAATTTTATTTATTAGATATATATGTATTAGTATGAAAAGAATATTTATCAAGAGAATTTTGATTTGTAGAACTTATAAATATATAAGTATGATATGATTTTAATGAATATTGACTAAAAGTACTAATTTTATTTATTTATATTTTTTTTTTGTTAAAGGGCCTTCATTAATATAAAAGATTGTACATGCGAGGTACAATAAAGAAACAGCAGAAGAGAGCAAGGGAAAAGACGAGAAGGGGAGAAAAGTCTATCAGCGTCCTCGTTGGAGAGAACCCGAGGACCACAGTCTCAGCAGAGGTTCACCTCTACTTGATCCAAAGTTTCTAAGAGCCAAAGACTTGTTTATAAGCAAGCACAAAATTTTGTGGAAAATCTTGTGAGAGGAGAGAGTGATTCCATCATGAAACCTGCGATTCCTCTCTTTCCAAATCTCATAAATGCAAGCCTGCCAATCTTGCCTCTTTGCTAAGGATAAGATAATCGAGGAAGAGGCCAAAGACAGCCAAGATACGATGTCCAACCAAGTTGAAGGGACTGATGTGAGTCTTATCCGATGCATCAGCTGAAGCCAAATGTGATTGGAGAAAGGGCAAAGGAAGAAGAGATGGTCCCTAGATTCTTGAGCCATCCCACACAACAGGCAAGTAGGTTCAACATCGAGTCCCCACCTTTGCAAGCGATTTAGAGTTGGGTTCCTGTCTAACATAAAAAGCCAAGATGTTGTAGCGTGCTTTGGAACTGCAATTTTATTCCAAACAAGAGGATGCCATAAGACTTCCGGTTTGGACAAACGAATTTTCCCCCAAATCACTTTTGCCACAAATGAATCCATGATTTGGTCATCAACCTTCCAGATGGGCGTATCACTTTCCAGAGAAGGCGTGATGGAGGAAATATAAGAGAAAACCTCCACTTGAAGGTCAGACCTCGCCGGTGGTAAGATCCAACCGTCCCCTGAGATATAATCTTTGACAAGTGAATGTAGAGGAATTCCGAGATTTGCAGGGCCTTGAGAACCCAAGAAATTGATGAGGGAGCCAAAAGGAGTCCAAGGATCCCACCAAAAGAAAGAATTTTCTCCATTCCCAATTTTTATAGATAAGAACGATAAAACTTTTGGGCGGAGCTTTAGAACCTTTCTAAACATCCATGAGATAGTGGAACTTTCTTCATTTAAGGACCAAAAGTAGTTGCGAGAGAGATAACGACTTCGTATCCACGCAACCCAAATAGATCCCGCCCTGAAGAATAATATCCAAATAAGTTTCAGTCCACACGTTTCCATCCAAGAGGCAATAGATCTTATCCCCAAACCACCTTCTGATTTTGGGTAGCTCACATCATTCCAAGCCACACGCGCTCATGTCGGGTTGTCTAACTTTCCATGCCAAAGAAAGGAACTGCATAAAGCGTTTATTTTCTTTATCACCGCTTTTGGCAGGAAAAAAGCTTGAGTCCAAAACCCAATCAAGCCTGAGATAATTGATGACAGTAATCTAAGTCTACCAGCTAGGCTTAAAGGACGATGCATCCAACTGTTCATTTTCATTCTGATCTTGGAAATGAGAGGGTCACAGTCAGACACTGACAGTTTTTTGGAGCAAAGAGGGAGACCCAAATAGCGAATTGGTAGGGAGCCAGGGGTAAGGGAAAAACGATTGCTTAAATCAAGCAAGGTTGTATCTGAAACCCCGGAGCAGAACAAAGATGTTTTAGAGATATTGACTGCCAAACCTGACATCTTCTCAAACTGCGATAAAACCGTGAAGACTCCGGCTACCAATTGACTAGAGCCATCCACAAAGATCAACAAGTCATCTGCGAATGACAGATGTGTTAGTTGTACGTCCTTGCAGCCTGGGTGATAGTTAAAGATACCATCAATCGCTGCTCTGTTTAACATCAGGGAAAGGACATTCATAGCCATCACAAATAGGATCGGGGAGAGGGGATCTCCTTGACGCAGACCTGTCCTTCCTTTAAAATAGCCTGAAGTTAGACCATTTATACTCACCGAGAACACCGGGGAAGAGATACAGGTTTTTACCCAGCCAATTAGCTCCCTCGGCAGTCTATAGGCCGTGAGACATGCGAGAATGAAATCCCACCGCATAGAATCAAAAGCTTTAGCTATATCGATTTTTAGCGTAATTCTCGGAGATAAATCCTTACGGTGATAGCCATTTATAACCTCTGCCGCTAATAGCACGTTCTCCAGCAGGAGTCTATCCCTTATAAACGCTGTCTGGTTAGGCAAGATGATCTCTGGTAATATACTTTTCAGCCTGTCCGAGATCAAACGTGTAATGAGCTTGTAGAGAGTGTTCAGACAAGAAATGGGTCTAAAGTCTTGAAGCTCATCTGCACCTCTACGTTTTGGTATCAACACCAAGTTCGTTGAATTCAGAGATTTTGGCATGAAAGCTGAAGCAAAAAACTCTTTAACCGTACAAATAACCTCTGGACCAATGATTGCCCAACTAGCTTTGAAGAACTCAACCGGGAAGCCATCAGGTCCTGGGGTTTTGTTCAAAGGCATTTTGAACAGCGAGGTTGTAATGCAATCCGAAGAAACAACCCTCTTCAAAACCATTTGCTGAGCGAGAGAGCAATGATGGGTAATTATTCTGTCAAGAATAATTGGTAAAAAGGGATTGTAGTCACCTTTTAAGTTGTTGTAGATCCCCTCATAATATGACTGAACCTGAAGGTGGACTTCCTTTGGCGTTGTCGTTCTGGTTCCATCAGCCTTCTTCAAGTATTTAATTGCATTCGATGCATTCCTTGCTTTGGTAACTAGGTGGAAGAATCGAGTATCAAAGTCACCCTCGCCTAACCATTTAATTCTCGATCGCTGCCTAAAAAAGCTTTCCTCTGCCCGGCGAAGAGTCATCCAATTATCTCTTGTGGTTCGCTCTAACTGAAGATTTGCCGGAGTAGGCACATTCAGTACCTGTAACTGAATGCTCTTTAGTTCATCATTTGCTTCAATAACTCTCAGTTCTAGGTTACTGAACTTATCCTTGCACAAAGATTTCAGCGGTCGCTTTAAAGATTTCAGCTTGAAACCCAGAGATTTTAGATTCAAAGCAGGCGGATTTGAAGCCTCCCACGCCACTTTAACACACTCCATAAAGGAAGGTAGAGTCGCCACAAAGTTGAAGAAACGAAATGGCCGAGTTCCAAACTGTGGTGGCGGAGTAAACAATTTAACATGACCAGGAGCATGATCGGAGAATTCCGGAGCTTCAAAGGTGCAGTGCGAGGATGGGAAAAGGAGCAGCCATTTGTCGTTGATCAGACATCTGTCAAGTTTCTTGGAGATCGGGTCCAAAGGGCGATGGTTTGACCAAGTATACTCAGGTCCGTGGCAAGCCATATCAAAGAGCCCCATATCGGCTAAGCAAGCACCAAATTGTCTCATCGCACTAGTTGAGTTTAGAAACCCAGTATTTGACGATTCCTGAGGAGATAGTATCTCATTGAAGTCTCCACTGACCATCCATGGTCTATTTGCCAGATTGAAGGAGATATAAGAGTCTTGCAATGATTGCCATAACTCCTTTCTCTCATCCAAGTCGTTTGTGCATAAACTGCTGTGTAGATAAAAGAAGAGCCATCTTCTAAAGTAACCTCGCATGTAATGGATTGCTTATCCATAAAAAGGGGAGAAATAATGTTTGGATGCTTGTACAAAATCCAAATTTTCCCCAAATCCGAAAACTGATAGTTAGATATAACTGTCCAACCGGGACAGATCGCCGACAAAATGGGATCTATATTTACCTCCCTAACGTGCGTCTCCAGAAGAGCTCCAAACGCAATCTGTTTAGTATTTATCCAGTCTGCGAGAGGACGATGCTTAGTTGGATCGTTTATGCCACGCACATTCCAAAAAAACGTATCACACATACTGATACTTTTAGTTTTTGTGGCGACCTCCCGTAGTGAGAGGCAAATCACCACCCGAGATCGGCGAATTTTTTGAGTACAGTTTCCTCTTTTTCTTTGAGCCTCTAGGAGAACCCACATAAAAAGGTGTTTGATTGAACTGGAGCGAGGATCCTTGATGAACAACCAGGTCCTGGATCTCAACATCCGATTGATCCTCCTCTTCATTAGCTATTGAGTCAAAGGCGTTTCTTGAGACAATAGCTAGAGTGTCTACCGGCTCTTGCATTTTCCTCGCCGGAGAAGTCCGAGTGGGTAAAGTGAAACCTGCATCCACCTCTATACTGTTTTCTGCAGAAGGTAAACTGAACCTATTTCCCATTTCCGGCTTCTTCCACACATCAGCTCTTGAATCTGTGATTGCAAGTGCTTTCCCTTCATCAGCTTGCAAAATAGAATCCTTTAAGACGCCATTGTCTCCATTTACCACAAACTTCGACTCTTTCAAAACAGGGACGTAGATTTGTTGAGGTTTCGGGTTGTCAACTTTTGGCTTCGCTGATCGGCCCTTCGAAGCCTGAACTTGCACTGGTTTTTCCAACCGAGAGTTCTCACTCGTTACCTTCGTCTCTTTCGATGTGGCTCTACTCTTTTCACCAGAGTTTGCCTTGTCAGCTACTGACAGCCCTGAGCTCGATGCTTCTTTCCTTGATTTTGGAGGTTTGGGTACTTTCGGACAAAGTGTCTCCTTGTGCCCCAACTCATTACAGACCGAACAAAGAGGTGGCAGCCAAGGATATGTCACGGTTAAAGTGATAATTTCACCATCATCCCTTTCAAGCTCCATAGAAGGCGTTAATGGTTTGGTGAGGTCCATTACAACCTTGATAGACGCTGAATTTACACTGGTGAAGGGTTTTGAATCCACTACCTCTCCCAAAGGACGAGCGATAATGCCGAGCCCTACATCCGTTATCAGATCAAAAGGGATGTTACTGATTGTAGCCCAGATCGGGGCATTTCGTAGTGAGGGAGGGTTTAGACTAAAGGAGGCTTTCCATTGTGTGACAAAAAATGGTGAGTCGCCTACTCTCCAAAGTTCGTGCTGCAACACTTTTTTTCTCAACGAGGCAGAAGGGATTCGAAAGAGAAAAGCATTTGCAGTAAGGTTGTGAATGGTAACTCTCTTGTCTTTTCCCCAAAGAAAGTTGAGCACTCCCCATATCTTGCCATAGGATGGAGGAGAACCGTAGAATATGCCGACAATGTAGTCGGAATGAATTTCAGCTCCTCTTTCAAAAACCACATTTGGGACTTTCACCCTTGGGATACCTTCTGAGGAGAACGAAACCGGGACCGTGGAAGTTTGAATCTTGCAGGTGGATTTCAAACCCGTAGCCCAATTGAAACCATCATCTGTCACCTTTGGTCGAGATGAAGACGAATTTGATTTGTCTGTAGACTTCAATTTCTCTTCCTGGTTTGTCTTCGCCACTGGATCTCGGAGCGGAGTAACCGTGGTAGCTGTAGGAGAGAGAGGAGGAGAAGCACCTAAGATTCCCTTCTTAGTGAAAGAAGATCCTCGAGATACAAAGATGATAGGAGGAGTGGGAGAAGAAGACGATTCCCCCATCACCGTATCTGGACGAGATGGAGCAACAGGGGGAGAGGAAGAAGACGCAGAAGGGTTGAGGATGAATAAATCCGGTGGAATTGGCGGTGGATGGGGTGGAGGATCCCCCATCGGAAGCCGGCGGAAGCAGAGATCTGGTAAAAACTAGGGATTGCTACAGTAACTCTTTCGCTCTCGAGGGGAGAACTTCGTTCCTTTTTAGATTTTATATTGTGATTATTTATTTATTTATATTGTGATTTTATAATCCAAATCTTGTTTTTTAATAAAGGCTATTATTTATTTTTGGATTTTATATAAGTTTGTGTTTTTTAACTTTTTTTTTTTTAAATTATCCACCCGCAACCGCAAACGCTGCTTGTAAGGAGCTTTTGATTTTGAGGGATGTTGAGGGATCTTAAGCGGTTCGAAGCGGTATAAAGCGTTTGTGGTGATTGTTGTCAAACGCCAATAACTGTTACTACCCGCAAACGCTGCGTTTGCAAGGAGTAGTGGGTGAACCATTCAACACCATAATGGAAACAAAATATAATAGACAATAATGTTTATTGATTTGCACTTACTCAACAGTTTGTTCGGCAGTTTAGGGAGAAACGGCTTATCAGTGCCCCAACTCTACCCAAATGTGAAATCCATACCCAAACTTAGGAGATGGCCTAAAAATGTGAAATACATACCCAAACATACCCAAGACACGACGGCGTATTAAAAATGTTTTCATGTAAAGGGTTAAGTGAAACGGCGTCGTATTAATCATTAAAAAAGAATAGTGTGGGTCAGAGTTGGTCACGTGGCGTCTTCAGATTGGCTTCCTTCAATCGTCATCTCGACTCAAATACAAACAAACTCTCTCAGTCTAACGGCACGACGGCCAAGTTTTTCTCAGACGGAATATTCGCCGTCAACACCAATCGGAACCTGCCGGGGATATATACGGTACGCTCTCCGTTTACGCTTTGTTCATGATTTATCTTCTTCGAGTGAGTGAGTTCGTTTTCGCCTCGAGAAATTTCCTGGGTTTTCTGATTGAGAATTGTAGAATGGAGGAGATTAGGGTTTTTGCCTTTTTGAGTGCTGTCTGTCTCCTTTACTCGATTTTGCTCACTTTGATTTTGGATTTTCAAGTCAGAGACTGACGAACCATTCTCGCCGCTTATTCTAGGGTTTTAAACCCCAAATTTCTGGATGCCAAAAAGGGAAATTTGAGCAATTAGATTCGTAGACCTGATTGAGCTTAGATTGTCAATGAATCCGACTGATTTGTATACTATGGTTCGCATTTTGCCAGATTTGTCTTACTGTGTGTGTGTTTGTTTGGCCCCGTTACCACCATTCCAGAAACTAACTCATATTTCTAATGATTTGAGTTTCAAAAGGAGTAATCTTGTTCTCTTTCACTTTGAATTCTATCTTCTCTGGAGAAGGATTGGTAGAGAAATTGTTGTTGAAAGGACTAAACTTGCCTCTGAGGATTAGACCTTTATTACTCTCAAGTCTTAACTTTGCTTTGATTGATGCTTGATTTGATTGTTAGTTCGTTATCTTCTTCTTTTCTTCTTCCAGGTTTTGGATTCGGAAAACAAAAGAAGAGCACAAAATGAAGACCATGGACACTGAGAATGAGAATCAGACTCTTCACTCGAAAGTGATCTCACATGCATTTTCAACTGGTACTATCAAGCAAGGCTCTATGGCCACTTCCCTGGGTGTTATCGACATCGGTGTGAGCGAAAACGCCTACATCTTCAGAGTCGAACTCCCTGGCACTGGGAAATATCAAAGTAAGTAAAAAAGCTTTCACTTTCTCATCTCTTTTCTCAATACAAACTTGTGTTATAACGACCAGAGACATGAAACCAAAGTTACATTCTTCTTCCTGTGATGTTATAAGCAGATAAGATCAAATGTGAGATTCAGAGGGACGGAAGAGTCTGCATCCAAGGAGTGGTTCCTGAGACGACGATCCCAAGTGAATCAGGAGGCTTATTCAGAATGCAAGTGCATCAGAGCTGCCCTCCAGGTCCGTTCTCAATCGGGTTTAGTCTTCCGGGACCAGTGGATCCTCGCTTGTTTTCTCCACGGTTTCAACCTTGTGGGCTCCTTGAAGTTGTTGTCGTCAAGCTTGGTGTACGCATCCCTCCTTCATAGTTTATCAAACTAGGATGTGTTTGTAAAATATCATGTTTCAGTAATCTAATTTCGTAAGACGGTTAAGAAAAAGTTATGTAGTTTGGATGTGAAATGGACCAAACGCAAACGAGGCACTCTGTTTTTAATTAAGTTTGAATTTTGTAACCTTTTCCATCTTTAAAAGGGAAACCTTTTTGTGCCCCATCGTCAGAACATAAAGAGAAACCTAGATGCTAAGTAGCAGCATGAAGAGGCATGTCTTTCTTGTGCAGCAGATCAGGGTTGGTGGCAATAAGGTGATTCAGCATCTGAAACATCTCATTGGTGGTATCATTTTTAAACGGAGCGACATCAACAGTGTATCCCTTACTTCGAGCATCCACTAACCTTGTTTATACATATGGCAAACTCTCTCAAGTGTTAATATATATCAGTTTAATCGCTAAAACAAAAGATTAGGTTTGTCAGACTTACTTTCTGTGTACAGAGAAAAGGTGAAAGTCTATATGGGAGATGGATGGCGTCTAGACTTCAGTCACACTCATTTCAAAAGAGAATATGCACCATTTCAAAAGAAACAAAAAGCTTTTGAGGTATTGTATAATGTAGCTTGAAGATCAAATGGATCTTTTGCTCTGATATCTCTATTAGTGTTGTAATATACCTATCATATCGAAGAAAATTAAACTATGGAGTCTACATTTCTTTTTCAACACGTATGATCCATACTTGGAATTTGCAAAACTGTACCAACTTATTGATACATAACTGAGATGTATAGAGTTTTACAAACGGAAGCGTGCATCTATACCACTCTGTTTCTTGTAACTTATGTTTCACGCTACGAGTGTTACCAAGTTTTAACAATTGCAAAAAAACCAATTAGCTTTGGCTCATGAATCCTTCATGTTTTAAGAGGATGGCTTGTGCCCACATTCTCTGATCATATATATACCCATTGTTAATTTGATTGTTCCCTATTGGGTCAAGGGTTATGATCCGACATGAAGATTCATGAGCTTTCTACCTCAAAGCCAATTGGTTAACTAATACAATGACTCAAGCTGCTTATAAACCCCAATATTTCCTTCAAAGTTTCCGATGTGGGATTCGTTATGGTAACTATTTCAATTATTTGACCGACATTATCAAACGGGTTTCATTAAACCCTAAACTAGCTTGCTATGGGCTTATGGTGCACAAAATTAATTAGCTTTTCCTTTTTGTTTTGGAAATAGGTAATTTTCTTATTAGTTTTAAGCTTTCTAGCTATATTAATGGATACGTAAGCTCCACCAAAACACAGTTTGATATTCTGAAATCAAAATTTCAATCGCAGAATCCAACACTTGAGCCGTTACCGTAAAGCAAAAGTGCGCGCAACAATCACCACCACTGTAAAAATGTTTTCTCGTGGTAAGTATGAGAGAGATAGACATGTAAGGCAGAAGAAGCTGAGAGATCAATCCAAGTCTGAACCAGAGGAAGAAATCAAGGAGTATCTTCAGGCCAAAAAGGCTCAAAAGGCATCAAGTGAGAGATTTGTGTGGTGGAAGAAGATTGGAAAAGATGTTGAACATGGAAAACCGCTGGATCAATTATTCTCCATTAAAGCTCAGAAGAGAAGGCATAGAGAGAAGATGGCAGAGCTGGAAAAGTTAAAGAAGGCGAAAGAAAAGAGAGCAGCGGAGAGAGCTCGACATGAGGAAGATATGGCGTTATTGGCTAGAGAACGTTCACGAGCTGAGTTACAAGATTGGGAGAAGAAAGAGGAAGAGTTCTGTTTCGATCAAAGCAAGGTTAGGTCAAAGATCAGGTTACGTCAAGGCAGAGCCAAGCCAATCGACGTCCTCTACAAGCACTTGCATGATGATTCAGAATCAGATGATATGGAAATCGAGCTCAGTAGTGAACCCTACATGGTTTTCAAGGGACTCACTGTTCAAGACTTGGAAGAGCTTCGTGATGATATCAAAACGTATCTTGATTCGGATCGTGAAACGTCAACACGTGTAAAGTATTGGGAGTCTCTTCTTGTGGTATGCGATTGGGAGTTAACTGAGGCACGTAAAAGGGATGCTATTGAACTTCTTGCTCAAGAGAAGGGACTACATTCTGGTGTTGAAGCTGATGTTAGAAGACTTCTTGATGGGAAGACACACTCGGAGCTTGTACAAATGCAGCTGCACATCGAATCACAGCTATTTTCTGGAGTAGCAAAAGTAGTTGAGTATTGGGAAGCTGTTCTTAAACTCCTAGATATATACAAGGCAAAGGCTTGCTTGAAGGAAATACACGCTGAGACGATGATTAGACATGTACATCGCCTCGAAAATGTTTCTTCAGACCCTGAAGAAGAATCATTCTCTCAAGAAGAGGCTGATGATATGGAAGCAGAAGAGGCGGCTTGTTCGTTTTCTCCAGAGCTCATGCACGGGGATTATGATCGTGAAGAAGCAATTGATTCCCGGGGAAGACAAGAAGCTACTTGAAACGAAACGGATGGTTGTGTTGGAGAGACAGAAGAAGCGGCTTAAAGTAAAGATAACTTGGAGGTCAAGGCAATGAAAGCAATGGGAGAAATGGAGGAAGGTGATGCTGTGTTTGGCTCTAACGCTGAAGTAGTGAACTTTGATTCCGAGTGGCGTGACAAGTACCGGCCAAGAAAACCAAAGTATGTAAACAGAGTTCACACGAGTTACGAGTGGAATAAGTATAACCAAACGCACTATGATCACGAGAACCCGCCTCCAAAAGTGGTTCAAGGGTACAAGTTTAACATCTTCTACCCTGATTTGCTCGACAAGGCTACGGCTCCCACTTGCTTCATAGAGAAAGATGGGACAAGAGGCGATGAAACATGTATCATCCGGTTCCACGCTGGTCCGTCTTATGAAGACATTGCCTTCCGCATTGTGAATAAAGAGTGGGATCGTTCTCGTAAGAACGGTTTCAAACACACGTTCGATGGTGGGATTCTGCATTTGTACTTCAACTTTAAACGTCATCGGTACAGGCGATAAACGAAGGGTTTAGTACATTTCACACACAAAGGATCGACAAAACTTTTTAGGGTCTTCTTTCTATAGATATCCACTTCAATTGGTGTTAAGTGTTGAGTATTGATCAATCTATTTATTTTTATTTTTTTCCGAATTATATTGGGCTTTCAAAGGAAGCGTGTAGAAGAAGCTAACTTTGGTTTTTATCACTATGTTTCTTGTGACTTGTGCTTTACGCTTCGAGTGTCCAACTGAGCAATCTAGTTTTAGAAATTTCATGGTACATGAACAACAACACACTCCATATTATCGCAAGTAATTAACTTTGTTCGAGAGTTTTAAAGCATCTTGATAGTTCCGTAATTCTGTACACTTGACAAAATTTCAAATTCTCTTTCATTCATTCATAAGAGGAACAAAAATGAATGATAAAATATAGAAACTAATGAGTGATAACAAAATATTTTCACATTACTGAACAAAAATTCCCATCCTCTGATTGCATTAACACAAAACAAACCATCTCTGGCAGATATAACCAAAGCCAAGTTTTGAAAATGGGTTTTTAGTTACTACTTACACATTATGGGTCAAGGGGTTTAGGGAGGGAGGAGAGACAGGGAGGTGATCCGATCTGCTGCTGAGTCAGAATCGTACACTGGACATACAAAAAAGAACAAATGATATCTTATTCTAAATCTGAATTTTGAGAAACAAAACACAAATTCGAAGACATACGTATGTCTGATTTAAAAGAAAATGAGAAATGACAAATTAAAAGACCCAAGTTGATTTCGCAGTCTTGAAGATATGCATCATATATACGTGGTTAATATAGTAGTGTTCCATGGATACAAGCAGACCCGATAGTATCAGTTATTTGTGATGTTAGAAGCTAAATAGATTATACGTAGCTGCATGCTTACAGCCAAGGCTAGTAGAATCACATAGCCAAGGCGGCAAGGCCCAAGGCTCACGAAATTTTAATATGGATTTCCCTCGTCATGGGTTTTTTCTTTTTAATCACAGACACTCTTAATTATTCTTTTAATTAGTTTAAACTTTAAACTATACCCATTACTTTAGTTTGTTTGTTAAATGTATTTCTCTCAAAATCAAAGAGCGAATCTTCTGCACATTTCTCCAAGATTGTTGTTGGAGGTATACTTGGACTTTTTCTTTGCTTGATCCCCAAGAAACACCATAAGTGACTAAGAATCTACCAAGACACCTTAGTTCTTGGAAAATTTTCTATAGTGTAATCCCTACTAGTCTACAATGCATGCATGCATCTCACCTTCGGTGTATAAGCATTAGGTTTCTACATCTTGGTGATAATGAAAGTTGGGCCTGTAGAAGATAGCTTTGCATGCAAAATCTTGGAAGAAATGAGCTGTGACAGAATCTCACAGATATTCGTATATTTACAGATATTTAACATCAATCCAGTTCGGATACGTGAAGAACGAAGCTCGAGTTTTGCCTATGATTTATAGCTCATCCAACTATCCAAGTCCAACGACACTAGTACAACTGTACAAGAATAGTTTAAACTCTCTCACTAATCTCATCAAATCTTGTTAATTAAATACTATCAAATTTTCTGTTTATATGATATACTTTACAATTCTTTTGTTTGATCCTCACCACTCCACCGGCTTGAGATGTGTCCAACTCCTATAGAATCCCTTTGTCTGGTTAGAAAAAATGTAAACGGATTTTGGTTAAACAAAGAATTTACTCTAAAACAATTTTCAAAGGTTTTTCTTTAATGTACCCAACTAACTTCATAGATTAAAGTTATGACGACTCTTTCGGTTCAGGACAAGAGTTTAGGATTATGTTTGAATGATTTTGAGATTTAATTCAAGAAAATAAATGACGTAATATTATAACAATGTTGTTTAGCCATATATTGTCAAAATTGGTATATATACTCGCCTTGGATTTTCAAATCATTCGAACGTGTAATTTGTGTATCATGGAGAATATAATCTATACTATTAAAGTAGAGGCACAACAAAAGAAAGTGCAATAACAAAACCGAAATATATGTTTGAATAAGATACACGTAGAGATCACATTTCAAATCTCCTCCAGCTCGGATTGACGGAAAATCTGCGATACATTCCCATAAATATATGTGATATTAGAATATATTTAACTGCAATATCTACTAATAAATCCATTCCAAGAACTATCTATGGACACTTTCCACACAAATCTCGCTAATTAACAGTTCAGAATCATAATTTGTGTGAACAATAATTCTTCTATTCAAAAGTTTCCTAAATTTCGGTAAAATTTGCTTAACCTCCAAATTTAAACTATAATCAAATCAAATCTTTAACCTAATCGTTTTAGTATAAATAGTCCTCCACCTCTAGCCTACCAAAGACAAAATAAGCAGAGCTTGAAACAAGTTCAGTGTTTTGGTTTAACATACCTTAATCCCTTTTCAACAGGTTGGTGAATTCCAAGTCAAGCTTCTTCATGTTTGGAAGCAATACACAACAGCTGCTGGACATACGATGAAGATTATTCTGGCGGACCAAGATGTAAGGTTAATTATCAGAAAATAAATGAATACATGCTAAATCTCTTTATAAACTGTATCAAGTTAAATATTTTATTGTGGTTTCCAAACTATTTACTCACAACGTGTTTTTTGTTTCATCTTTTTCAGAGAGAAAGAAAGAGCTGAAGAAATATGAGGCTTAACTGGATGAATCAAGTTGAAATGCGGATCCAAACTACTTACTAACAGGTATATGTCCGGATATCACATTTTTTATATCACATCCTCGATCTGTTCTAAATTTGTTTTTATCTCTTTCATATGTAAAAGATGCATGCCAATGTGAAGAGAGAACAAAAAACCATTTGATATTCAATTGTCTCAAAGAGATTGGAGATTTATTATGCAGTAATGCAGGTTGTTTTAAGTCATGCAATGGGTCGATACATCACGTTTAACTGGTTTGTACCTTTTTTTCTGAAGCTGTTAATTGTCTTATAAAAGAAAGATAGAGGAGATTGGTTTACTGGGTTGTACCTTATTGTAGAGAACAAACATTCTAACTGATTCTTTTATGCTTCAAACTTTCAGGATGGGATGGTTGCTTTCTGAACCAACAAGATATAAGCAAAAGTTATATAAGTAGAAGTCTAGAACCAGCAAATAGAAGATCAATATTTCCAAAAGACATTGGAAGCGAAGCCAAAACAAGCTCCTAATTTTCAAATCACCCTAAAGAGTAGCTTATTGTGTAATGTAAATCTCTGGTATGTCAAACATTTGTAACAACGGTACTAACTCCAAATTCATCTGCAAAATGAAATTTGTTCAATATAATATCGAGTTGGATGCTATCACAGTTCTATAACACATACTATAGTGGCTAAGTCGAATAGCAATAAGCCTTCTACGAATGTAATACTTTCTTTAACAGGAATGAAAAAGTATCAAAGCATGCACGGAATGTATCGGAAAAAAAAACTGAAGCCAGACTTCAGCTGCATAAGCCATCTATGATGAGTAGAAACGAAAAGTAATATAGCTGAAGTATTCACTTAACAAATTCTCCCGGAATTCAAACCCGTAAGAAGCAAACGCACAAAAATAATCAGACCAAAGCCTAACCAAACAATTTTTCAGCAATTTCTCAAAAGTCGCAAAGGCAGAAGAAATAACACAATACACACGATTTAAAAAATTCTTAACTTCATATATATATCGAGGTCAGCTGATGAGAGTTCTTGTGAGAAGAATCACTCCGAACAAAGAGAAAAGAGATGAGAACGGTTTAGATGAACAGAGTGGGAAGAATGGGTGTGAAATGATGGACGAACTCGAGTTAATTTTGAGATGGTATCGATTTCCCCTTGCTTGATTTCGAAATAGGGTTTGCTCTTGGCAAGAAAAATCCCCAAATTGGAATGTCGTGAAAGATGAATCACAAGATAAGCGATATTGGGCTGGCCCAAGACGAATTTCACCAATGAATACTTAAGTAATCGTGTATACTTACCCAAGTAATTGTTTTACAAAATGTATACTTACCCAATTAAGTAATTGTTTCATCAATTTATACTTACTAATTTTGTATATTTTAGTCCTAAACAAGTTAACAACTAATTCTAACCCAATTAATATGTTTATAATCACATGCAAAAACAAAAATCCGGTATAAAAATGTATACATAAACTAAATTTTGTTTTAGATAATCTACAGACAAACTAACACACTTTATCAACATACTCCATCTGTCTCATATTATAAGCAGTTTGCCAAAATGTATCTGCAAAAAAGTGGACGTATCTGGATGCAGTAATGTCCAGATACATCCACTTTTTTACAGATACATTTTGGCTCTTATAATATGGGTTAGAGGGAGTATTATTTTATGTTTATATAGGTGGAGGAGAGCATGGGCTCGAAGAAAAAAGAAGAAGCTAAGAAGAAGAGACAAAAAGTATCACTGAAGAGAAGGAAGAATTGGAGAAGAAGAAACGAAGAAGAGAAAGAAGACAGTAGCAGCGACATGTCTAATAGATTTAGAGTTTTTTAGATTAATCGGTTCACATAAACCAAACCATAAATACATTGTTCACATGGTGATTAGTACATACCGAGTTATTGCATATATTTAGGATTTTTTTAGATTAACTGGTTCACATAAACCAAACCATAAATACATTGTTCACATGGTAAGCCAAACCATACTAGCGTTCCTCTTTCTCACACCTTCTTCTTTTCGTAGTTAAGAAACTATAAATACATTGTTCACATGGTGATTAGTACACACCGGGTTATTGCATAGATGTTTTCCTTCTTAAAAAAAAAACTTACTCTAGAAAATAAGTAAAATAAAATTACCGGTTTAGACCGCAAAGCGTTCCTCTTTCTCACACTTTCTTCTTTTCAGGGTTAAGAAATTATAAATACATTATTCACATGGTGATTAGTACACAAAGGGTTATTGCATAGATGTTTTCCTTCTTAACGAAAAAAAAATTACTCTAGAAAATAAGTAAAATAAAACTACCGGTTTAGACCGCAAAGCGTTCCTCTTTCTCACACCTTCTTCTTTTCAGAGTTAAGAAACTATAAATACATTTTTCACATGGTGATTAGTACACACCGGGTTATTGCATAGATGTTTTCCTTCTTAACGAAAAAAAAATCTCTAAAATAAGTAAAATAAAATTACCGGTTTTGACCGCAAAGCGTTCCTCTTTCTCACACCTTCTTCTTTTCAGAGTTAATAGACCATAAATACATTTTTCACATGGTGATTAGTACACACCGGGTTATTGAATAGATGTTTTCCTTCTTAACAAAAATAAAATTACTCTAGAAAATAAGTAAAATAAAATTACCGGTTTAGACCGCAAAGCGTTCCTCTTTCTCACACCTTCTTCTTTTCAGAGTTAAGAAACTATAAATACATTTTTCCTGTGGGGATTAGTACACAACGGGTTATTGCATGGATGTTTTCCTTCTTAACGAAAAAAAAATACTCTAGAAAATAAGTAAAATAAAATTACCGGTTTAGACCGCAAAGCGTTCCTCTTTCTCACACCTTCTTATTTTCAGAGTTAAGAAACTATAATACATTTTCACATGGTGATTAGTACACACCGGGTTATTGCACAGATGTTTTCCTTCTTAACAAAAAAAAATACTCTAGAAAATAAGTAAAATAAATTACCGGTTTAGACCACAAAGCTCCATATTGAACAATGACGAGATAAACAACCGAAGATCAAAGAAGGAATTCGACTAGCCGTTCTGATCGGAGAAGAAGACGGAGAGATCGAGGTAACTCGATTTTGAGTATCGCAAAATGAAATAAAAGAAAAACATAACGAAAAAAAAATTACTCTAAAAAAATTTACTCTAGAAAAACATAACAAATTTAATAACATCACGGGTGAGAACCAACATTTGTCAATTGACTAAAGTTCACAAATTTAGTTAACACAACGTTAACAACATCAAGGGTCAGAACCAATATTTGTTTGATTGACTCAAGTTCACAACTTACTGTGTTATAGTTACATTTGTTCAATTGACTAAAGTTCACAAATTTAATTAACCCAAGGTTAACAACATCACGGGTGAGAACCAACATTTGTTCAATTGATTAAAGTTCACAAATTTAGTTAACCCAAGGTTAACAACATCACGGATCAGAACCAAAATTTGTTTAATTGACTAAAGTTCACAACTTCATGTGTTATAGTTACATTTTTTCAATTGACTAAAGTTCACAAATTAATTAACCCAAGGTTAACAACATCACGGGTGAGAACCAACATTTGTTCAATTGACTAAAGTTCACAAATTAATTAACCCAAGGTTAACAACATCACGGGTGAGAACCAACATTTGTTCAATTGACTAAAGTTCACAAATTTATTTAACCCAATGTTAACAACATCACAGGTCAGAACCAACATTCTTTCAAATTTGGGTTAAAAGAAACAAAAAAACGAACATATGTGGTCAAATGTAAAATATTGTACAACATTGTAACTCACCAAATCAAACCGAGCGAACCCAAAAAATGATCACATATTTACTTTATATTATTCAGACTTTGGTTTCAATTAGATTTGGTTCGTTCGGGGTCAGAATCTAGCATTAAGTCATGAAATTATAACAATTTGTAACTCACCAAAAAGCATAATTAATGATCACATATTTATTTTATCTCATACTAAGATAAACGAATAATGCTGATTCATCATTACATATCACAAATATATATACTATTATTTACATAATTACAATGTCAATAGTTAAAGTTTTCTTATCAAAAATTACACATCCGTGATTATTTCTGATCGTAAAGTTTAAGATTTGGTGAATTAACTTTCCGAAGAAACGGAAATAACGAATACGGTTGTCAAATTTGAAATATTATATAACATTATAACTCACCAAATCAAACTAAGCAAACCCATAAAACGACACATATTTATGTTATATTATTCCGACTTCGATTTGGTTTGATTTTTTTCTCTCGGGATCAGAATCTAGCTTCAAATAGTAACAATTTGTAACTCACCCAAAAATAATATTAATGATCGCATAATTATTTCATCTCATCTTTAGATACTCAAAATAACACTAATTCATCCCGTACGATCATTAAAATTACAAACATATATATATATATACATCCCGTGCTTCCCAAGCATAGGTCAAGACCTAGTTAAAATTAAAGCTGTCAATATGAGTGTTCATATGCATTTTAGTCCATCCCGTCCATATTTATGTGGATATAAACAGTTCATGGGTCAATGTCTATATTGACAGCTCTAGTTAAGATGCATTGGAACTGTTCGTAAACACTAAAGATGTTACTCTCACTCACAACACAGTATAAAATTTAAAATCTATAATACTTTAAAGGAGCTGCCCTCCCACGTTGCCACGTCAGCAGGCGAAAAAAAAAAAACCAAACTAAAGAAACCCATCGAAGCCCATTGTAGAAGCCCAATCTGTCACACATGAGTGACTGTTCGTGTTCTTCGTCCTCGGAGTCTCGCGACTCTTCTTCCAAATCCGTTGTGCTTGCCTCTCAGTGAAACAAATCCTCTTCCTCTTCTTCCCTTCCGTTTCTCATCTCAGATTGTCAATAAAGTTTCCGAGTTAATGGATGCTTCGGTTGGAATTCCCACTCTCCTTCGCTATAAATCCCTGGCTCATTCATGCCAAATAATTCATCCGAACCTGCAGACCTCTTTATCGCTGAACCCCTGAAATATTTTTCCCTCGATCTAGCCATGTCCTCCAAAGCTGTTTCCTCCTCCGCCAAGCCGCATACTTTCGAGGTCCTCGACCAAATCGAAGGTGTTTTCTGCAACGACGCCGTGTTTGTAAAACTGAGGTAAAATTTCTAGGATTGATTTGGTGTTCAATAGTATTCAAAATTAGTACTTTGAAAACTTGATTAGTTATTCATGAATATAGGACTTATGGGTATCGATCACAACGCATAAAGAGTTTTTCTTTTTGTTGATTTGATGTTTCTGTTCTTAGGTGACATGAAGGTTTTGTGATTTGAAGATAAAATTTGACATCTTTAGTGCTTTTAATGCTATGTAACGTTATAAAGTTCACATCTTTTCCAGGTTTCTGTTGTTTATTAGCAAGAAAACGAAATGGCAGGAGAATCACAGAGCAGTTTGACGAGGTATTTGGGAGCTATTAAAGATACCCCAACAGTTTCGTTAGCAAAAGTCAATAGTGATTACAAGGTAAAAAAGAAAGAAACCCTCTTTCAAGTGAAATCAGTTTTGGGTTTTTTCTAGAAGCTAAACAATGGTGTGAATGATGGGTTTTAGGAATTGGATATTGCTATTGTGAAGGCTACAAATCATGTGGAACGTCCTTCAAAAGAAAGATACATCAGAGATGGGTAGTGTCTTAGGTTTCAAATGTTTGCGTTTCTTTGTGCGGTTGATTTTCTCTATGAAAGGTGTATAGCAAGTTGTTGTGTCCTGTGCAGCTATTTTCATGGCTATTTCAGCAACAAGGCCTCGTGCAGATGTGGCATATTGCATCCATGCTCTGGCTAGGCGGTTAGCAAGAACACATAACTGTATTGCTTTCTTATTGCCTTTTGTTGTTTGATGTCTAAGATCTGCTATAGCTTCATTGTCGGTTGTTGTGAAGTCACAATGAATGTTGTTGATTCTCTATCTTCTTATAAAGGGTTTGTGGTTTTATGTTTAGTATTTGCCATTGATTCCCTTATTTTGTTTTCAGGTTGCTCTGAAAACTCTTATTGTTATTCACCGTGCTTTGAGGGAAGTGGACCAAACGTTTCATGAAGAAGTTATTAATTATAGCAGAAGCAGGAGTCATATGCTTAATATGTCTCATTTTAAAGATGATTCCAGCCCAAATGGTATTAGCGTGGTTTTATTTTCATTTGAATCCTTTGTATAGAGGAAGCTTTTTGGTTCACTTATCTTTCTTTTGTCAACATGGGATTACTCAGCTTGGGTCCGTTCTTATGCTATTCTTAGAGGAGAGATTAGAGTGTTTCCGTGTTTTGAAGTACGATGTTGAGATTGACCCCCCAGTAAGTTTCTACTTGCAATATTATATTATGATCTCTCAAAAATTTCTTTCACTTTAGGAATCACTAACCACATGCTTTAAAATACAGAGAACCAACGATTTGGACACTCCTGATTTGCTTGAACATCTTCCAGCTCTACAATTATTTTCTGCATTACCAACAAGGATTGGGAGCTTCCAGAGTACGCTTTCAACCAGTGACTTTAGCAGCATTTGGTTTATCTCCTTAACCAGTTCATTTGCTAACAACATAGATATATTGATGAAGCAGCTGGAGCAGTTTAAAGCACAGGAGAAACTTATGAAGAAAAAAAGAAAAGGCAACATCGAAAGCCATGAAGATGCTCCAAACTGGACGTACTAGGGTATGTTTTTGCCGCCGTGGAGGATGCAATAAGGAAAGAAGAAGCAGAGTTCGGATCACTAAAGATAAGACAAAGATGTCTGGACAAATCCCGGTAAGAGAAGCGTCGGAGAAAGAGATAGCTTGATTAGGTTCCGTTCATGTATTTTTACTAAATCAGCTTTGCCTCCTCCCCTGCATATGTAAAATTATAGTTCTTGCTACTGCACTATGAGTATGAATATCGTTGTGATTTCAGTAAAGTCTAAAGATATTGTAGCTTTAGATGTTTTTCCTTTCCAAGTATAGACATTGGGGTCTGTCTAAAATATATTAATGTCATATCCAAATAATGTTTACTCTTATAACATAGTATACACAAATAAACAACATTTGAACAAAATATATTGTCAGATATTTACCATAACCAAGTACAGTTTTACAACAACAACCCGGGCGTACGCCCGGGGCATCCTCTAGTTATCCAGTGATAACAAGAAAGAATCATATATATGAAAAGGGGCCAGCTCTCTCCATCTTTGTCAAGAAAGAATCATATATATGAAAAGGGGCCAGCTCTCTCCATCTTTGTCACACTTGGACAGAGGAAATAATGATGTGTCTTTCTAACTAGAAAAACTCTTCCGCTTCTTTAACCGATCGCCGTCTCTCTCTCACGATTGCACTTCCTTATCCGGTGATTTCCTTTTATTAAGATAATCTCAATTCATTGTTTCACCACTCTTCTTTTTCACGATTCTTCATCTTCATCTAATTCTTCATCTTCTGCTTTCACAGGTTAGGCGATTCTGGACTTGCAAACAAATCCCATCAAAACAGTCATCAATCCCTTCTTCTCTACCCAAAACGATGACTTGATAATTGAATAGTCAAGTAACTTGCTATATATGGTGGATTGGCAAACGGTAAGTGAAAGGTCATTGTTAAATTACGATTTCTGAGAAGAAAATTCCCATGCTGCTTCACTGAATCACTCAGCACAAAACTTGGTGTTTTTGCTTACCTCTCGGTTTCCTCATTCATTTACACAGTAATCAGCGCCAGCGGCCAGGACACATGAGTTAGGCTTTCGCAATTCAACCTGTGAGCTTTGTAGTAAGTTATTATTCTTTACTCATAATTCTCTCAACTTTCGCCAACTTTGTCTCCATTCATGCTTGTTTTATCAGATTCAGTGAAAATTTGATGGTTAGATATAGTAGATTTACATAGTAGCTAAATAGTCGCATGCATAGTGAAGTGTGTACGAGACTAGAGCTTAGCATAGACTGTGTTTTCCAACTCTACTACTTCTCTTCGTTGCCTCTTTCATTCAACGCGAGTGCAAAATTCGTCAATATGGTTCTTGATAAAAAAAATCAGGAATTACAAATAGATTCTCCATTGAATGAGAGAAATGTCTTTGTGACTTTTTGTAGGGTTTTCGCAGATTTTTGAATAAGATAATGCAAAGACCAGTATTTGAAGAAGCAAAGGTTTTCCATCTGTCAATACACAAGAGGAATATTGTGATAAAACTTAGTTCATACATTATTTTGATCATACGATGTTGATGTACGCAGCTCATGTTGGTGGGGAAATTCTTTTGAAGGTTCTTATCCCCTTTTCATTACTCCCTATTTGTAAAAACCTGTTTTGACAAATTACAATAATAATATTTTTTTGTAGATCTTCAGCTTTGTTTTATTTGAGACTATGTGACCATAGCTACTGCCTTAATTTTTTTCCGGCCATTTCAGTTTTTTCCTATGCAAAAAGTTTACTCTCGAAACGGAAAAGTACAAGACATCATTTAACTGAAGGACAAAGTTCAAGCGATTTTGCTGAGCAATTACAAGTCATCACTTATGGCCAATGTGTTTTTCTTTTCTTTATCTAATGAACATGGCGGCAACTCTAAAATCTAATATTAGTTTCTTGTAGAATTTATGTTCTTTGTAATTGTTCTGAGATTTTGTTTTACAAACCTGACCGATTTGTTCAACATGTTTGTTTCTCAAATTATGTCGTAGCTAATGCTACAATTCATTAAATAGAGAAGCATCTAATCGCTCTTCGTATGAACTAATTTTAAAAGGTAGTGTAATAAGATGTTTGTAAATTTAGTAGGCGCAATTTTGGTAGCCCTACACAAACCTATTGTTTTAACATTCTACTCACTAGGGTGCAAAACTATTCTTAAACGTTGGGAGTAAGACTGAAGAAAATTTTGATTTACCATACTCTCAGAAGTAAATATGTGGCTCTAGATAGATTGTTTAGAACAACTATACGGAAAATGAGTCCCACTGCGATATCTCTTCTTTTCCATTTGAAGATGGTCAATTAGATTATACATCATACAGATTAATTTAAAAGTGATCATTGTCATTTTCATTATTTTCAGGTAAATTTGTTCTGCTATTATACCGAGTCTATATATATAACACTTGTTTATTTTGCATTTGGAAAACCATTCCAAATACTTCATTTATACATCACCTAAAATTACATCCAATAAAATATCAAACAAAAAATTGTATTAGAAACAAAACCCACACATATGCGCGGGTATTAGCCTAGTAAAGAAATGAAGCTTTATAACCATATATTTAGTATAGATAAAACCCATATTCCTATATTTAACTAAAAGAGCAAAAGAAATTGCAAAAATAAAATAAAACATAAATGGACCACCTGTGTGAACCAGGAGATGGAAAGGCTGAATTAGATATCTTATTGCTCAAAATTTATCATTACATTCTTTTTGCTGTCTTTAGTCTTTAATTCTTTATTGTAGATAACATATAGATACACACACATACATATATCTGTACGCATATATATAGGTGGTTGCCAAGCTTACCCAACTCTTTGTCTTCAACTTGCAATAACATTTTCTCTGTCATAAGAGAGACATAGGCATAGAGATAGAGAGAGGGAGAGAAAACAGAGTATATGCTCTGTTTTGTTCAGTGGTCAATAGAGAGTCTTAAAGAGTGAGGGGGAGAGATATGGGGAGACAACCATGCTGTGACAAAGTAGGGTTGAAGAAAGGACCATGGACTGCAGAAGAAGACAGGAAGCTCATAAACTTCATCCTCACCAATGGTCAATGTTGTTGGAGAGCTGTTCCTAAGCTTGCTGGTCTTCTTAGGTGTGGCAAAAGTTGCAGGCTTCGTTGGACAAATTATCTCCGGCCAGACCTTAAGCGTGGTCTTCTCTCTGATTTTGAGGAGAAGATGGTCGTTGACCTCCACTCTCAGCTTGGCAACAGGTTACCTTTAAAACTCAACACTTTTTTTTTCACTTGAATTCTATGTTTTGAGTCTCGGACTAGTGGCGAAATCAAAAAGAAATAAAAAACTTTGTTTCAGCATGCTTTATTTCTGAGATTCTTTTTTTTTGGGTATGTGAAGGTGGTCAAAGATAGCTTCTCATTTACCAGGAAGAACAGACAACGAAATCAAGAACCATTGGAACACTCACATCAAGAAGAAGTTAAGGAAAATGGGGATCGATCCTCTCACTCATAAACCACTCTCCATCATTGAACATGAAGAAAAAGAACCAATAAAGAAGCTGCAGATAAATCAAATGCCTTTGCAAGATCCAAGCGAGCAGTCTTTAGAGGAACCAACAAGTAATTGTCTTACCAAAGACAGCAACATCAAGAACAAGGAGTGTTTGAATGATGATCATTTCATGGCTGAGTATGGCGATGAAGAAGTCCCTCTAATTGATCCAGAATTTTTAAATCTTATCTGCAACGATTCTCCAATACCTTCATTGTCATCATCCACGTCCACTTCTTCGAATTCTTCTAATGATTCGAGTTTCTTGAAGGATTTGCAGTTTCCGGATTTCGATTGGTCCAACTATGGAAATAATAAAAATAATAGTCATGATGGTGTGGACAACATTATAGAGAACAGTATGATGAGCATATGGGATGTTGATGACTTTAGAAGTTGGGATTTGCAGCTAAATGATGTTATTCCTCAAAGTTCTTCCATTTTTGGGCTGTTTTAAATTCATTTTAAAGTATATACCCATCTTTTTTCTCTTATCTAAGGGAGATTTAAAAGACTGTTTTACTTGAGACATTTTTAGAGAAAATCAAATAATTTATTTTGTACAGACAATTGTGTGTCTTTGGTTCTGCTTTGTATCTTTGGGTTAAATACGTCCAGGTGTTCAGGTCTACTATCACTTAAAAATAAAAATAATACTCTTTTGGTTTAATAAAGGATCATAATTATTTTTTTTTATAAATTTATTGACGAATTAAACAAGGATACAAATAAGATGACGAAACTTTTACGCTAACAAAGCACATTTATGTTTTAGTTTTAATATTAAGATAAACACATCATCTCTTAGACGAGAATATTCAAGTTTTACGTTCGATCCCATATTCCCATTGGCTATAGTCTTGTAGAAGCTTTTCTAAGAGAGAAATAAGGTAGCTCATATATACATCTCTATGCCTTTGTCTTTACTTAGCAAAATCTTGAAATGTTGCTTTGGCTTGTAATCTAAATCCGTAGAATACGAGCAACAGTGACTTCAGTCCAGCCACAACAAATATGCGATTTATTTCTTTATTACGTGTTGTTTCATAAAAAAATACGTCTTTCTTTTGGTCCTAAATTTTGACTTTAATATTAAAAGTGCTGTCCATAAGGACTATGAGTGGGGGGACTGATTACGAAAATGGATGATGAATATCATAAAAATCGAATGTCTGAATCAAATGTCTTGGCAGAAAAAAAACACATGTCAACATCATTTGGGTGTATCTCAACGTCATGCTGACCTAATCTATACCTTAATCTTTGTGCTCTCCTCCGGTGAGATTTATGGTGTTCTCTCCGCCTTTCGTTTTGTTTGACCTTTGCAAATTACGAAAAGAGCATGTTTCACATTATTTTAATTTATTAAGTATTAACTATACTATCTTGTTATTATGGACTTACCAATTATACTATTTTCATGTTTTATTAGTAAGTAATACTATGTGATCCAATTATGAGGATGGCTGGGTAGAATTGTAGAAGTATAAAACGAGAGTTAAGGTGACGAATATTGGAGGGAAATTTCCCGCTTTGTTTCAGGGAGATAAGAAAAAGGAAAGTATTTTATTTAAAATGTGTATAGCATGCGGTGGAGTTATTTTCCCAATATTGTCATCTAATTAATTAACCCTCGAAACAAAGCAAAATTCAAACAAAAGATTTTAAAATAAAACGTTTCGTGAAAAAGCCTTCTATCGAGTATAGGAAACTCTTCAAGTTAAATAAATCCTTCGGAACCCTACAAAAACCCGGTCGCCGCCGTCTCACACAAACCTTATTCGGATCCCAATTTCTCTATCTCTAAATTTCCGATGACGAACAAGCGTAACCCTCTGCAAGATCAACCGACGGCGTCCTCAAGCGACGACGACGAGACTGAGTCTGAAGAAGCTTCTTCATCGGACGACGAAGAAACCAAAGATCCCGCCGCCAAACCTCCTTCCTCCGCCGTCACAATCGCTGTCCCTGGAAAACCCACAGTCTCCGCCGCCGCCGCCGCTTCGGAATCTTCCGATTCCGAATCTGGATCGGAAAGCGAGACTGACTCCGACTCCGAATCGAATCTTCCTCCGACTCAAGCATCTGTAAAACCCCTCGCCGTAACCACCGTGCCCTCCGCCGCGAAGCCCAAGAAGAAGGAAACCGAAGCCTCTGCCGCTCTACCTCTCCCGGCGGCGAAATCAGGAGCCAAGCGTCCTAGCGAAGGGACTTCGAGAGAAGCCAATTCCAAGCGTGCGAAGAAACCCACTTCTGGAGAAGAGGAGAAGAAGATTGGGGAAGACTCTTTGAAGAAGCCTGAAAAGAGAGTATGGACTGAAGACGACGAGATCACAATCCTTCAAGGGATGATCGATTTCCAAGCTGATGAAGGAAAGTCTCCATATGAAGACACGGCTGCTTACTACAATCTCACCAAAGGGTCCATCAGCGTTGAGGTGAGTAAAAGTCAGTTCATGGATAAGATTAGGAGCTTGAGGAAGAAGTATATGAACAAGGAGAATCCTTCTTTCACTAAGCCTCATGATCTGACATGTTACAAGCTGAGCCAACACATTTGGGGATCTGATGGATTAGCTCTTCAATCCGCTGTGAAATCAAAGACCAAAAAATCAAAGAAGAGTGGCCAGAAGGTGAAGAAGCTCGACTCTGTGAAGCCTAATGGTAAACCGAAAGCTGTGGAAGATGATGATAGTGTTGCTGTGAAGAAGGCTGACTGGTTCGAGAAGTCTGGAGCATTGCTGGTAATGGTGTTGGTGAGCGTTATGTGAAGGAGAAGTGGAGTACGGTTCCTGTGGAGATGAAGAAGAAGGTTGCAGAGAGTGTGAAATTGTTCCAGAGTAAGGAGCTTGAGTTTGTGGTGCACAAGAATGAGTTTTTGCATGAACTTACTTCTATGATCTTTGAATCAACCAAGAACATGCCATTAGACATATAGATTTGAAACTGAGTCTTTTAAACATATAGCTTCTATGATCTTTGTATCGGTGTTTTTTTTTGTTTTCTATCTTTTGAAACTCTCTGTTTTGGATTTGGATTTGTCGCTTATATATAAAAGCACCATGGAAGCTTGAGGCTTTTGGATTTTATTATAAATTTATGACATTATTCTCGGAAACACATTGTGTTCTTTTTAAAAAAACACATCCATTTCTTTCTCAAATCGATGTTGACGACGAGATGGTCCGAGGTATCAAGGATGGAGGGCACCAGACGGAGTATGCAAATCGCAATTTCTTTTTTCTTAAATTGGATTGGGATTGAATGAATTTTAGGTCAAAGGAGGCTTAAATCGTAATCTGTTTAGGATTTAGTGGTAACGTTGTTAATCTGTCGCTGGAGACTTGTGCAATTAGCGTCTTCTGATAATGGAAGACGGCGAGCTTGATTTCTCAGAGTTCGGAGTTGGTATAGATTTGCAGAGCATGAATCGCGGCTTCTTACAGAAAATTAGTTAAATTATGTTTCTTCACTTTTAATAAAATATGGGGTTTTAATAAAATATATTTCCTTTTCTTTGTCACCTTAGTGATATAATATGTATTATTGTGAATATGACTATTTTTATGTTTTGAATGAGATTTGGTAGATTAATGATAGATCCTGTTAATCTTTAGTGGATTCTTGATACTCCATTACTCTAATAGAAAGTCACTAGAAATGAGCTTTGAGAATGTTGAAACATAATTGGCCGTGAGAATTAAGATCAATAAACAAAGTGATCCAATTATTCACTTATAATTGGGAAAAGAAATAGGTCCATTTTAAAGTGAGTGGTTGGTAGAAAAAGGCTACTAGTGGAATGAGAGCTCGGGCCATACATAAAACATGAAACGAGAAGACGCTTATGACTCGTAATTTTTCTTTTCATTTTAGTTTGTTTAGATAAACAGAGATCAAAACCAAAAGATTTAAACCGAATATTGGTTAAGTTTATCCAACAAAAGAGAAGACCATCTACATTTGAGAACCGATTCAATATTAAGTTTGTAAGATCTTTGAATCAGCCTCTTTGATTGCTTATATTTGTATTTTACTAGTGTTTGTCTCCATTTGCTGGTAATAAAGTTTACTATTGTTATAAGATCACGAATCTCAAATTATAATCTTTTTTGTCATTCATCATTACTAGTTGTAACTCTCAAAATTTAGCAATAATAAAAAACAAAATCTTATTTATCGAATATGTAATCATTCGAGTTTTGCATCTAATTTTTTCATTCGTCTGATTTTGTATTCCCATTCATAACTACTATACTTTTTGAACCTTTATATATTAAAACCTAATTTTCTCATCATGAATATTCTACCACATCAATATCAATATATAGTTGGCATGACTTTCATTTACACACTGACTTTTTTGTTTGCATATTATTGTAAATTTTATGATGTGTCGTCTTATCTCCGCTTTTGACAAACATGATTAGTACTTTTAAAGAAATTATTTTCTTTTACTAAATTAATCCAAAAACTTGAACTAAGGTTTCAAGAATGGGACACGTCATGAAATGTGCTATATATACAGTATGTTGAAATAGATTATTCCATATATACCACCACTAAAGGCACTTTCCTCTCTCCACCGAATTCCAAACAGCATTGTCGATGGAAAGTTCTTGTCCAAATGTTTTTGCTTATAAATATATAAAGCTCCATACTCTTATATCGTCATGGTCGGTTCACTGTTCATCGAACTATCGCACACAAGATAACAAACAGTTCACGTTATCTTAGTGGTAAGGTCGGTTCACGATTCAAAATGCAAAGAAATTGCATCATGTTAAAGGTCGATCTATATTGTCCACTTGTATATGCAATGAAATTTGAACATGATGATGAACTTGAAGTCTTTACTTGTTATGATATATAGGACCCGTCAGTTTGCAAAATGATCATTGTCAATCCAAAACAAGACGACTTATAAACGAATGATCATCACTCGCGCTGAGCTGGTTTGTTACGTTTGTAGCTTATCATGTGCCTGTGATTCTATAATTTTGCGTATGGTTTTCATAATTTTATCTCAATCCAATCATGCGTGTAGGTTCTGAGTGTCAAACAACACCACAGTGCCGAGCAAATCAAACCATAAATCATCTCTAGTTCATGCTATCCAAGATATTCGAATTTGTTTCATCCTAAGATCTAGATTATCTTATCTATTTCAAAAAGAAATAGTAAAATATTCAAGATTAATTGAATAACGCTTTATATATAAATATGGTCCAATGGTGTGCTTGTGTACGTATGTGTATAAAATTAAGTTGGATGTGAACAATTAAGGAAGTGGACATAGGTGGTGACTGGTGAGGCATAAGTTGATGAAGCAGGCAGATAATGATATGATATTGTCTTCCATATTGGCCCCATCCAATATCATGACATGATCCCCTCTCAATCCTAGAGTATGCTTTTATTTTTTTTTTAGAACAAAATATCATCGAAGAAAAATACTTAAGATAAAAATTTATCATATAAGAATTATGATTTTTTAATATTATATAAAACCATAAACCATCAAAATTAATTATTAACTGCTTATATAATTGTTTTTATTAATTATGATATTATTATATTTTATTAGTTTTATTTTTTTAAAATTCACAGCTGCTAATTTGAAATTTCATGTTGAAAGTTTTAATAATAAAAAATTACTTTAATAAAAAATATTTTAATAAATATGAGAGATGATACCATAGGTACATGTTTAAGTAATTTTGTCAATATAGAAAACTTTAGACAAATAGAAATTATTTTCTGAATTATCTTACAAATAAACTATATTAATCCAATGATATTTTTATTCAGAAACATGTCAGCAGGTGATTTTTTTTTCTATTTTCTAAAAACATTCTTAAGTTTTAGTCAAAGATAGATCATTAAAAACAGTAATCAAACGAATTGAACCGAACCAAATTAAACTTTAAACTGAAATCAGAGTACTCCAACATAAATTTGAAGTATGTTCTTAACAATAAAATTATCCAAATTATCTAAAAGTCCTTTAAATTTCAACAACAAAAAAACTTAAATAAATTAACTACATATAATACTCAAACTCAATATGATCCTTAAGCGTTTAATTTATGTAATGATTTTTGTTTATCTAAATTATTATTATTTTTTTGAAACAACTTTTCATTAATTGAAAATAGACGATTACACACTGTTAATTAACGGAGGAAAGAGAAGCGGTGCGACAAAATTCTCAGTGAACATGCAAGAAGCCGCTTTGGATAGAGAATCCGCCTTCGAATTCTCCGATCTCGGGATGAATCGAAACGAGATTGAGGTAAACAACTGAGCAAGAGATTGAATATCGAAAAGGAGACCATAGATTTCCTTGATGTTCTCATGCGATGTTAAGGCTCGGACTAAGTCCTGAGCGTCTGATTTGACGTGTAGGTGGAGGAAATTCCTCTCCAGTGCTTGGATCAGGGCGGATCTGATTGCAATGGCTTCCGCCATGAGGGGAGAGCTCACATAAGGTTCCGCCAGACTGCCGGAGTCGATTTGTGTTCCGTCAATGGTGGTGAAGATCCAGCCGGCTCCGGCTATCCTTGTTTCTGGATGTAGTCTTCTCGATGTGCTCGAGTTCGATCTAGCGGGATGGAGTGTCTTCTCAGTTATCTGCGCCTCCTGCCACTCACGAGCAATTTGGATGGATTTGAGATTTGTTTCATCGGGTGTGAAGGTTCAGTTCTCGAAGATTCGGTGGTTTCTAGCCGACCAAATCATCCAGCAGATCCACAGGAAAAGGGGTCCGGAGCTGATTCCCGTTGGGGGTAAGCAGGTTAGGCGTTTCAAGATGTTGACTGAGGTTTCGAAACTCATCGATGTAAGATCCACCGTAGTCGAGAAAGGAGCTAGAGCCCACACTTTCCGAGCAAATTCACAGCGAAAGAGGAGATGTTCGTCTGATTCGAGTTCTCCACAGTGAACGCAACAAACATTATCGAAGAGGCCTCTGTTCAGGAGATTCTCACCAGTAGGTAAGGCTTTCTGAAGAATTTTCCAAAGAAAAAGCTTGATCTTTAGAGAGAAGTGGCCGAGCCAGATATCTGCATTCCAGTTAACTGTAGTTTGGTGGTTGTCTTCAGGTTGGTCTCTCAGTGATCTGGCAATACGGTACCCGGTTTTGACTGTATAGTCACCAGATTTTGAGGGGATCCATACATAGCGGTCAGGGGCTCCGTTTTGACTAGGTCGGATACTCATAATCTCTGGTACATATTGTGGAAGGATTTCTTCAATCTTCTCTTTATTCCAAGCTGTTCCATTGATTAGGGAAGCTACTGTTGCATCTTTGTCGTGTAGGTTTGGCGGTCCGAAGGGTCGAAGCGGTGTTGTGTGGGATAACCAAGAATCATGCCAAACTGATGTGTCTTGTCCGTTACCAATAGCTTTTCCAAGCTGTTCCACTAAGAGGTCCCTGCCGATGAGGATTCCTCTCCAGCCATGCGAAGATAAAGTGGAGGTAAGAACACTTAGAAAGCTTTGGTCTTTACAGTATTTCCCTTGTAAGACTCGGGCTAAGAGGCAATTTGGTTTTGACAGGATTCTCCAGCTAAGCTTAGCTAGCAACGCATCATTGAAGCTCTGGATATTGCGAAAACCCAATCCTCCTGAGGTTTTGGGTTTTGTCATCTTTTGCCAGGAGACCCAGCTCATTTTCTGTACTTCCGGCGTTGAGTCCCACCAGAAGCGAGTAATGGCGGATTGAATTCTCTTGCAGAGGCTCACCGGTAGCTTGAAAGTTGACATAGAG